ATTTCCATGCAGCCGCTAGGATTTACCGCTGCTCAATTATCGTACCGCTCGGTGTCTGGTGGGCTTTATGAACTTACGAAATATGTATCTTAAGTTGGTTATTTACATAAAAAAGAACAAGATAAAATGACAGATTATAAATCGTATATTTTACTGACAAAACTTTTCTGTGAAAAACGAAAAGTATTCCAACAAGTAAGAACGATACAATCAAACCCAAAAATATTTATAGATTGTTTTTTACAACTGTTAAAATAGTCATGGACTATCTTTTTTAAGAGTAGACCTTCGTGGGAAATTTTCTAAATAAAAATAGCTCAAATTCACGTTACGCATAGGCCTAACCGCGCATAGCCACTAACCTGTTTGGTTGCCAGCAACAAACCCAGGACAAACTACCAACGTCCAGCAGTCATACTCACTCAGCTATAGTAAACTTAAATTTTTGCTTGTATATTATTTGATTATTAAAATAATAAAAGTATTTATTCTAATAAAACTGTTGTTTAATAATCCTCCCTTGTAAAGAATTTTCGTTGGTTTGGGATTTGGTCTTTTGTATGCTGTGTTCAACAAGATTTTTATTTAAAACTTAGTGCTTCAAGAAATGAATGCTGGGATCCCAAGGAAAAGCAATATTCCACAAAAATTATTTAATTATTCATATTCTTATAATGAATTATTAAATAATTAATAATTGCTATAATTGTGAAATACAGTGCTTATTGATTTATTACAAAATGTATTACAATAACCTTTCTTTCAAAAATACCACATTGAGGAATTCTATTGTAAGCTAATAAGTAACAGCATTGCTTTGCTTCTTATTTATTATGTCTACACTTTTTTTTCAACTTTAAGTTTATAAGATATTTCTCCCGCCTTCCTAGCATCCTTCGTGGTGTAGCGGTCAGCACACTCGGCACGTATTCGAGAAGTCCGTGCTTCGAGTCTCGGCGAGGAAGTTCCTCATTTATCATCTCTCTCAGCATCAAAAATCCTAATAGCTCTACAGTGGCATCCGAACTAAAGGAGGTGGTGGATGATGATTCTCCACCACCGGGATTCGGCAGTTGGTTCCGCTAATCCCCAGTTACCCTTTAAAAGAGGCAGTATATAAGGTACTTCTTTCGTGTTCTTAGCATGCCTTCGTGGTGTAGTAGTCAGCACGCTTGGCACGTACTCGAGAAGTCCGCGGTTCGAGTTCCGACGAGGGCATTGCTCAATTTTTATCTCTCTAAGCATAAAAAATCCTAATGTCTCTACAAGTTATAATGTTTTTAATCCTATTTCAGATAGGATGAAAACATCGGCGTAGCGGTAAAGTCGTTGAGCAGTCGTAGATCAATCGGGTGTTCGTGTTCCGCGAACGGGGTGGTTGCACAGACGTTTTCGTGCTTTTCTTCATATGTAACGTGAATTCAAGCCACTTTCCCTTATAAAGTCCTCCACCAAGGCATCCCTATCCTCAGGCAGATAGTTCTAGCGTGCTTAGCCATAATAAAACAAACCAAACCCAAACCTACCTCACATAAATTTTACTGTTGTTTCAAGGACAAGAAAGCAAACTCAGTCAATAAATTCATGATCAGCTGAAAATTCATCAGCAAAAACAGATTCAGGTTAAAATTCTTTTCCTGAATACCTTGAATGTATATAAGAAAACGTGAAATGCAAATCTGACATCGATATTTTCAACGTCTCAACCCGTAATAACTTCTAAATGTTTTGTTTATTGCTCTTAAAAACAGTTCAAATGCATAAAGGTTAATATCATACTGTTTGTATTAAAAAATCTCGAAATTATTGCTTAAGCAGAAACAAAAGATTTATTTATACGAGAGGCAAACTTAATTACTTTATTTAGATTCAGTACTGCATGAATAGCTTTCAAAATATAATCCTCAAAGAAGTCTCTTTGCAGATTTGCCATTTAGTATTAGAAAAATTGAGATACTACTGTCACAAGTTTCTAAATATATTTTCAAATCTAAATATCATCTACCACATAGATTGTAATCTTACACTAACTTAACAGCATGACAAAGAACTCAGAAAGTTTTAAGAGGCATTTCGTTTTGTCAGCATTGTCGTAAATTGAGCATAATTTTCATTTCTTTAACTTGGTTGTACACACATAAAAGAACGGGGAAAAGCAGAACGTCATTAAAATTGCTTGTTTAATTAGAGTTGTTAAAAATACAACATTTTATTCTGCAACAAAAAAAAATGACTGATTTCAATTGAATTAATTATAGTTTTACAGAAAAATATTAAATTTTTAATTAAAATTAAAATTTTGTGGATTAAAAATGTGATAATTGTCGATATATTTGTAGATAAAAAAAAATCGGCTATTCTTCTCAAAGTGAATACACTAATTTCCATGAAAAATGCAACACCACGAATTTATTGCACATATTACTGATAATATAGGAAATGAATGAAATTTATTGCGCATATTACTAATAGTAGTTCAAATTTATAAGACAAAAAAAATTTGTCCGCCACGCTGAGAGATGAGAGCCTCTACATGTCGTGGCATGGAATCATACAGATTCTGAATGCAATCCTGGGGAATGGCATTCCATATGGCTTCGACTTGACTCCAAAGTTCAGTCTTAGTGTGTGCGCCACCACACCAAGTCGCGAGACTAAGAGCGACACCGCACTAAGAGCGAGTCGCCGACCGATGAAATCTTAAACATGCTGAAGAAACGACATATCCAAGGAATAAGTTGGCCATAGAAAAAGCGAAACCTGTTATGCCCTAAAGAAGATTTGTGCAGTCTGAGAAACATGTACACTGGCATGATCCTGCTGAAATACTGCGCCCAGAATGCGTCGAAAAACGGGGAGGACCTCTGGCTCCGCAACTTCCCTTATGTAGCTATCCTAATTGAGGCTGCCAACAATCTGCAGTAGATGAGATCGACAAATATACCCAACAGCTCCCCACATAATGATGCACGACGTTTGTGCGGCATGATGCTGGATAACACCTTGTGGTAGCAGATGGTCACCTCTGTAAAATCTGACGCGTACTCTTCCAGCATTGTACTCCAAATTGTAGGGAGATTCATCGAGAAAAGCAACTTGTTGCCACATGGCACGCAGTATGTTGCAGTGTACATTGACGTCGGAGGCCACTGAAGTTGTCTGATTCCGCGACAAAGGAATCCTGCGTACTGGAAACCTTGCACGCAATTTATGCTGCAGCAAACGGCGACGAACCGGGGAACTAGACACCTGCAGGAGCGTTTCCAACATTGTACGAACACACGAGGGGATACTGTAGGATCTGTCCCAGCCATGAAGATGAGGTGTTTGTCGTCTCATGCCATTGTGCTATTACGTGCCCCCCACTTCCAGGGTTCCGCCTTCTTTAGTTTTCCTCTGTCCATTTCTTCGGAACGCGCATCATATGTGTGGAATTACGCTGCGTGTAGCTGCGATTACTCGATACCAAAGTCCACAGTCTCGCATGTCTCCGATGATGCGACTTTAAACTCCGTTCGTTTTTGATATGGCATCCTCCGCTGTAGACAATGCACACTGACCACTAATTAAATGTTCACCACAAACAGAGGACGATAAGCAGATTCCAACGTCGTGACTTTATATATGTTACGGGCAAAGTATGAAATCCGGCATTCTATAAAATGCCTAGGCATTGTATATAATGTCTAAACCTAGCCGGCAATATATGAAATTATTCATATTTCGCACATTTCCTAGGCATTCTTTAGAATGCCAAATGAATAACCGGAAAAGTATGAAATACATTTCCGACTCGTTTTGAAGAACCGAAACTACTTACCACTAAATAAATTAAATGACCTAAAATAGCCAAAATGACTACTGAAAAGGAACCACGGGAGTACTGGCCGCTGAAATCGCTAGGATAAGATGTTTGTATAAAACAAAATGGGTATTCATATACCCTGTTAAAGAAAGCGTCACTACTATGCAGTATTACGTCACGGACGCTGAGTTATTTTCCGTATTTCATAAAAACTCTTTTAAGTGCTGCACAGGAACGACGTGACAAAATGTAGAAAGAACTTTCAAACCAATTACAAAAGCATTACATGTACTATTTAACTGTACATCCACCTTTATGAGCCCTGCCAGAAAAAAAAAGGTATTAAAAAAAGGCACTAATGTGAAACTTATGATTGTTTCTGAATTTAACTTCTGTTGTCAGGTGGATCTTACCTTTTCCCAATTTCAGCCAGATAGAAAATACAAATTTATTACGCTGTATCAAGATCACTTCACTATCTGGTTTTTTTTTTTTTTTTTTTTTTTTTTTTTTTTTTTTTTTTTTTTCATATTTCGAAGAACAGTTTTTTTTTAATTTCTGCTAAATTTTCCTGCGGATTTGTCTGCTTAACTTTGTCACTGTAAAGGTTTTTAGGCAATTCTTGATTAGTTTTGCCTGAAGCTTGAATGAATTCGGGGAAGTCATCTTTAGTGGGAATTTCTTGTGGTTTTTTCATCTTCTCTAAATGATTGAATCTTTTTCTGTACACCTTACAACCACGATAAGAACCGGCGTTTCATACTTTGCCGATAACATATACATGGAAGAAGCAGCCGATTCTCAATCCTCGCATGCGCAATCGCTTTGTAATTCTAACTCCACTTTGCATTCTCTCTAAGATGCCCTACTTTTTTATGTAATTGTCTGACGTCAATTCCTTTGTATTATTTCAGTTGCCTACTCCCTCTCTGTGTCATGTTATTCCTTCTTCAAGAGCTTCTCGTTCACGTATTTTTACACTGAACCTGAGTGCAGCTTCCGAACATTTGAAATCTTAACATTCTGGTAAGCTTACATAATAGGGAACTAATTTTTAAATTTAGTATTTTATACTGAAATCACTCGGATCAGTGAATAATTATACATTTTTCGATTAGTTTCGACAAAAGTGGTTGGACCCTGTCCACGAGCAACATTCATTATTTTAACATTTGGCATCATCTTCGATGTAAACATTTCGAAACGTGCGTTTTGCGTTGGTTCTGGTCGCGAAAGGAGTAATATGCCAACTTGGCATTGAATGCCTTTAAAATTATGTAAAATTTGGTGACTACAGAACAAAATCGGTATTTGAAGATGGATGATTTACGGCAGAGATTGAAATTTGACGACATTGCTGTTCGATCTAGAGTTAGTAAAATTGTACTTCTTTAAAATTTCTGACATATAGAATGGTTAATCATCTCGTGTATCTTATGTATTTTGTTTTATGTATATTATATGTTATAACATTGAAAAACTTTTTTTTTAATCTGAGTAATTAAAGCCGTTACTTAATAAATTTAAGCATGTCTAGAATTAATATTCGAATGTCGCGTACATTTCTCAATCCGGTTCCGATAACAAAAAAGTACCATTTTAAAAATTTTGGATCAGATGCAGAATCGCCCACATTCTCTTTCATTTACATAGACATAATTTCTTGTTCATTTACAAAGTGCGAAGTTCTGTAGTTGCCGTGTCGAGAATTCGCACTAAATTGTCAGTCGAAACGTTTTCCTTCTCACTTTCTTCACTATCGATATAATAAAATTTTCTTCATTTATAACTATATTACAGATTTCTCCATCTGATAATTGATTGATGATTGGGACTTTGTTGTCACAATGAAAAACTTATGTTATATAATGTTTATGTATTACCACTTCTTGGAATTTCTGTACAAATTTCATTAATTAGAATATTTTCCTTTTGTGATATCTGGAAACTTTTCAAATTTGTGGCGATCATCATAAAGCTTAGCTAACGCTTTTGGCAATGTATTATTAGATTAGCAACTAAAGCGTTTTGTTCCACTAAATTTTGTCTTACTTCTTTCGCACACTGATGAAGTTCAACCTGAATACCTAGTTTATACTCATTGTTGAATTATAGTGAAACTGAATTAAGTAAAAGTATAGTTTAGGGTACCACTTGGCAAAACGTGGTGATTTTTGGTGGTACATGGATACCGTTTTTGTGCAATTATTTGACTCGTTATTTTGGCTTGCGAAGCGGCGGTTTTTGCCCCAAAAATCTCCGCTACACAAAACTTACAGGTTGATCTTTGGATTATGGTAACTTGGCGATTTTTTGGCGAAAATTTGGCGACCAACTCTGCTACAGCAACCCTCTATTTTTTTTTTCCCCCGCCATTTTGTCTTCACGAAGTAAAGACATGTTTCTTTTCTTTTTATTTACTGAACACTTTTTCCAACAATCTACTAGCCGAATTACACTTATGCTAGAAATTTTATGTAACAAAACTGCTAATCATGACAAATATTAACTGCAAAATTGGGAAAAAGTGCACAATCGCAAACTCCTTGCATGTTTTTCAGAATAGCACATACACATAAACCATTTACATGTTGACTTATTTTTACTTAAAAAAACATCTCAGAATTGCACAAAAATGGCATTGCACACACTCTTAACTTTATCCATCTATACTGCTATTTTCTCATAAATTACAAAAATTTGCACGAAAATGCAAAAAAATTCTGTGAATCTTTAAACTCGGTAAAAAGCACATATATGAAATTACCTGATCGCAAAAAAGTATTTACCCTTTCCAAAGATGAATATTTCCACGTATAAAATAAATAAAATATCCAAAAACTTTTACCTCTAAATTATCTATTATATTATAAACGTCACCAACAAATTCATACCGCAAACATTACAAATGGTTACAAATACTTAGTGTCAAATATTTAAATTACTTCCATGCACGTTTACTTCAACTGAAACGTATACCGAATTCCTACAAACATAAAATTCACAAAATAACTATCATTTAATTAAAATATCACTAAACCATGTACACGTCGACTTATTTTTACTTAAAAAAACATCCCAGAATTGCACAAAAATGGCATTGCGCACACTCTTCACTATATCCATGTACACTGCTTTTTTCTCATAAATTAGAAAAATTTCACGAAAACGCATGAAAATTTTGTGAATCTTTAAATTCGGTAAAAAGCACATATATGAAATTAGAAATTACCTGATCGCGAAAAAAGTATATACCCTTTCCAAAGATGAATATTTCCACGTATAAAATGAATAAAAATATCCAAAACCTTTTACCTCTAAATTATCTATTATATTATAAACATCACCAACGAATTCATACCGCAAACATTACAAATGGTTACAAATACTTAGTGTCAAATATTTAAAATATTTAAATTAATTCTGCAAATATTAAAATTATTTCCATGCACGTTTACTTCAACTGAAACGTATACCGAATTCCTACAAACATAAAATTCACAAAATAACTATCATTTAATTAAAATATCACTAAACCATGTACACGTCGACTTATTTTTACTTAAAAAAACATTCCAGAATTGCACAAAAATGGCATTGCGCACACTATTTACTTTATCCATGTACACTGCTTTTTTCTCATAAATTAGAAAAATTTCACGAAAACGCATGAAAATTTTGTGAATCTTTAAATTCGGTAAAAAGCACATATATGAAATTACCTGATCGCGAAAAAGTATATACCCTTTCCAAAGATGAATATTTCCACGTATAAAATGAATAAAATATCCAAAAACTTTTACCTCTAAATTATCTATTATATTATAAACGTCACCAACGAATTCATACCGCAAACATTACAAATGGTTACAAATACTTAGTGTCAAATATTTAAATTACTTCCATGCACGTTTACTTCAACTGAAACATATACCGAATTCCTCAAACATAAAATTCACAAAAATAACTATCATTTAATTAAAATATCACTAAACCATGTACACGTCGACTTATTTTTACTTAAAAAACATCCCAGAATTGCACAAAAATGGCATTGCGCACACTCTTCACTATATCCATGTACACTGCTTTTTTCTATAAATTAGAAAAATTTCACGAAAACGCATGAAAATTTTGTGAATCTTTAAATTCGGTAAAAAGCACATATATGAAATTACCTGATCGCAAAAAAGATGTAAATGCAAGTTTTATATTCACTTGCATATACCCTTTCCAAAGATGAACATTTCCACGTATAATATGAAATAAAATATCCAAAACTTTTACCTCTAAATTATCTATTATATTATAAACGTCACCAACGATTCATACCGCAAACATTACAATGGTTACAAATACTTAGTGTCAAATATTTAAATTACTTCCATGCACGTTTACTTCACTTCATGAAACGTATACGAATTCCTACAAACATAAAATTCACAAAATAACTATCATTTAATTAAAATATCACTAAACCATGTACACGTCGACTTATTTTTTACTTAAAAAAACATCCCAGAATTGCACAAAAATGGCATTGCGCACACTCTTCACTATATCCATGTACACTGCTTTTTCTCATAAATTAGAAAATTTCACGAAATGCATGAAAATACTCAACGTATTCTACTCAAACATATTCCAAAATACTACAAACATATAATTCACAAAATCACGATCATTAAATTAAAAAACACTACTTTAAAATATAAATAAGCACATTAAATTAATAAAATTAGATTACAATCCTAATTACTTTAAACTAAATCATTGCTAATAACAATTTTCCAATAATCATATTAATTTATTTACTCCTTACATTTAGAACAATGCATAAAAATAATATCCTTCAAATGATTAAAAATACTAACTTACCTAATCTTCAGAATCTTCATTATGTGGCACGCAGACTTCCACTATTTCACACCAACACACAATGAAGCTTAATACAAAGCTATAGTACTGCACTGTTTTTCCAAATTCCCTATCCCCCCCCTTTTCCGATTAAAGAACTGTAATTCGTTCATTAATTTCACATGCATATCTCTGATCTCTCATTTCCCTCACACAAAATAATGCGTAATCGGAATGATACTTCACATAACCAAATCTAGTATACCTTATTCCTCCAAATGTCGCCAAACTTTACCGATCAGCTTTGTAACTGGGCGGGGCTGTACGCCTCCAGGAAGTAGATTACGTTTCCGTCTGTGTCCGCTAGGGGCGGGGCTAGCGCGGCCATCTTGGGGTCAGAGCGTTGCGCAGCTCAGTCTGCATCTAGCCGTGCTAGTGAGAGGTTCGTGCTGTGCTCCGTTCAGATACTGTGACGGTTTGAAATGTCTGCGTTAATTGAAAATCCCGCGAGCTGCGAGGTGCGCTCAGTAATAAGGTTTCTGACTGCTGCAAAAAACTGTAAACCGATAGAAATCTATCGGCAGCTTCGTGAAGTGTATGGGGACAACATTATCACTGAAGGTGGAGTGCGTCAGTGGGTCATAAGATTTCAAAATGGCCGAACCAATGTTCACGACGAAGATCGAAGTGGGAGACCCAGCATAGTGACCGCCGAACTTCTCGAAAAAGTCGATGCTAAAGTCCGTGAAAATCGAAATTTCACAATAACGGAACTTTCTTTGAGTTTTCCCCATTTCGCGAAGTTTGTTGCACGAAATCATCAGCGAAAAGCTTGGTTACCACAAGTTTTGTGCAAGATGGATTCCAAAAATCTTGACAGAGGACCACAAAAATCAGCGAATGGCTGCAGCGTTGAACTTTTTGGACGCTTACCATAAGGATGGTGACTCTTTACTCGATCGCATCGTTACTGGTGACGAAACATGGGTGAAACATGTGAACTGTGAAACGAAATTGCAATCAATGCAGTGGGGGCACACAAGTTCTCCCCAAAAACCCAAGAAATGCATGCAAACAATGTCGGCAAGGAAGATGATGGCGACTGTTTTTTGGGACAGAAAAGGTGTAATTTTGGTGGACTTCCTGGAAAGAGGCACTACAATAAACTCTCAAAGGTATTGCCAAACTCTCCAAAAACTCAGAAGAGCAATTCAAAACAAGCGCAGAGGAATGTTGAGCTCTAAGATCTTGTTGATTCACGACAACGCCCGGCCCCACACGGCAAATGTCACTCGTAAAGTTCTTGAATCTTTTAAGTGGGAGTTGTTTCCTCATCCGCCGTACAGTCCCGACCTGGCACCGAGCGACTTCCACCTATTCCCAGCAATGAAGAAGTGGCTGGCTATGCAGCGTTTTGATGACGACGCACAGCTGCAAGAAGAGGTAACGAAGTGGTTGAAGGCGCAGGCGGCCGAATTTTTCGACGAAGGAATTTCCAAGCTCGTACATCGCTACGATAAATGCCTTAATTTGTATGGTGACTATGTAGAAAAGTAGTATTTGAGTGTGGCTTTCATCTGTATATAATAAAATTTGTTTCCTATACTTTGTTTATTTTTTTATTCCAAAACGTAATCTACTTTCTGGATAGCCCTCGTATACATCGACAAAAAAAATACTTTGAATAAAAATCCCGATACACTCTTTTTTTAATATATTTCTTAAAAGCAAAAGCGCAAATTCTACATATAGGCAAACAAATAGTCAAACGTTAATCCGGACTCGTCGGGACTTCGACGATTCCGGATTATAGATCATCAGTTTAAATCTGGTAAGATGGCATGCAGAAATTACAAAATTAAAAATATGAAACCGCAATTTATGAAATAAAGAACAATTATGATCTAAAGGGTATCAAAATTTACAAAAAGAAAAAGCTTAATATTTATTTGTTTACTTTATTAAACATTTCTTTCAATGTAAGTTGTTTAAGTTGCTTCATTTCATGTGATAATACTTTCTCTTTAATTCTATTAAACAGACATAATTTTTTATTTGGTTACAAAGTTCCGCTGTTCAAGTCCTATAATTACTGTGTCGAGAATACCAACTAATTTGTCAATCGAAATTTTTTCGTTTTCAATAACCTCTGTGTCACTTCACTATCGGAAGCGAATTATAATGATGAGGAACTTGATTTAAATCATATCACAAATGGAGTACATCGAGATGAAATACTACATTTAGTAAGGAATTATAAGCCAAATAAAATAAAAACATCTGCCCTGAAGATAAGGATAGTGCTGACAGATCAACTTCCAATTCATTGCGTGCCGCGGCGTTCCCCTCCCCCCCCTGCACAGCAGCGTGAGATTGATAAACAGATTTTGGATTTCGAAACATACTTTTGCTTTGTAACAAAACGCTTTGTTCTGCTTTACATATTAGTAGATATATATCGGAAATTCTATTTGACATAATCGAAAGTTCAAGCTTACTTTTATAAAATTGCTCTAACAGTCTGCAAAAAATAATAAGCCGGATCCAATTTGATGATTAAGAAACAACGCAATCTGCAACACTAACTGAATTAGATAATTTTAGCTTAGCTTATACCCTCTGTTATATATTAAATGCGCATGCGCAAACGTATTATGCGCGTGCACACAAGCATATTCGCAGCCGTAAAGGTCTTACGCACACGCGTAAACGCCTAAACCTTTAGTACCTAGGGGGGACGCACACGCGTAAACGCCTAAACCTTTAGTACCTAGGGGGGATACTGGGGGGAATCATTCCCTTTGCCCCCACTAGAGGGCAGCACTTCCCAGGACTATGTTTCTTTCGCAGTCGCAAATGTGCATTCCAGGATTATAGAACTTTCTGTTTCAAACATTGCAATGTAAACCAGCATGTAGCCTAGCAACTGTAACTTCAAGACTTAATATAGTGTTTTTCTACCAAATCTTTTTGGTAATATATTTGTTATTGTATATCTTAATTGTTATTAAACTGTCAATTTTTAATTAACATTATGGCTGGTGTTAATTAATGGAGAACTTTTACACATGTGCTAATTCAGCCCATCAAAATCTAATTATAAGTATAATTGCATTAAAAACTCAGTGTATGCTAAATTAATATAGAAAATAATGAAAACTTTCTGACAAATAAAAACATATCCAACTTAAACAAAAGAAATCTGATGTTTTTAAATCATGTTATTTTTTTCTTTCATAAACACCTTGGGCCCGAGTTTAAAATGCTGAGGTTAAAACTGGTTAAAGTAGCTGTGCAGTATCTTTTTGTCACTGCAAATGTATGTGCAAAACTTCAAGAAAATAATTTTTTTAGGAAAAGACAAAATTTAACTTTCTGACATTTTAACCGCACTTTACAATATATACTTCATATTTCTTCTGAATGTTCATATTACTAAATAAAATTAGCTACTTTTTCTATACATTCTAAATGCATTTAGTATTTTTAGAATAACAGAAATCCTTAGTTAGATTCAAAAATTCTAAAATGAAAAGGAAACATGTTGAAGAAAGAAACTGAGTACATAAAGAAAATTACTCTTCAAAGATATGTGCAGTTGTTATTATGTAACTTACCTGTTGTTTATGATTCAGTCGAGGGTTTGGGGCTATTTAACTTTTACCAGATCAAGTAAACCCTCATAGGTACCTTGTGAAGAGGTTGACAAGTTAGAAGATAAGCACGCAGAAACTAGCGAGAGCATTGGTTTGCATATTGAGACAAATTTCTAATTTTTAGAAAAGATGCTTAAAGAGAAGGAAATTGATATAAACTAGCCAAAATGTTTGTTAAACATAAATGTTTTGTAGCTTTTAATGTGTATCCTAATATCATTTAAGAATCAATGTCATAAATTATATATATTTTAAACTGTGAAAATTTATTAGCTTTTGATTTTAATAGGCTTTTTTTAACAAATATTGTTAAAAATAAAATTTAATAGTGGCCATGTAAATCCATTATGACTAAGGTTATCTAATTATTTATAACTAACTGCCTACCCTTAAAAATTATGTCTACATATTAAAGCGAGTTATTGCCTTTCATTAACACTCACTGTGGTCAAAATAAAACACAAAAATGTAAAAATTCAAGTAAAACTTATTCTTTACATCTATTGAAACTTAAAAATAATACAAAACAACCTATCATCTCTGGTACTTTAATCGCTTATTGGAACATTAAAGTATATTAACTGGGCTACAAGCCCTTAAAACTCTACACAAAGCTATGACACTAACTGCATCAAACAGAGCCCGACTAACTTTCAACACTTCCCAACTGTGTCTACATCAGGCCTTTCAGGTTTGTTCTAATGAGCAGGTCTCTCTCTAGACACGCAACAGCGGTGACAGCTTTCAGTCTTTTGTTATGAGTCATGCTGATTATGATCTCACTTCTCATTTTAACCTATGCCTTTTGACATAAAATCTACCTGCTATTTACTAAACTTCTAGATTGACTAAGTATGTGACAAAATGAGACAAAAAAAAAAATCAACATAAAGCTAACTATTAGTAAAACGTAAATGTCACTTATCTTCTTTCAAATATGTCCAACTATTATAAGTGTAAAATAGTTAATGCTACTTGATAAATTTCATACTGTTTATTTTATTCTCAAACTTATTAATAATTATGTTAATTCATGTTTTGTAATAATGCATACTACTCAGGGATCTATTTTATTTTTAGAATGGTATTACAAAAATGAAAATCAGACATAGAATAATATTTTTAATTGAATTTATTCAGTTCCCATTTGCTCAAAAGTCCTTAATTTTTTCATTAATGGCCCTTAAAAGTACTTAATTTCCATGTGTAGAAATGTGTACGAACCCTGTATGTGGTATAGCTGGAAGCATACTCGACGTGTATTTTAAGAGGTCCAGGGTTGAGTCCTGGCAAGGCATTGCATATTTTTCATGTCTTTTTTTTTTTTTTTTTTTTTTTTTTTTTTTTTTTTTTTTAACCTGCTGACTCTACCTGTTTAATATCTATTATTATTTCAAATTATTATTGTATTTCATACCATTCAGTACTTCAATTAAAACAGAAAATAAATTGAAACTGTTTTGACTATTAAATATTATGATGCATATATGCAGCATAATTAGTATTCATCAGTGACAAGTGAAAATGCCTTAGAAATTAGAAATACAATTAGAAAACAGATGGTACAATTAAAAATTAGTGATACAATTAGAAAATTGTACCACTTCCATTAGGTTTTGTTTTTGCATTTAAGATTAAAAAGAAAGATATTTTTCCTGCAGAATTATATGATTGTTAATAATTTAAACCAAAGGTTGAAGTCTCATTTGGCAGTACCATCTAAAATTAATGTGATGTTGAATTTTTATATGTTATTATTTTATTAGAAAGCTCTTTTTTTTAACCTTAACTGTTTATATTTGTGAGCATTTATGGTTATGTTTTTTTTAGCGTGAAATTCCATTTTCCCTTATATTTAAATGAAACTTTTGCATGTGTGAAATGGTTATGAATGATGTGTTAGAAAAGTGAAATAATAGATGTATAATGCTTTATTAACTTCAATTTTTCAGTGTGTGCAGAAATTAATAACTGCTGTTAAGAAAAAGAGAAGAGGGGAAATGATAACATCATCGACTCCTCCGGTATGTTTTTTATACAATTTTTTACATATATATCATAAATGTTAATAAATAGATTGTTTTATTTCATATGGAAATTTTTTTTTAAGTTAATTCCTGTATTTACATTTCCTAAAATGTTTCCTAATTATAAGCTGATTTTGTGATATCATTAATTTGTTATAATGTTGAACATAGTGTCTTTTAAAGGTACTACAACATTTAATTAGATACTTATAACATTCTAATAATTACTAGTATATTGTTAAAGTGGTCATTGTGTTTAGTTTCCAAATTTTGCAAACTGAATCATCCAGTGTGGAACATGCAAACTTCAAATGTTGCCAAAGACTATTGTTATTGCTGCAATTTGTGATTCTCCATTAAAACAGGGAAGGTCTAATTATCAAAATTTCATTAGTAATCTAAAAGAGAATATTTCACATATTTTGTTTTACTGTTTTATTTAAAACTACTGTTGTCAATTTTTATTGCAGAAAAATATGCATAAATATTTGCATATTTTTCCTATTTAGTAATTTTTCATGTTTAATTAAATTTAAAATTTCTTTTATTTCTTCAATTTTTTTAAGGAAAAGATTGAAAGTTGTAAAAAAGTTTTCTTAAACTAAAAAACTTTTTTATTTTTCTCAGTCTTAAATAGAAAATGTAAACGATGTTAGCACTACTGTTACACTATTTTATGGTGACATTATAGTTCATTGTATTAAATATGTAAGCATTGGAAGAAAAACCTCAGTATAGGAATATTTGGTACTTTTTCATTTTGCCTGCGCAGGTGATAAGGTTACCAAAAATAGTACAGCCAATGCCAAACAGAATATCCTCGCTGGTAACCTTTTATACCTCATTTTCAAAACAAGTCGCAGCCATTTCTTATCAGATTGATTGTTTCTTTCAATAATAGTGTACAATTACATAGAATTTTTACCCAGATAGTTCAATTTTATGCCCTAATGCCATTCGCGGTACTTAAGTCAATTAGGATGCAATCACACCGCTCATCCAAAAGCAAAAATATAGGAAAGGCAAAGTCAAGGGTTAAATTCATCAATTCTAATGAGAATGCACTGCGGTTTTACATAATTTTTTAGTAAGCTATTTGTACAAATTGATATAATTCTTGCACTTAAAACTTGTATTCCATCTTAAGATTTAACTTGAAATTAATGTAGGTAATTACTGAGAGAATTGGACTTTCGTAACGTAGCTTACGTGAGATGAGATCACTTGGGGTCACGTGATATGAACCAGTGAATCAGGATGTTGTACCATGAAAGCATAGTAAATTCTTAAATTAATGTCTTTTTACAAATTTATTGTTTTTATTTATTGTCTTTTTACAAAATTTTAAATGATATTAAAATATTTATGCCTTCAAAATAAAAAATTTCTTAGAACTAACATTTGTTAAAATTTTTTATGTGTATACTGTGTATTGTCACCAATAAAGTCTGCTTGACAAGATTTGCGCCAGCAAAAGAGAAAAGTTTTGAATATTTTTAACATTTCAGCCATGTTCGTTATAATAGTTTAAAGCAATTTATTATGAAGATTTCTTTTCAAATTTTCACATTATATGACATATTTAATACGCTCTTAGCTTCAATAAGATGCAATATTTGTGGTATGATGAAATAATCATCCTTTGGAATTTCATCATCCTTTGGAAATATATAAGGGAAGGTGCTCACAGCAGATGTTATTGTTTCATTTTTGAGTCATTGTTAAATGTTGTAAATAAGAGGTGTCTCTTGATACTGGAAATATCAAACACCATTTTGATGATTGAGTTTCTGATAAAAGATGGCATAATCATGATCATATGGTTACAGTCTGTGATGATACATTTCCTATGCTTCTATCAGAAGGTGAATTTCCATATTTAGACAGCATAATTTTGAGATGTACCAGATCAGCGAACAACATGTATGTGACCAGTAAAGAAAAATCTGCTGAAGTCAAGAAAAGTTTAATAGGAAATAGGTTAGTGATATAATAGTCTTGTGGTAGTTTCTCACATTGCTATGGAAATGGGCATTTGGATCAGTGGGAAAATTTCCTTTAAGGAAAGCTGAAGAATGTTGATGAATTGCCACATTTGGATACCTAAGGTGTAGACGCCTGAAGTGACAAAACATTAAGCATCTTTAAAACTGCTGTCTAAAAGCCATTTTGGTACTTTCTGATTATCTACATCTTCACCGAAAAGTTGAAAAATATTATTTATGAGGTAAAGTATTATATTGACAAAGTAAGTTATGTGGCAACCCACAATGCTACCAAAAAGTATTTATGTGGCAACCCACAATGCTACCAAAAAGTAATTATGTGGCAACCCAAGTATGTGCACAGTACAGCACATTTGTTTTCTTTGGTGTGTAGTGCCAAAATAAACATATGCCAATTTTGCACTATTCTCTGTTTTTTTTTTTTTTTTTTTTTTTTTTTTTTTTTTTTTTTTTTTTTTTTTTTTTTTTTTTTTTTTTTTTTTTTTTTTTTTTTTTTTTTTTTTTTTTTTTTTTTTTTTTTTTTTTTTTTTTTTTTTTTTTTTTTTTTTTTATTTTCTTTTTTTTTTTTTTTTTTTTTTTTTTTTTTTTTTTTTTTTCCAACAAAAACAGATCACTGTATGTATGGGTGAACAGCAGCACAAAAATGAATTTCTTGAAAAAAAAATGCTTTATTACCAATGTTTTTTGCTTTTTTTAATTTTATTGATTGATTGCTCTTGAAAGAAATTGTTATTGCATCACCATTTTGAAAATGGCTGTTGCCTTTCGTGCGTCAGCTTAGTGAAAAAGTGGCCACAAATGTGTTCATAACTTTTGGTAGGGGTGCAAATAATCAGAAAGGACCAAATTTTTTTATTCATGGCTGATATCAGATGAAACATTGCTTCTTCAGTGTACTGTTAGAATGAAATGAAACTGAAAGTATAGTGTGGAACACACTGTAGTACTTGCCCAACCAGTTAAAAAGTCAAACATTTGGTTTCTAACAGATCTGATCTGGTATCTAAGATCCACACAAGAACTATCAGAAACGTCCGAGTTCTCATAGCTGCTCCGCATTTCAGACTCCGTTTTAAAAGTCCAGCAGAAATTTCAAAAATACATTTCAATCCTTATAAACACACCCGTGAACAAAAGACTTGTTAACAACTCCAAAATCGTACCTTTTAACACTAAGTTTACTTTCCACACAATCTAAAATACCCGACTGAAATCTTGCCACCACGTCTATCATTGCAACATAAATTTCCACACGTCTATCATTAAATTACCGCAAAAGATTTTCAGCATTAACGGGGTTGCCATACAACACGCAGTCACACCAAAACCCAGCGCAGAACACATATCGCCACATTTGGTGATATTAGGGTATATATAAGAATAGAGCCCATTTAAAAATCCCCTTTGGGCATAATGTAAATTCTGAAGCTTCAGTTTTTTTTTTTTTTTTTTTTTTTTTTTTTTTTTTTTTTTTTTTTTTTTTTTTTATTTTTTTTAAATTTTTTTTTTTTTTTTGTTTTTTTTTTTTTTTTTTTTTTTTTTTTTTTTTTTTTTTTTTTTTTTTTTTTTTTTTTTTTTTTTTTTTTTTTTTTTTTTTTACCTTTTAATTTTTAAACAATTAAGTTATGGGTTCATGATCTTTATATATATCTCATCATTTTACTCAAGATACAGGAATTGAACTTAATCTGGGAGGCATGTGGTGATGAATCCACAGAAACATCAAATCTTGCAATTCAAGGAATAGTTGCTTTGGTTACTAATCGGCATCTTGATGTCAAATATGCCATGAACAAGTTTCTAAGTATTATTACTCCTACATGGTAAGTATATATTTTTGGCCTTAAATTTGCTCTTTTTTTTTTCTTATGTAGAGTAATTAGGATTTTTTTGAAGTACAAGTCATGAAAAATAAGCAATTCCCTTGCCGGGCTCTAACCTTTTAAATACATGCCAAGTGTGCTGACTGTTACACCACGAAGGCATGTTAAAAAGGTGGGAGAAATATCTTAAGGTTTTCTTTTCTATAATATAAGTATGTAATAGGAATGTTCTAAGTATTTGTATGCTAACTGCTATCAGGAAGCTTAGTGGTTACCAAGTTAGTATTAGTACCAAACTAAATACCAGGTATTTTATATTTGTATTTTGATAGCAGTACCTTTCTCAGTGATGTTCATTTCTTGAAGATGAATTTCCAATCTATGATGCTTATTCCTGCTATACCCAATTCTTTTTCTTTTCTCTTTATTTTATTTTATTTTTTTTTCAAAATTTGGCTAATGTTAATTTACTCTTAAAGTAAATGTATCGCACATTTATTATAAATTTCATCCATCTTCCATCAAAGCAATTTCTTCCTGTTAGTCCTGTCCTCTTTCTGCTTGTGTTTTGCATTATAGATTTTCTACAGTCATCAGTGATATTTAATTTCATAGTGTGAGAATTAGAGCATTTTCAACATTTCAATTTTCTATGATTCCAGCAAAAGTATATTGGTTAATCTTTGGATTATGGTAACTTGGCGATTTTTTGGCGAAAATTTGGCAACCAACTCTGCTACAGCAACCTGCTAGTTTTTGTTTGGACACCATTTTGTTTTCACGAAGTAAAGACATTTTGTTTTTTTTTTTTTACTCAACATTTTTTTCCAACAATCTGCTAGCCGAATTACGCTTATGCTAGAACTTTTATGGAATAAAAGTGCTTAATCATGACGAAGATTAGGTGCGAAATTGGGAGAAAGTGCTGAATCGCAAACTGTTTGCTGCATTTTTAAGAATTGCACATACACGGTATCCATGTACACGTCGACCTATTTTCACTTAAAAGAACATCCCAGAATTGCACAAAAAGGGCATTGCGCACACTCTTGACTTTATCCATATACTAGGTAGTAACCTTTATCGCCTTACCAAAATGTCGCCAAACTACCTGTTACCATATTCCAAAGATTAGCCAGTATATCTTTTCCATTCTGTCATTTGGCAAATTCCTTCTGATGATAGGCCCATGAGTGGCCGCATGATAAAATCGCTCAACACTGGTAGTTCAGTCTAGAATTCGAAAGCCATATGGGCATTTTCGTGGTTTCCTCTTGTGTAATGTATATATGAGCCAGTTTCCCTTAGAAAGTCCTGCACAAAGGCATCCTTACCTGGTGTGCTTTGCCATAATGAACTGAGCCAAATTTCAGATGATAATTAATGCAGAACATAAAGCTGATAGAATGAAGCTGAGCATATAGTTTGCTAATGAAATATGAGGGGCAAGACTGCAGCAGAGTAGTTTAATATTTGCTGGCAAATTGATTATCTGACGCACATGTTAATGGTTATCACATAAGTACCATTTTGATTTTTAACTTTAATGACGTTTTCTCTAAAGTAATAATTTAAAATAAAATTTACCAGTTTTTTTTTATTATATTTTCAGCAATGCATATGTACTTGTAAAAGCAATTTCTGCAATTATGATGTTTGAATACAACCAGACCAGTGAAACTAACAGAGTGTTCCATTATTCCCTTCAGTAAGTTTCAGATATGTGTTTGTATTTATTAAAGTAGTTTTTCATCAATGTTTTTCTGATACCATATTTACTTGCATACTGTTTACCCTTTTCCTACTGATTTTACCACTTGAAAACTAGGAGGGGATATAACTCCCAATGTAAACTGTTTCCATAGATACAGCTTAAATTAAGGTAAAATAACATGCTGAACAAATATTAATTTAGAAGTCAAACAACAAAAATCAGCATTATATTTGCAAATTTTCTCAGTCAGTGTGATAATTTGAAATATAAGGCTGATTTTTGTTGTTTCACTTCTAAATTAATACAGCTTAAATGGCAAGCGCAGCACATTAAAAAGTATACATAAAGATACTAATATATCCATTTCATATTATGCATTTCAAATGATTATCAAATTTCAATCATATTTTTTTTTTTTTTTTTTTTTTTTTTTTTTTTTTTTTTTTTTTTTTTTTTTTTTGCTTGCACAGAATAGTACTTTCTTATTTGTGAATACATTTTACATTGTTACCACAAATCAGAAGTCGTAAACAAATCATAAACTGAAAAAAACTAAGGAGAAGTATGCATTGGAAAGAACGTGTTTTATTTTAATTAAAATATTATTCATTATTTAAGTGATATGCAGAATTTTACAGTAGCTTTAGTTACTAAATGTTTATTGAATTTTTCCCCTAATTTTGTAATTTAAAGTCTAATTTAACATATTCTTTTTTTTTTCAAGTGATATTAATATCTAATGATGTTTTCTCAAATGATTCATATACAGTTTATACTACAATGCTTGTGCATACAAAAATTATAGTATATTAATCAAATGTATGCGTAATTTCTAAAGATGCATGGTTTTATATGTTTTTTTTTTTTTTTTTTTTTTCTTTCTTTCTTTTATAGCTGCCCAAAGCATCCTTTAATTACTGTTTTGCAAACTAATGATGATTATTTGCCCCTTATTCTTGAAAGTATTTCAGAAGCTATTGATGAAGATAATTTTAGGTAATTAAATTTGCAAACTGAATTAGTATTTATGTGTAATGCCCTTTTCATAAGCATGCTTTTAATTCAGTGTGTTTTCCATGTTTTTTAAATTTTATTTCTTCTGTGGATCATCTTTTATAAATATTTTGAGGATAGATAATAGTTTCATTTAACATTTTATGCTAGTACAAAATACACATTCTGTTTTTTATTCTTTAGAATTTCATAGCATCAACCATTGTTATTACATAAATATATATATAGTTGATATTAGATGAATATGCATAGTAAAAGTAATTAACTGTAATGCAGAGTTAAAAGTAACTTTGCAGAGTCAAATGCATAGTTAAATGTATGTAACGTATGCAGAAATTACTACAGTCAAAAGTCGTTAATTCGGACACCCATAATCCGGAATGATCTATAAACCGGACCTCAAAGCTACAAACTTTCTGTGCATGCGTCGCGTTGAGGCATGCGCGTAAAACCTTTACAGAGTTGCCAACTCTCCCGATTTAGGCGGGAGACTCCCGATTTTCGACCGATCTCCCACCAACCCGATTTACAATATATTTCTCCCGACTTTTTCTTATTTTTAAAATTTCTCACGATTTTTATGGAACTTGGCTTAATACTTTGTTATATGAACAAAAGTGATTTTGGACGTCTGAAAGCAATTGAATTTTCTCTAGATTAATCTAAAACAAAAACCTTGAGAATTAGATAACTTCTGCTTGTGAGTGAGAGCATTATACGTATCCCAGAAAACGTCGTCTCCCTCCAGTTCTCCAATGGGCATCGAACTCCACTGCGTGTCAGCTGGCATATATTAGCCAATGAGGACAAGGCAAGCTGTTATTTGGATGTTCTTTAGTTATTTCGTTCAATTTGTGCTGAGTTGTGCGAGTGCCTTCGGGAAATAGTTTTAGAAATTATCATCTTTTGTTGTGTCTGCGAGAATGAAATACTCGTGCACGTTTCAAAAATCGTACAGTTGACTTTCCTTCCATTATTTCCTCATGGAAATGTAATAAATTTTCGATGTGCACCGCCTGTCGTTGCGATTTTTCGAATTCGCAATGTGGAAGGGCAGATGTTCTCAAATATGTGCAAACACAAAAACACAAGGATAACATGAGTTGTTTTTTTAAAAAAACGAAAACAAAGGACCAAAAAGTTATTAATGCAGAATGTCTGTTCTCTGCCTTTTTACTGGAGCACAACCTGCCACTGAATGCATCGGATCACGCTGCAGCTTTATTTAGAAAAATGTTTCCCAATAGTGAAATTGCTAAGAAATACTCAAGTGCAAGGACCAAAACAGGTGCAATTGTTAAAGAAATGGGTTTGAAAAAAAAATCTTCAGTTATTGATTGCACAAAAAACAGCTCCTCGTTCTGCCTCTCTAAGGATGGAAGCAATAATACCGATTCAAAACGGTATCCAATTTTTGTTTCTTCTTTTTTTAATCCAGATTCTTCAGAAATTGAGTGCAGTTTACTTTTCTGTCCCCATTTTAGAAGGACATTTGACAGGCTTTAATATACCACACCAGTTAATTATTAAACTTTAAAAGAAATGCAGGCCCCTGGATAATTGGGCTTAGCACTTGGTGCCGATAATGCACCAGTATTGGTAGGCTTTGAAGACTGGTGTTGCAGGCATCTTAAGAAAGGGAAAATTCAGATTTGCGATTATGAGGTGCAACGTCACCTCTTAAATTTAGCAGCTGAAAAAGGGGCGCTTCTTTACTTTACCAATAAATGTGGATGAAACACATTGTTTTTATGTTATTTTATTATTATCTTGAAAGGAGTTCTAAAAGGAAGGAAAAATTGAAAACAGTTCCAAAAACAGCTGCATAACAGCAGTTTACAATTAGAAAACTTGAATGAGTTATAAAATCAGCTAGGATTGACACCCAGTGGAGTTTAATTGGAAAACTGAAAGGTGCTGATGGAATTTTAAAATATAGTCAACTGTCTAGAATTGTGTTGGCCATCTTGATAGTTCCCCATAGTAGTGCAGAGTGTTAGAGGATTTTCAGTGTTGTTGCGTAAACGAGGACTAAATTTAGATCTAATATTAGTGATGACACATTAGAAAAACTTTTCTTAGCGAAAGCAAGCCTACGTGGCAATTGCAGTGAACAAAATTAGGAAGTTTCTTTCAGAAAGAAACTTCCTAATTTTGTAACTAACATTCCCTCCTTTTTTTTTCCCCCTTAAACAATGCAAGTAATAAAAATGTTTTTTTATGCGTAAGGTATTTTTGTGTTGCTTGCATTTAAGAATTAGTTACTATTTAAAGTTAATTCATTATTAAAAACCATATTTTTATCATTTAAAAAGTCTTTTTAACATTGTGAAAAATCTCCTGATTTCTTAAAAAAATCTCCTGATTTTTGAGTGTCATAGGTTGGCAAGTATGCCTTTACAGCTGCGAATATGCGTGTGCACATGAGCATAATACATTTACGCTTGTGCGTTTAATGTATAACGCAGTGCTTCGCAACCGGTGTGCCATGGGTAGGATATAGGTGTGCCGCAATCAAATACATGTATTTGACATTTTGCAATTTTTTATCATGTATTTAATACACAATCACAATTTTTTCCATTAATAATGTCTATTTTAAATGTTTTTATATATTTCACTGTTGTGTGGTTGTGTGTGTGATTGTAAGTGAGTCAGCATTTGAATTTTTTCGGCACTTCCTTGATAACTCGGAACTCTTTGGTGTGCCATGAAATTCCAGAAAGATTTTTTGTGCGTCGCAGGTGAGAAAAGGTTGCGGAGCACTGGTATAATGGACGGTATAAGCTAAGCTAAAATTATCTAATTCAATTACTGTTGCAGATTGCGTTTTTCCTTAATCTTCGAATTGGATCCGGCTTTTTATTTTTTGCAGACTGTTAGAGCAATTTTATAAAAGTAAGCTTGAACTTTCGATTATGTCAAATAGAATTTCCGATATATATTTACTAATATGTAAAGGATCTACAAAGCAAAAGTATGTTTTGAAGTCCATTAAACAAAAAGTGGAATTGCTGCAAAAAATGGATAAAGGCATAATCCTTTGTTTATCTAACCATTCCGAAATCTTCTTATCAATTTCACGCTGCTCTGCGGCAGGAGGGGGCAGACGCCGTGGCACGCAATGAATTGAAAGTTCATCTGTCAGCACTATCCTTATCTTCAGGGCAGATGTTTTTATTTTATTTGGCTTATAATTCCTTACTAAATGTATTATTTCATCTCGATGTACTCCGTCTTTGATATGATTTAAATCAAATTCCTCGTCATTATAATTTGCTTATGATAGTGAAGAAAGTGACACAGAGGTTATTGAAAACGAAAAAATTTCGATTGACAAATTAGTCGGTATTCTTGACACAGCAACAAGCAATTATAGGACTTCAACAGCAGAAACTTTGTAACTGAAGAAGAAATTATGTCTGTTTATAGAATTAAAGAGAAAGTATATCACATAAAACGAAGCAACTTATACAACTTACATTGAAAGAAATGTTTATTAAGTAGTAAGCAAATAAATATTAAGCTTTTTTTTTTTTTTTTTTTTTTGTAAAATTTTGATACCCTTTAGATCATAATTGTTCTTTATTTCATAAATTATGGTTTCATATTTTTAATTTTATAATTTCTGCATGCCGTCTTACCAGATTTAAACTGATGATCTATAATCCAGAAGTCCTGACGCATCCGGATTAACGACTTTTGACTGTATTATATAATTAATTAAATTAAATTCATCATATTTTTTAATCTCATTTTTTGGGGGAGTAATGTGGCTAAGTATAGCATTAATTCTTTCAAATGAAGGCCCACCAGTGGCTGAGCGGTAAAGTCGCTGGACAATGGTCGTTCAGTCCGAAGTTTGAATCCTGCAAATGGGCTGGCTGCATGGGCTTTTTTGCTGTTTTCCCTTCATGCAATGTGCATACAAGCCAGTTTCTCTTAGAAAGTCCTCCACGAAGGCATATCTCCCCTTAGACAGATAGAATTGGAGACTTTGCCGTAATCACATAATACCTAAACCAAGTCAAAATAAAGACCTTTTTTCATGTTGAAAAATTTGTCACCTTTTGAAAAAATATTTTCACATAAATCTTCTAAAATGAGGCTTAAGAAGAAGATATTTTCTATTAAAAAACATACGTTTATCTGTAGTAAAATTGGTCTAAATATAAAAAATACAGTTAGTTATTTCAGTGATTAAAAAACAAAACAGAATGACCCTTATAAACTTTTTATTGACAAAACTTACTTTGAAAACAAAAACTTTTATGTAAGAGATTAAAAACAACATCTTAAATTTAATGGCTATTAGGCAATATTAACCTTTCCATAAAAAAATTTTTACCACGTTGTTCTCTAATGATAAAGATCCCAATGAAGTTCATAACAAAAATCATTTTCATGTTTGCATATCAACCAAAAGAATTTGCATAGAATTTTCATATGGCTTAAGTTTGTTGTTTCCTTCATGTCTTAACTTCAGTAATGGATTTTGATCAATAGTGTCAAGTTATTCTTAATCTGATCCTTTTATATAGTTTTTTAAAGGATACCAGACAAATAATAACATTAACATTGCAGCTATGTGTCAGTAGTTAATGTAGTATTTATAATTGTAAATCTTATTTACTTCATGCAGTTTTCAAATTTAATCTTTCAGTTTATGTTAACATATAGTAATCTATAATTACAATATACTATGTGTGAAAGAAGTTAATCAATGTTCCACATTGAATAAAGCTTGATTATTTAATATTAGAACTGCTATAACTGTAAGAACTTGGAATTATTTTGTTAAAACTTTTATTGCCCAAATGTTCTTGTTCTGATGACTGGGCACTTGATTAGCATCCTTCAGGAGTGGCCAAATATGTTGGTCATTGAGTTATCAAACTACCAAGAATGGTTCTAAGATCTACCACAAGAAGTGATGTATCTTGTATCCACAAATAGGGAGATCAACAACAGCAAACATCATACCTTTCTTAGGATTCAAGCCCAAACCTAACATTATATAACAGCTGGTCACACTAACCATGATACCAATCTGGGTAGCTGCCAAAATAACTTCTAAATATTTCTGCAAGTACAAAAATTGTTAGCTATATCATCAAATAAAATTTGATTAGTTATGTATTGAAGTTATTAATTAGTTTTTAAATTTTAAACTATTTCTATGCCTGTGCAAATAATTTTAGAACAATTAAGATCATTTAATTGCAGAAGATGTGCTTTGTTTAAATGACACATTATTAAATCCAGTTCATTCAAAAAGATGGGAATAACTTTTCCTTAGTGAATTTTTGATTTGAACGAGATTTTAAAAATATGAGGGATAATCTATTGTAGGCCTAAACGTTTATTTGAATATGTATGATGTTATAAATTATCAAATTAAATATGGATGAAGATGAGTAATTCATGTATTAATAAAAATGAATGTTACAGAAAGGAAAAACTGTGAATATGTCGGAATGTTTTAAAATCCAGAACTGTTATATATAAAAGTGAAGAATTCTGTCTTAAAATAGGCTCTGGAAGAAAAAATTATTTTTAATATAATTTATTGAGAAGATAGATATATTATTGTGTTAGCTAATTCATGTTTGCATTAAAATTTGTTATTCTTTCATTGTTTAAAAATTTTGTTTTATTTTTATATTAAAACATAGATTTTATTTATTTAGAGGCTTTCAAGTAATGGAACCTGTTATTTGCTATATTTTATCCAACCCTACTCAACGAAAGAGAATTGATTATTCTAAAGTTTTATTATTAGAAACACTTATTGATATAGTATCATCTCAGCCTAGAACAACATTTTACATGCTGCGATTTATTCCATTTTTACAGGTAAAATGTAATTTTCGGTGACTTCTTATTTAACAGAAAATATTACAAATTTTATGCTTAATTTAATATTTTGTGATGTAAACATATTATCCATTAGTCTCTCATAATCCTAATTGTGGTTTATGGTTTTGTTATTGAATTGTGTCTGTAAGAGTTCTTGATTATTTGCAGAATACCATGGCAATAACAGTTAATAAAATAAAATTCTGTGAATACTTACTAGCATAAATCTATAATCCTGTTTGTGGCTTGAGTGTTAAGTTTATGAAGTCTATTCTTATTGTGGTAGTTAGTGCATGGTACTTATATTACATTATGTTCCATCATTTCATTTGAAATTATCTCTCATATAAACAATTATTAAAGTTGACTGCATTGCTTTTATCTGTTAATGCCAATTTTAGTAGTCTACTGTAAATATTTTTTAAACATTTATCCATATTGACTTCTGTTATACCCATAATTGTGTAGCTTTTTATGAAACCCCTTCTAATATAAGGGTAACTCTGAAATTTATGATAGATTACTAAACAGTGATTTTGGTAGTTTAACCTACCAAATCTTAGGAATATTCAAGTAGCTCCCTCCAATGTCAATGCACTTTAATAGGCAGACTTTCCAAAGATTAATTGGTTCAAGTCATCCATCTTGAAATCGATGAAAAATATATCTTTATAATAAATTTTGTTTTAAAGTAAAAAATAGCTGAATGTCACACACAGCAGGATCAGGAGAATAGGGTGGATGTTCTATCACTTAACATGTTTGTGTTCAAAAAATTCAACTGTCACTTTTGCTGAATGAGAAAGTGTGTTATCAGGATGAAGCATGAGACTTCTAATTTTTGCATCTTAAAGAATTTTTGGAAGACACTTAAAAGTGAACTCGTGAGCTGTTATTGTCTTCTGAATCCTCTAACTTGGCAGCTTTGATTGCCCCTGCACTTCTGGGAGGGGGAGGGACATACATTACTTTTTTCTTTGCTTGTTATCTCTTCACCATTGTTGATCAGGAATCAGAATTGTGGATAACTTATCAAAAACCTATACTTAACTTTCTTTACATGTTAGAACGTCAAAAAGTAATATAAACATTTCATCACCATTGTGATTTTAGAAATAATGTAGTATCGACCGCAAGTAAAGATGGTAAGGAATTTTAGAGTTTCTGTACTGATTATGACATGCCCGGAATTTTGATGTTCCATTTTTTTTCTTGGAAAACCAACCGACAAACACATTGTTTCACATGCAGTTCTTTGTGAATAAATTTATGTAAAGCTGTGCATTAATTTCTTTCTGTATCATTTGGTAGGTACAGTGATAGACATGATTTTTTTTTTTTTTTTTTTTTTTTTTTTTTTTTTTTTTTTTTTTATATGGCCAGTGCATTTTCTGGGATTACAGCTGACAAAAGGTCTTCCTGGGTATCCTTCATCCAGGAATCATCCAAGTCATCTGAATAGAGTCACGTGAGATGGAGATGTTGAAGGCACTTTTTAAAATTAAACTCCACTTTAAAATCATAACATAATAATGCTCTTGCATTAGTTCCATTTTCCTTTCTTTCAAAATTTATTTTACAGTAGATGAATTCTGTTGATAAACTCTTTTCACATATTATCAGATGGAGATATAAACTATTTTAAATTTACAGATCTAATAAATTTTCTTTTAATGCATATTGTCTGTCTCTATGTCAAAAATTTCAGAATTATGTATGTATTTGTTCTCTTGTATCCTAGTATCAGTTCTAAATAATTATTTACATCATATAAAAATTATATAATTCTAGCTGTGTATTAGTCATTTTCCCTAATGATCATCTGTAATAAATTTTAGGGAATAGATTTCAGAAAAAGAACTAATAGGAAATTTTATTTTACTTTGGTTTTAATTAATATCTAAAAAATGTGTGATATTTAGAATTCATAAAAATATTTCAGATTCAAATTAGTACTTCACGTCACAGCATTGAAAACATTGTGTTTGTTAATCCTATGTTGATTTGAAGTACTTAACATTATTTCATATTCTATTATTGTATAAAACACTTTATGACATAAGAAAATAATTTAACATCATTTTTCCCTCCCTTTTTAGGTTGAAACCTCACATCAAGTGATTGAAGCTTCCCAATTTGTTGTTAAAGCAAAGAGAGTTTTCAGTGAATTTGAGTGTGATGAAAAAGATCGAATTTATGTTTCAGAATTCATATTAGTTGCATCATTATCTCTTTGTGAAAGAAATTTAGCCTTCGGAAATAACTTCAGCAGTTTACTCAAAATATCCCTCAGTTTGCTACAGACTTTATCTAAGGTAAGTTTTAGACTGAATTTCAGTGCCTTTGTTTGTGCCAGTTGCTAATTTTTAATAAATATTTTGAAGTGCTTTTATTTTATTTTATTGAAGTTACGTTAAGTGCTGGAGAACAGGCTCTTCAAGAAATAAAATTGCTGTTCACCCAGTAATTTATCAGCTTGAGAAAAAGATCAGTATGGATATTCAAATCTGAACTACAAGATACATGAGGCAGTGCTTCCCATCTGTACTTTTACATAACATAACATTTGATGCATGTGGCCATATCTATTTGTTGTTATACAAAACAGTAATATGCTACTATGGCATTTATTCTATATGTTATATGTTACTTTTTTCAGGCATAAAGTAACCTAAGTAAACATATATGTAGATCATTATTTTCTACACCTTCTGGAATGTTTCGCTCCTAAAGAGGATAACATTCTACATTCACATCTCAGTTTCAAATGAAGCTTGAAATTCCTAATCAATATTCTGTTAGTTAAACTATATGTTTCAAGGGAGCATCTCATTCACACCCAAATCTGTACTTCAGCAAGAATGATTTGTTCAAATGAGTCTTTTTCATTGCTGCAACTAGTACACAAAGGATCCTTCTATTATAGATGCATCATCTGTCTAGCTATTTATGTTTTCTGCAAACTAAAATTTAATGTTAATAAAATTTCTGTAGCTTCCTCACATATTACTCAGTTTTGTCCTACAGCAGTAGTGCCCAACCTTTGGCCTATCGCGAGCACATTCCAAAACCATCAACATTTTTATTAAACATATTTCCAATCTCATGTGATACATCTGAAATATTAATTTCTCAAATGGGTTTGAAATGAATAATAATATTAGCTGAACTTTATGGAAATCAGAGAAGCGGAGTTCAAAATAATTTTTCAGTGCATTTAAGTTTTCTGAGTATTTCTCTGTTTCAATTGCCTTGTGGTTATTAATATGGCTTGATAAATTCTGAAAATGGGTGAAATTTTTTTCTCTTATCTGATTTATCCACAAATTTTACTTTATCTGAAAAGCAGTTACAGTCCCAGTCAATTAAAAAAGGATTTTTTCTGTTCCCTGGAGATCTTTGTTCAGTTTGCTCAGTTTAGCTGTTATATCTGTGAGAAAATACAGTTTGGGTAACCAATTATTATCATCCAATTCTTTATAACTTTCACTTTCGGATTCCAAAAAGTGCTTTATTGGCAAAAGAAGTTCTACAAATCGTTGAAGTGCTTTTTCCCTGCTGAGCCATCTAACATCTGAATAAAGCAATAAGATTCCATTTTCGCTATCACGTTCATCAATCAGCAATCAATTATTTTGTAACGTCTTGCAAGATATCTCTTATAACTATAAATGCTTACCATATTTTAACAATTAAGAAATATAAATGAATGGTTATTTTTAAAATATTTTTTGTTCATGGTGCCTAATCGGGCTGGCAAGCACATATAAAACGATCGGTGAGCACAAGGTTGGGAACCGCTGTCCTACAGTATGAAAAAAGTTCAAGTTTTGCTCATTTAAGGTAATTTTAGCTTAAATGAGTGATTCATTTTATATGTGTAAATGTTTTTAATGCTCTATTAATATTTAATGCATTTTTTACATAAATATGAATCTTAATTTACAATCAATGATAAATTTTCATTAAAAGTCTGAAAAGCTACTACATCAATTTTTACAAACATTTGCCAGAGCTAAACAGCACATGCTGCGAAATTTAAAAAATAATAATAAGTAAATAAAACAACTTTGAGAAAAATGATTATGTCACACATTTTTATAGCATTACACCACACTGAGCAAGATATTTGAAATCACTCTTTCTTGGGGATGAAGTGGGATGCATTTCATTGAAATAATCTTTAATAAAATTAGTTTTAACGTTGAAATTATAAATTATATTTATACTGCGTTTTTTTATTTTTTCCCTAATAGTTTGACTACTATTCATCATGTGTTAATGTGTGTTTAACTTTAATTGGAATGATATTAAAAGCAACATCTGGTGTAGTTCTTGAAAAATTCATTGCAATAGGTAAGGGATTGAGTGATATATTTTTTAATGTTACATATATGTTAATATTTTACATGTAATTTATGCTGCTAAACTATGTTATATATGATTTCTCTAAAATTTGTTTAATGATTCATATATTTATTTATTGATGCATTTTAATGAATTGTTCTTTAAATTTTTTTTTTTTTTTTTTTTTTTTTTTTTTTTTTTTTTTTTTTTCTCTATAGGTATGGCTTTGCTGGATCTGAAACCTGTTTCTCCTACAGTTGCAGCATATGTGGCATTTTCTGTAATCCAGCTATTACCTGAACCTTCAATTCTTTCTTTTGATGAAACTATGAAATCCACTCTCTCTCAACTGCTTGGAAAATTAGAATTGTTTTTCACGTGCGATCTAAATAATGTGGACCGAAGCACAGATAATGATGAATCATCACCAAAAAATAAATCTGATTTTTGTGATGGTGACTCTTTGTCCAAAACCAGTACAAGTGATAATTTCAATTATCTTGAAGCTCTAACACCATCTGTTGAGTCATGTTTTGAATGTGTTAGATTTGCTTTAAAACTTGATTCTTCTAGTCTGTATTACAAGTCAAAATGGTTACAATCCATAAAGGAATATTTAGACTCTGGTAGTAATGATAATTTAGAACTGCTATTTTCATTAGCTGCAGCTATATTTCTAATGGCTCCTGATGAACCAAAGCACCTCAGTTCATGCTTAGAAACAATAGAATCTGTTCTTTTAAGAAGTCAATCTTTGGTAAGTGGAATATTTTATTCTTTAATAAAAGAAATTTGTTATAAATTGAAAGTTTACTAATAATAATTCAGGGAAAGATGTCACACCTTCTAATCTGAAAAGCTGTATGTTGTATAAATTTAAATATGGACCTTCATTTGTCATAAATTCTATTTTTACATCTTTCCATGTAGTTGTTACTTAACAAATTGATTGCCAACTATGAGAACATTCATAGCCGGTGATCTGGCTGAGAGAACCAACTGTGAAAAACCTAGTAATTGCTAGGCTAGGTTTTATTAAGAAATTCATATAAATTCATTCACTGTGCTTTAGCTAAGCAAGTTGAAGTGTGTTTGTGTATTCTGTTAGGTATGCCAATATGTAATAACTTTTGAGATCTTTAAAAAAATTTTTTTTTTGGGGGGGGGGAGGTGATTATTAGAACTAGGATCTTAAATTATATATGATATGATTAAATCAAATTGTCTTTTAAGATTCAAATTTTTAAAAAAAATCTATGGCAATCTGTTTCAGATTCTGAAAATTTACTATGATAATCAGCATGTTAATTAGAGAATTCTAATTAATAATTTTTATTTATTTTATCTTTTATTTTGATTTTGTTTATTTGTTTACTGAAATATATTGCTTTCATAGTTCAACAAAAAAGTAACTTTTGAAGTTGGGTAACTTAAATAAAATATCTGTATTATTGCATACTTATTAAAGAATTGTCAGTATTTATTTGATATCACTTCTTATTATTTTTGTTACATGCTTGTTACATGCATCTGTGGATTAAAATTTTTGTGCTGATGATGTAGAGAGGTTGATTGTACACTCTTGATCAAATTTAATTAAACAGAGACTTAAATTAGTGAAGATTGGGAAAATGAACTGTCAGCAACCTTTTAATTGAATGATAAATGTTTATTGCAGTCAGAATTTTTATCTGCACAAAATAACTTATTTAAATAAATTTTTCATAAAAGGTTATTTATTTGCTTTTTTGAAAAAAAAATCATTTTTCAATTCAAGAGGAAATAAGCAATCACTGCTTTCAATATGAAATATACCACCAAAAGATATATTTAAAAAAAAAAAAAAAAAAAAAAAAAAGATGTGCACATCAAAAGCCATTTAAAATATTGAATCTTTGATTGCAAAACAGAATATTCCGGCTCAAAAAAAAAAAAAAAAAAAAAAAAGCAAAAGCAGCTTTTAAAATATGTTTCTTTACTCCATAAGCTAAGATTTAAATTTAAGAAAATTTTAAAAAGTACAGTGTTCATCGCCATCTCCTGAGACGTGTGGCAGAGCATATGTTCTGTGTGAAAATCATTTGTTGTGTGATCAATTTACTGTCTTATAAGAGAAAAACTTGAAAATTTTGTTCAAGAATCCTAAAAATGTATCAGTAGAAAATTAATGATTATAACTGGCTGTTTTTGTAATAGAAAGCTAATATTAAGGATACCAGGGAAAAAAAAGCTGTGTGTATTGTTAAAATGTTTCACTTCCTATATTTTAAAAAAAAATCCCACATTGTTATCCATACAATGTAGAATTCTACCAAAGCTGCAAGTCACCTTTGTGACTAAATTTCTATTTAAAAAATTTTAAAAAAAAAAAAAAAAAAAAAAAAAAAAAAAAAGGAAAAGATGGCATGTGTAAATTGTGTACTTTCTTCACATGTTCCAGCAAAGTCACCTGTTCGAGCACTTACTTTTGGACTCGTTAAAAGAGCACTTTCTATGTGTTTGCCAAAGCCAACTGACAGATTAGAGAAGGCACAATAAGAGAACTGGAAAATGTCTTCCAATGTAAAATTAAAAAATGCTATTTTGTTATTGAAATCAAACTGCAAATAAAAAACAGGTTTTAGACTGTGTGTTTAAAAACAGCATTTGTTCAGTAATTAATAGTTTGGTACATTAGAAAATGTTTAAAAACTTACTAACATGCTCTCAAAAACTTTTCAGACCTCTCAAAACAGGAAGATTTTGGCATCATGTATACAGAAAGCAGGACTGAATGCAAAGCTCATTATTCAGTAAAATTATGATTAAAAATTCTAAACATTCATATCAATTGTCCATATAAAAATATTGGATTTTACAGTAAGGAGATTTATATATTAGATTAAAAAAATGCAAGGAATTATACCAACTGAAATCATGTAATTAGCTCTGTTATATATATGTAATAATAGCAAGAAAAAAAAATGGAGCAGCGTCGATGTATAATAATCTCTTTGAAGGAGGAATATCTTACATGTCCCCACCTTCAAAGAGAAAAAGGCTTGGTGACAGGAAAGCATTACAGCCCTATCGAAACAAAGAAAAATACAATTTTGAAAAAAATCACAGAATATATAAGATAAAAAATATGTAAATCAAATTATAATTTAAACTAATGGTAACCCTTTAATTTTCCCTCTCTGTTCTAAAAGTCGTAATAACTACTTTGGGTTGTGTCATTTCTATATCATTCCATTTTGCATGGTCTGCACAGCACTGATAACGTGATGGAACCAAAACTTTTAACTCAAACCAAAACTTTTCTCTTCGTGTGCTTCCATATTGGATAACTACGCACTTTGTCTGTATAGTGCTTATACGTAATTTTGCTGGACTTGCTTCCTATTGCAATAATATTAAAAATGTGAACTACTACTGGGCACAACTAGAGTGCCAAGTGAATTGTGGCCACAAATATCAATTCCAAATAAAAATGGAAATAAAGCTGCCTCTACTGCCAAGTTTTTTAGATATTACAAAGTCAACATATTAGCATACTACGCAATCAGAATTCTTGAATTCTTCCTCTTCAATATGGATCTGCGATCTTATATAGCTATTATGCATCGAAGCTGCTGTTCGTTTTTTTTTGCTATCATTATATATATGTGTGTTACATATCATTATATGCATTATAATATAAATTGACAAAATAAATCGCTACTTACCAGTGCAACATTTTAAAAAATTAATTAAGAATAATTTGAAATTTAAGATTTTACTGTTTTAAATAGAAACAAATTTAATAATAGAAATTAAAATATATGATAAAGAGCCTTTCACTAAAAAAATTTTGTACAAAATATAAAAATAGGTCAGATGCATAAAAGTTTGAAGTAATTGGTGTAATACATTGAAATTCTTTAAATACTCATAATCAGGGGGTAAATATTTCAGTCTTTCCTCCAGAGACTCAACACATTTAATTTTTATTTACAATAATAAGGTCTTAAATTTTAAATTATTCTTAATTATTGTAATTTAAAAAATGTTGTTCTCATTAAGTGCTGATTTATTTTCTTAATTTGTTTACATAATCTAAGCTACTTTAGCAACTTATGTTTGTTTTGAAAGTCCTGATTACATCTGATTCTAATTTTATAACATATATGTATGTAGTGTCTATGTGAGCAGTAGAAGTTAAACCTGTGGGTCTTCTTGATTTAAGACAACAACTTTAATTACATTCACACATACACAGTCTTCATAATAACATAAAACAATAAGCACAAAAGCTCACTTTTTTTACAATAAAATAAGTTTGCAGTCGTCTTGTATGCAATACATATTTTTTTCTTAACATCTTTATGGTTGTCATCAATATTACTCTCATCATCTGAGTCTAAATCGAGCTTAGCAGAATATAATTTGCAATCAACCATTCATGTAACAAAATGAGATGACTTCACTGGTTCTTTTATTATACAAGTTTTTAAAATACAGCTTATGTCATAATTTTTTCTTAATTCTGAATTTTGTAGTTCCCAATTTCAAGCAGTCGTTCTTTTAAACAAAAAACAAACAAAAAAAAATGCAGTGTTGCTATATATTTGCAGATGATTAACTTAATGTATATTTCCAAAATTGGATATCCTAGCAGTAATTTTCTATGAATAATTCCACTTATTTTATTTTAATCATCTCTCTTCTTTTACTTTTTCTGGTCCACCTGATTTCATCAGAGAGAACATCTCAACAGGTGCAGCCCAGCGCCATCTGGCATTCAGTGTGGACACTGCATACATATAGTATATTATTGATTTTTCATTTTAATTATTCTTTGTCTGTGTTGATCAGAAAACTAAAAAGTTAACCTTTATCTTCCAGTCGACAAGAATATTTGCTTTATTATTATATAAACAAAGTCTTCTGAAAGCACCAGAATCAAAAATATTGATTTTGGAATATTTGCCAAAGTGTGCTACTCATAAAGTAAGTAATGCTGCTCTTTTAATGCAAAATATTTCTATTCTTTATTTTCCTTAAATGCTGCTTTAAAATATAAACAATGTTGCCTTATAAAACTTAATAATGCAAGTTATCAATATGAATGATTCTTTGGCTATTAATATTTATTAAATTTTTAAACAATCAAATAAATCCATATGTTACAGGCAGTTAAATAAATTTGCGTATTCAAATATTTTCTCAGTCCTGTGTAATTTTAAGATGTAATATCTGGTTGTAATGAAAGTTTTCTACCAAAAAATGATCTGAATGAAGTTGGAAAAAAAAAAAAAAAAAAACATGGAAGCAGTACCTTTAGTGCAGGTAGTATCACCCAAATCTATGATTTTCTGCCAATGTTTTGGTAGTTTTTCAAAGCCTTCAGTCCAGAAACTTGGTGTTTGGGAAACCAAAAGAGCAGCAAGATGTAGATGCAGGTGTGATGTCTGGGCTATATGGTGGGTGTGGCAAAAGATCTTATTCAAGTCCGTACAGAGTCCAATCGGCGAATGCAGACACATGTGATCTTGCATAATCTCAATGGAACATTATCTTTTTTTTTGTGTGTATGCCAGAACTCAGGTTGACATTTTTCCTTGACAGCAACATCAACATGGACTAGCACCTTACTGCTGAAGGTTTTACCTTTTTCCAAACACTCTTTGTGGATAATACCACAGCAATCCCACCCGGTACTAAACATCATCTTTTTGTTAGTCAAATTGCATTTTGCGACAGGCTTACCGAGCGCAGACCAACCCCCTTTTCAACCTGTGTTATTGAATTAAATCCACTTTCCATCACAAGGGACGACCCAATCCCTAATCTGCTCGAATATCCTTGCATTGATATTCGAGCAGATTAGGGCGATCCCACATATGTCTGTCCTTATCTGCTTTTGAGTCAACTTATGTGGCACTCACTAATTGAACTTGTACATGAAGTTTATGCGATGCATAGCATGACTAATGGACATGGCACTAACGTTAAGCTCCTTAGCAAGCTCTCAAGTGGTTGCATATTGATCTTTTTCCGCAAGTTCTCACAGATGGGCCTCATCAACATCAGTGGGCCAGCCAGAGCACTTTGCTTCTTGAATGCCATAGTCCTTGTTTTTTAACTTTCAGTAAACCTTCACAGTGTCATATGATACAACATTAGCACCTAAAGCTGTACACGTAATTTGTTGACATTCTGTTGTTAACTTTTTGCAATAGAACTAGAAATGTGGTAGTGTGATAGTTCCATTTTAGACACTTTGCATTTAATGATAACAATAATTTTTTAGAAAAATTTCACAACACAGTGTTCTAAAGCAGGTGCTGTCAATGCCAAAGATCATTTGACAAAATATGATTAAAAATGCCAGCACAAATTGTTTGCTCAGAGGATATTTGTGGTGGCAGGAAACTTTTGTTAAAATCCGATACATTAGAAGTAAAATGATTTCTAGTACTGAGTGCATTCATATTGTAAAGTATTAGAATTTTCTATAAGTTAATAGATTTCAATTTTTTTTTAAATTTTCTTTTATATTTGTATGTTATTTACTTAAATTAATCATTTGTAACATACACACGTAAAAATCTAAATATTGCCTTAACTCAAGCACTTAATGTGATTCAGGCTCTTGTTTGAAAATCATTTGAAATATAAGTGATAATAAAAAATGGCCATTTTCTTAATAAGGATTTTTCATAGGTAATAGCATTAATTTTTAAATACGGTTGCAAACATTTAAGAAAAAAGCCACTGCAATCTTCAGGGATTTGGCTTTTACAGCAGATTACAACCAAATCTCTAATGCTTATGTTTTAAAAATTCATCTGTTAGATTTGTTACAGCACAATAAGTTTATACTCAAATAATAAATTTAAAAAAACAGCTAGAATGCAACTGGAGCATTTAAATGAAAGGAACAGAATCTTTCTCGGTGAGGTCGAACATGTCAGTCGTAGCTTTGTATGACTTGACATGAAATTCTTGTGAAATCAGAATTGTGAAAAAAGTTTTTCATGTAATCCAAGTCCTATTTTCGTGCTGGTAACGTATGATTAAGCTCTTTCAGAATTTTTCCATTAGTCAGTAGAATAAATTAATAATAACCTTTAGACTTAAATTTTAATCACAAAATATAAAAAATCAGTAAGTGAAGTACTTTAGTGATCATTTTATGTCAGTTACTCAATTCAGAAACAGCAGCAGTTGGGATATTTTTGGAATTTGCTCATTCTCAGCTTTGAACATCATCTAAAAAAATCATAATTTGTGTCAGTGCTGATAAATTAGAAATTTTCAAAATTCCTTTGATGAATTTGCACAGCAGTCTTACATGAAAGGTGAAGTGTAAAATAATTAATTCCCTGCTTGCCCTTCCCCATTATTTTCTTTGTGAATATAGGGAAAGAAAGCGGATTGCAAGTTTATTCCATTTTAATCTTAAATAATAATTCCCACTTTCTATCACACATGGAAACAAATTTCCCAACTTGAAGTTAATTCACTACTTAACCATTTTTATAAATTTTAAATAAAGTAAAATTAATTAAAAGTTACATGTGTAACATATGTAATGGAGCTGCTTTTCTGAAGACTTAAACAGGAAAATGATTCATATTTATGTTTCATCAAAAAACCCATGGAAACATCCATGTAGCAAATGCAACATCTCTTTATCTATGTATCTGACACCTCTATACAACGAATTTGTTTTATCAAAGCAAGTTAACAACTTAGCCGTTGATGGCCTGTTTATCATTATGATCTAATAGAAAGAATTTTTTATTATGTTATTTTTAGTTAACTTATTGACATCACATATTCAGATAATGGAAAATGATAGCAAAGCTATTTTTTGTTAATTTTTTAGCATAGAGATTTCATGAAACATTGTAATAAATGTCTAAAATGTTGCATATCTTCATATGTAATTGCTTAAAATTGTAAGGAACTAATGTATTTTCCCTATGCATGCCTGTAAATTGTAGTGGGTAGTAAACGGATTAGAAAATCAATGCTTCAAAGTTTGAATGCAGTTGACTATTCATTTTTTATTCTGAAAAATGTCCTAAATGAACCCAGTCTTAAATACAGTGGATGATAATTTATTGCCACATAGATTTGAGTGACTGTGTATCTTCAGCTCTAAACTATCCCACTTAACATGGTGGTGGCAGGGTAATATAAGGGTTTAAGGCATAGTTGTCCATGTGATGTAATGCAGCTAACAAACTGGGAAATCTTTGGATCCTGAAAAATTCTGGGTAGGCCACAGTTAATCTTTTGTTTTTTGTACTTAAAAGTTCTTGAATTCTCGCTTGATAACATATTCTAATTAAGCTTGCACACTTTTTGTAGAATATAGCATACTCTACATTGTTTCTTAAGAGTTTTTCAATTTGTGATTTTTTTACTACTTTTTTTTTTTTTTTTTTTTTTTTTTTTTTTTTTAACCCTCCAAGTGTTATGGGTTTTGCTGTGAAATATCAAAGTTGCTCAAACTGTCATGAATAAGTGATATTTTCTTGATTTTAATTAAAAGACTACTCTCTCACTTTGTACCTTGATTGCTTTTCTTTCAATATACATCCAAACTGAAATCAGATACATTAAAGCTTGCAGAAATTTTCATGTGTAATGAATAAAGAAGCCAGCCTTCTATACGGAATTTTCCGGCCATAACACTGAGAGGATTAATGGCAGATATCTCAATTTTTGTTGTTGACTTTTATTATTTTTTGCTCTTAAAAATTTTATAATTTCCTGTTTTTTCACATAGTTCATATTTCAAAGCATATTATTTTCACATTCTGTAATCATGTGTGTCATGCTGCTTCACATAGCTTCAATAAAGTTGTGTGTTTCAGTTTTGTGTTTTCTGCCATGTATGGATTTTCATTATTTAATAATTAGCATGTATGCCTATAAAATGCTATTTTCACTACAATTTATATGTAACATGTAATTTTTCCCCAGTATTCCATTCCACCTGTGATAAGTATTCTTAAAATGATGGCAAATGAGACTGATTTAAAGGCTCTTGCGATACAGTTGATGCTGCAGTTATGGAAAAAACAAGATCGATGCTTTACATATCTGCACAAGCAACTAGTAGAACCTTGTAAGGTTATTTCCAGTGATACAGGCATAAATGAAGTTAAAATATCACAAGCAGCAGCTATCAAAGAAATTTGTCAGATGGAGTGAGTAAATTTTTCATTCAATCCCTTTTTTCTTTTTAATAATATAATTTTTTATATTTTGTGATCTTGGAAAGCGAATTATCCCTTAAGAATCATGCTGCAAAATGCACTTATATGAAGAAGAAACAAGTAAAGCCATTGCTGTTATTTTTCATCTAGCTATTTTTTTTTAAACTAACAAAGATTATTTGCCAACCTTGAGTTCCAGATTGGTTTTAAAAAAATAACTAATTTTGTACATTTAAAATGAACAGTATTGATTTAATTGAGCTAATAATAATTTTGACCTAAAGATAATCTAGAAAAAATTATGTCATGTGGAGCTTTTGATTATCAAAGGTGAATTTTCTGACAATTTAGAAGCATTTTAAAATTTGAACAGTTACAGAAACAGTGCTATATCATCAAAAATAGTGGCATGCCCATAATTTCAACTTTCATTTTAAATCCATTATGTTATTAATTGATCTTTAACTATGTATAATTCTAAATGAGCGGAATCATTTGTAATAATCTGTATATCCTTCTCTTATTGATCCAATTTATAATATTCTAGTTGTCGCAAAGTTCCGTATCTGGATTACATTTTTACTACTTTTGGTCTACCGTACCAGAAAAATCCAATTACAAAACAGTTTTAAATAATGCAAATATTCATGTTTGGGCATTTTTAAAATTTAAAATAACTTATTTTGTAAAATAAAAAAAAGTGTTCAACTTTTTATATATTCTTCTAACCCTTGTGCTTATATGAAGGAAAATTTTGTACTCATTATTTAAAAAAAAAATGACTCCCATGCATCAGAAATTGCTGAGATATATAAATTCAGAATTTGTGATTTTTTTTATGTCATTTTCAGTTACCATTGGTTGGTTGGTTAATAAATAAATTAAAATAGTTCCAGTTAGTTTTTTACCCCTCAACATCATTCAGTGATATTCTTTTGTGATTCACTATTTTCTTTAATTTCTAATTTTGTTAACATTTGGTATGCTGAAAGATTTTTAATACAATTAATTTATGAAATTTTCAAAGTATATAAATACATTATTAATATGAGATTTTAGTATCTTAAAATCATAATCTGGTGAGTATGCAAAAAATTCAATAAAATACATTTTTTTTTCCTTTAATTAATGCAAATAATATTACAAGTTGGCTATGTGCCTATTACTAAAGGTCTGCCGGCATTTTCTAGAACACCAGTTCTATAAAATTGTTTGAATAAGATTTCCATTTTGAACAAAATTATATTGATAAAGATTTTTCAGAAATAATACTGCTCATTATTTAATCTGTTAACATTAGAAATATTTTTCTAAATTGATATTTTATTTTTAACTATGTACAAATGGAAAGGTGTTGCTATTCATTTCGTGCTCCTGAATATAATCTATGATTTTAATATAAAATATTTCACTCAATTTTTGTTGTATGGCAGTCAAACTTGTATTTTATTTATTTATTTATTTATTTATTTATTTTAATAACAAAAACAAATTTTTCCTAAATCTCAGTATGCGGACCCGAAGGAACATATAAAATGTTAAGTTTGTAATTTTTACAAAATTAATTTTCATAAATTTAAAAATGCCAGAAAATGTAAATTTGCCTTATTTAAAACATTTCTGTAATTGGTAAGTATATGTTCATGACTAAAGAAAGGCCAACTAAGAACTTTGTGAACATGGTTTATATGCATATCCTTACATGAACATTTGTAAAAGTGAGAATGAACACCGACTGAAAGAATATCATGCTAATAATTATTAATTAATAAAATACATACAAAGGAATCTTACATATGAGTAAGTACATGCAAATTAAGGTTTTACATATGCCTGTTTATTATTTTGTATCTTTGTTTCAAGAATTTGGGAACTGAAGAAATAATATTTTGAAATTTTAATATATTGTCAGATAATGCTTTATTATCAAATGTTGTTATAATTTACATATTATATTTGCTTATCTAAAGCAGCTAATTTTTTTAATCACTATGTATATTTATCTTCATATATATATATATATATATTTCTCCCAAAAAATATTGAGAGTTCAAGGTTGATGGACATTTCTTGTTAGATTTTTAAGCTATTACGTGATTCTGTTGTGTAGGCAAATTGAAAGACTGTTCGTTTTTTTATTCTAGTGTCATTTGAGAATCATCAGGTGAATAATGTATTTAAAATATGCCTTCCCTGCTTTTAAAAACATAACAGAATGAAGCTATGTAATCTAAATAGAAATGAAATTTTAATGTCAATAGTATGATATTTTATTAATTCTCGGACCACATTAGAATTCTTGCTTCAATTTCAATTTGTTTTATACATGCAGCAAGACTGTAAGAAATGTCTACTATATATGTGCATTTTTAATTATTCTACTAACAAATTATCACTTTTAGGCCTGAGAAGTACGGGAAAGAATTTCTAGATACTTTGTCTTCTATATTTAATGAATCACATGATGAAATTACTTCAGCCGCTGCCTGTTTAGCATTAGATGGTGTTATAAGTCTTTGTAAATATGAGGTAACTGTTTTATTGGAGTTTGTATTATTTTAATTCATTATTATGTGAATAGTGGCATAATATTCAAATGCATAATTAATAGCAATATGATTTCTTTCATGTGTATTATTTGGTTCATTTGATTATGGCAAAGCATGACAGGGCTATCTTCCTAAAGGAAAGGAAAGGATGCCTTTGGGGGGGGACTTTATAAGGTAAAACTGGCTCATATATGCATTACACATGGGGGAAATCATTAAAATGCTCATGCAATCAGCCCATTAACCTAGAGTTGAACCCAGCTTGAACCACTTTTCAGCAACTTTTTTGCACATCTGCTGTGGCATTTTCCATTTTATATATGATACAAAATATTATGTATGATAAATCATATTATGAAAAAAGTCTGAAATTATTTTTTAAACAATTTTGTTGTAAATGTTAGTAGTTTGTGTTTTAAATCTTATGTTAGTGACAATAATTAAAACATCCTTTTTAAGCTAAAATTTTTTTTTTTTTTTAATGCTAAAAATATTTGTATATGAAACGTTTGTAATTATTATTTATGATATGCTTTTTATGCTAAAAATATTTGTATATGAAAGATTTATAATTATGTTTATTGTTATTTAGGTTATTGATCTTCGATCTACATGGAAAGCATTAGCTCCAAGGTTGATCAAAGATAAAAGGTATTTGTATATACATAGTTTTTAATCTGTTTTCCATTTGCTATGCCAAACTGTAATATGTAATTATAACAATATAATTTACTTTTGCTTAAAAGAAAGAAAATTATGAAACTATTTTTATCAGTTCTTGGAGGATAGTTTTGTTCTAGCAAAAAAATTACATATTTTTAAAAAAATTATTTTTGATGCTATATGTTTGTCAAAAATGTGTTTTTGGAAAATTATAATATATTACATAATTTTTTTTTTCTCAATAGGCCACTGATAACTTGTAGAATGTTTCAGTTGCTTGCTTTGGTGCCTGAACTACGAGTGAAATCCTTTGAATATGATAATTTTATGAGCGAAGTGATGTCTTTTATTTGGAAGCAGATAATTTCTGGACTTACTGAGCCAGTTGCTATAAGTGCTGCATACAAAGCTTTAGCAGAATTTCCTTTAGATTTTTATGTTCTGAAACAATTTCCTCCAGCTGTAAGACCTGTTTTCTATTAGTGTATTAGTATTTCTATCATTACAATACCTATTTTATATTCTCACGATTAATCATTCTAATACCGTTTTAGTAGTATTCTTCTGATGCATTTTAGGAATTTTTTTTTATTGTAATTGTAGTTGTAAAGATAATTTTTTAATTTAACTTATATTCAACATTATAACAAATATACTTTAAAGAAATGACAGAATGATTTTTACTGTTGCACAAAAGGCAGTTTTACAATAAACACCGAAATTGCAAAGAAAAAATGTAAATTATAATAAAATATGTATTTGAAGATCGACTATAGATGACACAAAAACAGCGGAGTTTACAGTAGTAAAAGCTTGTGGTAAATAAGAAATTTTAATGTCTATAAATAGCATATAAACATGTATTTTTCTTTTGAAAACTGCGTTTCATTCTGCCTTTGGGGAGGAAGATGCGCAGTGAAAATGAAAAAAAAAAAAAAAAAATACTGTATTTGTATAATACTTAGAGCAGAAATTTAGTAAATGATTTTCAAATTCTTCAAGCATTACTTTGCAAACTAATTTCATACACTATTAAAAATACTATTATGTATTTCCTTAATGTGATAATTTTAAAATTTGCATTTGAGAATTTAAATCTCTTATAGGCAAAACAAAATTTAAAGCTCCCTCCTTCTATGAAAGCTACACCTTTTGATATGGGAAAATTGCCTGAAGATGTACTTACATATATTCCTGGTTATTGCTTCACTGACTTGCTGAAAAGTTTAGATAATGATATTATTATTAAAGGTAATATATTTATTATCATTAGAAATTCAGTATCAAAATTCTAATTAAATTTAATTTTCTGTATTTATTTTGCTTTTGTTGTTACTTCTTAATTATACTTTAGTGCAATCATAATTTTTAACAAATATATGTGTTAGTCATATTTTGAGTATATAATTTTATGGAAACTGCAATTTTTGTTAACAAAGCAATAGATTGATAGATATATTTATAGTTTTTTTAAAAATAATTCATTACTAAATGGATATCTATTGCAGTACTTTTATTTTTGTAATTAAAACAGGATCTTTCAAATTCTTTATTTCATAAACTGATATGCAGTAACTTCAGAATATTAAATGCATGGTACTGAAAGGAGTTCACTTACCTAAATCGACAACATTTATTGTTGTAGATTTAAGTGACTTTTTCAGTTCATATTCGCTCAGTATTACTATAAAACAATATTCACTCAGTATTACTATAAAAATTTTCAAATCTAGTGTTGATCAAATGGTCAAAACAGTGGTAGTGGTTAGGGCCAGCAGAAGTGGGCCTGCGCCATAGTCAGGTGCCACCAAAAAAGGGACACCAGTTGAAGGTTTATAATCATTTCAATTTTTATTAATAATTCTGAAAAGATGCAATTATACAATGTACTATGTTTAATATAAATATTTTCCCTCTGAAATTAAGCCGTTAATGTGTGCCAAGTGTAATAAAAAATCAAAAGTTAATAATTTATAAATTTTGTTTTATATTACATCTCTGTGTATCAAAATGCATTTGTGATTGTTTTCTGTTTGATTTTGAAAAGTTATTACATGCTGCATTGCCCCACTTTGAAATAAAGTGTTAGATGAAAGGGTTAGATGTTAGGGTGTAGATGAAAATTTAACTGCTAATGTGTTCAACATCTTTGTAATTTTAATAGTTTGTTATCTGTTGTATACTTTATATATATATTTCTTTTTACAATATAAAGATGAAAATCTGTAAATATTCGGTATTTTCTAAAAGATATACTTTTATTTACACATTATACTATAGGACATCAAATATTTCAAATGGCAGTTATTTTCGTGCAGTTTTCAAAAAATTTTGGGAATAAAGAAAAAAAAAAAAAAAGAAATCTTTTTAAAAAGAAAAGATACTTAATGTTAAATTTTAAATTGATTAAAAAAAGATTTAATTCTATGCATTCAAGTATGCATATATCAGTTAAAATTAGTGGCTATAGATATTAAAAAAAAGTTCTGTATCTTGAGTTTTGGATTGCAGAAAGCAAATTTTCTGATAAAAATTTGACAGCATTCTGAAATAAGTGGATAAAAGAGCACTGTTTCACTAGGTATATTTGTTTTAATATAGTTGATTATCTAATGTGTATCTATTTAGGAACTAAATTTTTAATGTTATTTATTTTCTAATGAATAGAATGGTTTGAAATATTTCTGCATTTTTTAGATCGTACTTTTAAAAAGCATATGTCTTCTTCCGTTAACTATTGCATATGTGCATTAAATAAAATGTTTGAAATATGAATGAAATTATTAAATGGATTGACAACTGAAGTCAAGGTCAAGATTCCATACATCTATTCATTATTTTATGTTTTTGCTTCTAAGAATTTGAAAAATAGCTCTGCATTGCTAGTGATCTTTTTTGAATATCCTTAGCAGCTTCTGTATGGTATTTTAGTATATGTGAAAATAATTGTAAAATTTGTTTATGTTAATAATTCTTAGGAAATCATCAAATAAGTTGTATCAAAAGAATAATGGAAATATCTTACAACTTGGCAGTTTAAACTAAATTTTATACTCTACAAATTATTTGCTACTAAGTTACAGAAATTATCTTAGAAACGGCCTCATTGAAAACTGCTGCTTATGTTACGTTATTTTGGAATACATATGAAATAAAATTTCACAAATTTTAAGCAATGTAAGTAACAGTTTTGAAAAAAAAATTTGAAGTTCACCAAATATTATTCTAATCTTCAGTGCATTTGATGTGAGAAAATCGAAAATGAGTAATTTTAATGCAGTCTTCTGTTTGCATTATTAAAACCTTGAAGATAGAAGTGTTTGGCTTCAAATTTAATCTTAATCACAGCACTTTTAAAATACAAATAAAAAAAAATGTTTTGAAGTATTCAGCGCAGTAGTTCTTTTTATACTGTATATTTTAATATGCTACTGTTAAATTATTTCTCTTTGTGTAAATGTAGCGTATAGTATTTATGTAAATATATATTATCATGCATTTAATTTTTGTGCCAAATATATGTTATTTCTTTATAATGATTAATGTTCTTGTACATCAAACATCAGAAGAGTATACGTTTATTTTAACAATCGTATCTTCATCTTATGCTTATGCTTATCTTATGCTTTTCCATCATTTACTTGCCATTATGATTATTTCTAAACTGCTTAAGGATTACAATCCAGTCACAAATATAAATTAAAGTACTGTTTAATAAATTAAGATTTTAACAATTTATTAGGAAATAATTTCTGTCTCAGATCTTGACCTGATTCTGATTATACATTAATTGAAAGCAGTGAAAACTATAAAAATCTTTTTGCAAGTAGATGAAACTAGAGATCATCATATATTTGAAACAATATTAAAATATTAAAAAATATGGTTATTTTTTCTGAGGATATAAGCAATCAAGGCAAACATGAAAGAAGGAAAAGTTAAATTTAAATACAGTCAAAAGTCGTTAATCCGGACTCATCGGGCCTTCGGCGATTCGGATTATCGATTTTTCCGGTTTAGATCATCAGTTTAAATCTGGAAGATGGTGGAGAAGAGGAAATATTAAAATTAAAAATATGGAAACGTAATTTATAAATAAAAGAAACAATTATTGATTAAAGGGTATCAAAATTTACAAAAAAAAAAAAAAAAAAAAGTTAATAGTTTTGTTTACTTTATTAAACATTCTTAATGTAAGTTGTTTAGTTGCTTCGTTTTTTAGTATCAAACATTTCTTTAAATCTGTAACAGCCAAATTTGTTTTTCAGTTACAAAGTTCCGCTGTTCACGTCCTATAATTGATGTGTCTACGACATTGTCAATCGAAATTTTTTTTGTTTTCAAGAACCTCTGTCATTCTTAGCTATCGGGAAGAGAATTATAATGACAAGGATTTGATTTAAATCATATCAAGACGCAGTTAGAAATAAGATAAAACTCATTAGTAGGAATTATAAGCCAAATAAAATAAAAAACATTCCTGAAGATTAAGGATAGTGGGAAGATCAACTTCCAATCATGCGCACGGCGTTAAAGATAAACAAAGTTAGAAACAAAGGGTATGCTTTATCCATTTTTGCAGCAATCCACTTTTGTTTAATGACTTCGTAAATACTTTCGCTTTGTAGATCCTTACCTATTAGTAAATATATATAGAAATCATTTGACATAATCGAAATTCAACTTATTTAAAAATTGCTCTAACAGTCTGCAAAAAATAATAGGCCGGATCCAATTCGAGATTAAGGAACAACGCCAATCTGCAAAATTACTGAAATAGATTATAGGTAATTTTCGTGATGCAAAAGCAAAGTTTTTAAAGTTATAAATTAAAACTTTAGCAGCAGTAGCATAGAAGCTCCTAAGATTTAGGTTGTGCAGACATTGAGACATTAAAAAGGTTTCAAATTAACCAATTTATTAACATATATAAAAAATAAAAACACAATGAATAAATTAAACAATTCAGTAACTTAGAAATTAATAATATAACCATCTATCAAAATTGAATAATTAAACAAAAAAAAAAAAAAAAACAAAAAAAAAAAAAAAAAAAACGCGAAAAAAACGTCCTAAACAGAAATTATGCGGTTTCAAATGAAATAGCTACACTGTCAATAGTCCACTCTTAACGATCAAGAAGCACTGAAAATTAAATTAAGTCTTGAGAAGACTTAAATCCGGCCTAACTCTGCTCCTAGTTGAACACGAGGAATCAATAGCCCAGTTAAACATCGCCGCTAACTTATGTAAATGCCGCCTTCATGAAGAACAGGATGCCGCACGGCAGTCACACATTGTAGCTTCTTTTGAGAATCCAGTCTCAAGTCATCTTGGAGACAGGAACCAAGGAACTATCCGGAAATCATCTTGCAGCTGAACAAGGAATTATTCAGGAAAGTCATCGTAGATGGAACTCGGAACTTCCGAGGTTCCAGTCTACAAGATGACTTTTCCTGAATAAGTTCCTTGGTTCCTTTGAGGTCGGGATTATGGGTGTCCGAATTAACGACTTTTGACTGTATTACATTAAAATACAAATCTTGGGACATTTTTGTTTTGTGTCCTGTTTGTATTCTAAATTAAATAATAAAGGGAAAGTAAAATTAAAGGAGTTTAACTCTCACTATATTGTCTCAGAGGAGTTTATTATGCAATCAGTTTTAAAATTATCTTGTTATTTCAAATGCATTTAATGCATTTGTTGGGAGTAGCTGTCGGTCATTAAATTGTTTCATTACCAAGAGCACTGCAGGGAATTAATTTTTGCCGTGAAATAAAAATGAAAATCTGTTCAAAAATTGAAACTAAAAACATACATAATATTGATGAAATCTAGCACTAGATATGTGGCTAAAAAATTCCTGCAGCAAAAATAAATCAAAAAGCTTAGAGTCTTTATCTAATCATTTAATACTTATGAACTTAAATGTTATAATTTTAAATGTTTTCAGTATTACTTGCTGATGCTGCATGCATTCAATTCTAAATCCAAAATTTCCAGTTCTAAAACCAAAAATTATGTATTCAGCATAATATATTAATTTTTACTGCTATTACAATAGAAGTTTATTTTATAAAATCACAATAAAAGTACACAAAAATCATATTCTAAGGGCTCAAATATGGGCAATTGTTTCTATAAATTATGGATTATATTATGTCTTTAATCTTAAATTAATATTATTTCATCTTAATATTTATTTTCATTTTAACTGCTTGCATATTTTTGTGTTTTGTGTAAACAGCATCTGTAATAATAGTATAATTCACTTTATTTATTCTTTAGATGTTTGAAAAATGTAATTTATGTCATTTTTAAAATTTCATTTTGAATTCTGCACATAAATATACCTTAAATTTCACATATGTTTTGGTTTATAAAAACTTTGCGAAATGTTCAAAGTTTATTAATTAAAATGAAAGAATTATTTATCTGCAGTGTGATTTATTACTGTTGTAGGTTATTCTTTCAATTTTTAATGTTTCACATTTTTTGCAAATGCCAGTTTTTATAAATTTTAGGTTACACTCATTTCTTACACTCCCTTCTAAAACAAGAACTTAGAGACTTGCCTAGAAGTGCTTTCACTCAAAGAAGACATATAGTTAAACGAGAAAATACTTGTGAAGTCTTGTCCAAAGTTCCTGGGTTTTTATGCAGCCAAATTGAATCAAGAAAATCTCCAGCTATTCAAAAGAATCTTTCAGGTCGGTGTGAATATCTGTGAAATATCTCTTGCATAAAAGCTTGAATTTAGTTTTGTTTTGCATGCTTTTATTAAAACACTCCATTTGTACTAAAGAAATTTTCTGACATTATGTAGTTTTATTTTTATTTATTTATTTATTTATTGACTTTTTTCTTTTTGGTGTGAGTGTGTTAAAATGTGTCAAAGTATTTTCTGAGTGAAATAAGTGTATCTTCTAAAAATTTAACAAATTCAGATTTTTAAAATTTTTCATACAGGTTATATGTAAAATAAAGTTATATCTGAAATTCTCTCATAATGTCATTTTTGCTTGTACACTGACTACCAATAAGTATTTAGACACCTGTGATGGAAAAGAAAAACTAACTTTATTCAAAATCAATAGTTGGTAGAGCCTCCATGAGAGGTAAATTACTGCGTGGACCCTCCGGGGCTACTTTCCCACAAGTTTGTTTGACAGCTAGTGGTATTTTCTTCCACTTGGCTTGGAGAAGACATAGAAGTTCCTTCACCAATTTTGCATGGGTAGTGTACCCCTGAATTCGCCGATGCAACTCGTCCCAGAGGTCTCGATAGGGCTCAGGTCTGGACTCTGGAAGGCCATCCTTCGATGAACTCCATTGGCACATACCAAACCTTGGTTAGGTCATGACAACTGGCATTGTTTCCTGAAAAGAACCTCCAACCGTAAAACTGCCAAAGTAGGAAGCACATTGTCATCCAAAATGGTGCAGTAGGCATCGGAGTTGAGCTTACCATGAATGGGGACCAAGGGGTCCCGCCCATACCAGGAGAAAACACACCAGACATAATTCCACCTCGCCGAACTTGACTTTTGGCACAATGCATTCTGGCAGGAGACATTCTCCAGGTAGATTGCCAGACCCAGATCCTTCCATGCGAACTGTAAAGGGTGAACCTGGCATTCGTCACTCCAACCCTTTCCACTGATCTACGGTCCAATTTCGATGTGCTTTGCACCACATTAACCGAGCAGCGGTTGGACTTTGTGTCATCAGGCTTATGGGCAGCACACAGCCATGAAAACCAAGCAGATGGGCTTCCTTACTTATGGTATTCATTGAAACAATACTCCCGGATGCCTGTTGAAACTCCTTGCGGATGAGGGCCATCGGTTGGGTGCGGTTCTCCTGAATTTCTCTGGACAGCACTCGTCGGTCTCTATCTCCTAGTTTCATTGGTCTGCCGACTCTGGGCACATTCCGACAATCACTGCTCACCTTCCACTTCTTAATCACATAGGCCACTGTCGATTTTGGGTACTTCAGATCGCTAGATATGTCCCTTAAGGATCGGCCACATTTGTGATACCCGATATATACCTTTCTCGAAATCAGAGAGCTCCGAACTTCAAGGACTTTGAGTGACTAAAGCCGACGCTGTTTTCCTACACGATATATACCGGCGGAGTTTGTGACGTACCTTAGGACCGCAGATATCGTCATTTGCATAGGTGTCCAAATACTTATTGGTAGTCAGTGTAGATGCCTTTCTAACTGAGACTAAATATACAGGAAGGTCTGAAAACCAGTAGATATTAAAAAATAAATTTTAAAAAAATATATATTTCAGTGAATTTACCTTTTATCATTATTCATTTAACCAAAAGATATAAATTTATGGGTTTCTTTCTTTTCTTATACTCTAATAATTGCATTGTGTCCATCAGATGATGATGTACCTTGGATTTAAAAATGTATGCCTCTTCTTTCAAAGTATCACTATCAAAAGCCAGCATTATGCTGACTTGTGAAACATTTTTTCCTAACCTTGAAGAAGAGAAAATGTTGGATTCTCTATTATTTATATAGAACAATGTTACTTTACTTTTGCTCTCCAGTTTTAGAGAAAATGGTGTAATAATCTCTCACATCCAGTATCAATACACATACAGATGCTATTTATCATCCATGAAAGTTTTTTTTTTTTTTTAATCAGCTACTGTTTAGTTTTTAAACCTTAATGTGTGTTCTGATAATGCTTTGTAAAACAGACCTTTTTTATTTTTTATAAATTTCCTGTGTTTTGTATTCCTTTAACAGCTGAGATTAAGTGTGCTTTATTCAGTTAGCTGTATAATGATCTTCCTTTAGTTTCTCACTATGCATCTTCCGATGAGTAATATTTTCTGTCTTATGAGCTGTCTGTCAGTTGGTCAAAATTCTCTGTTAGCTTTTGAGCAAATTCCACAGCTTTTGTGATCAGGAAAGCTCTAGAAATAAGGACAGATTTTATTCTTATCATTTAAAACTATACTAGCTTCAAATAAACTTTATTCTGAAAGAGCTCGCTCAACATCTCTTGATTTTCTATTCCTTTTGTGCATCCTTGACACATTTGAACTTTAATTAGTTCTTCATCAATTACAGGTCTTTTGTTAAGTAAAAATTTTGCAGTGTTTGGAAAATTCCCAATTTAAGTGTATCTTGGACAAGTGAGCATTAGTCAACAACAACATTTGTGTATTTACATATATATGTATTTTTGTGTAAGTATTTAATAAAATAAATATGTGATGTATGTTGAGGCAGTTAGGGGGCATTTCATATCTTCTCTTTCATTATATAGCAAAATATATAATAAAAGAAATGCAGTAAAATCATGTAGTCAGTTATTCTGATTTTGAGCAAGGGACATAAGAAGCATAACTTTTAAATTTTTATGGGTTGCTGACTGCTTTGTTCTTTAGATGAGGGCTAAACATAGAAAAAGAATTACACCAGAAATTGATTGAATGATTATAATTTTTTACTCTAGAAGTTGCTATTATCAAATTATATTACTGGCAGTTTATACTGTCAGACAATAAAAGATTAGATGGCATATTTTTATTTATACTAAGATTTGATTATCAAGTTTTTGACAAAAAATAGATCAAAGAGAAATATGCTGTAATTACTTTAATTTCACAAGTTGCTTTGTAAAGAAGTTTTGCCAAAAAATTGCAGATGATTCATTAAAGTTTGATTGAAAGAAACAGAACATGATATGTGTTACAAAGTGGATAGAATTTCCTAATTGGCCTTCCACATTTAGCATTTTGCCTGCTGACTGTCAGAACACAGACTAGCTTCCTCTAGCTGAATGGAACAAGGATTATGTAACTCTCCCCACCTGAACTCGAATGAGTTCACTTACTATTGATTTTCAACAAGGTTTACATTCAAGAACCATTTAAAATTACGTCAAATACTAAACATCACAATTGTGCTCAATTATTTGATATATAAACACAACACAAATTATTTTTTTAATATTCTAAATAAAGTTATTTAAATATCAAGCTTAAAAATACATAACAAAAATATCATTAATGCATAGATAGAAAATTGATAGTTTTTCAAGTTTAAACTTACATAATTAAGGGTTAATTTCCAAATTCTAAGCAAGTTGTTGAGTGTGTTATATTTTCTTTAGACATTTTAATAAGAACAGAATGAATTTTTCTGTCTTCTCCTGGGAAAGAGTCTAAAATTTTTCCCATCATCCACATATTCTGATTTATCATTAATCAAAACAATATAATTTACATTAAATGAAACTATTTGACCTGCTTGTGGAGAAATAAAGGCTGATCTGATATTAAATAAATACTCCTTTCCAGCTTTTGATTGATTCAAAAGAATTTCCTGATATTTATATTTCTCTACCAAAGAATTTCTATTAACATTCAAATCTTCATTTTTTTTTGTTTTGTTACAGGTAAAGACGCTAACATTTTACCGAGGAGAAAAAAAGGTAAAGTGAGGGAGAGGGTTCTAAGGGTTCATTGTACAGATACATGATAGGCCTAGAATTAACCAGGGCTTCAATCTCTTAGAAAACAGTTTTCAGTTCTTTCAGTGAAAGAGATGATCATACAACAATTTTAAGCAAGTTTTAACCATTCGTATATGTATCTCTCAGAAATCTCCCCACCATGGACTTTTTTCGGCAATAAAATTTTAAACTATACCTTTTGAAGTAAACATATTTTAACTTGATTATTATGTATCTGATTCCATCATTTTCTCAATTCACAACTGGCTTTTTTGAATGCTTTGGCATTATCAAAATACATGGTAGAATATCAACCTCAATGAGAAACAAACCATTGGAATCCTAACAAAAATGAATGAGCACTTATATTAAGAACTAATTCTAAGTGGATAGCTCTTGTCACTGCGTATCTGAATATAAGTAAATAACACTTTGAATTAAAATCATATTCAAAAAAGCATCCGCTGAATTTTGCACTACATACATTAAATTGTGTGAAAAGAAACATATTGCAAACAGATACATCTGTGATTTTTCAGTACAAATTAGATATATATTCCATTATGACTGTCTCTGATACATACAACTGTGAAAAAATTTGATCTCTATTGTACAACGTCAAAGAAATTATTTTGTTTTTCCTGTGAAAATCTAAAATCATATCCTGTGTAACAGCTTCAATAATATTGAATTCAACTAACTTCTATTTCATCATATAATTTAACATAAACCCTTAACATAAGAAAAACTTTTCATAGGCTCTAAGTTTTATAATTTTGTCTTGTAAGAATTTATAATAGAATCAGCTTTACCATGTCTTTGCTTTAAGAGTTTAAGACATAAATTATAGTTTTTGTCATTTGATTTGAAGTCGGTGACAACATTATATGCAGAGCCAGGAAGAAGGAATTTTAAATAGTGAAATTTTTCAGTGTTTGTAACAGAATTATTTAAACCGATTGTATTATCAAGACAATTTACAAATTGCATAAATTTGCTAGAATCCCCAGAGAATTAATTAATTTTAAAGCCATAACAATTTCAAAAATACTACATGTATTAAGAACTGAAGGAGTCTACTGAACATTTCCTAGTTTAATTTTCACAGACAATATTTTGTCATTTTATTCTTGTGAAAATCTCAATTCAATTTTTTCATATTGTCTGTGAGTGTTTCTGTAGAATCACCATTGAAAATGGAATTGATTAAGCTGCTTATCCTACATTACTTCCCTCACCTCTTCAACTAAAAGTAGACTTGACCTAAAAGAAACTTTCTCTGTAAATGACTAATTTATGCATTCTGCTATAAAGAGTCATTATTAGTCAATATTAATCATTCTGCTGTGACTAATTTATGCTTCTGCTTCATTCTATTTTAATATTTGCTTATCTCTAGTAATCTGCATTTGGGTAATAAACAAATGGACTGTACATTCCTTCAACAGCTTCTACCTCTACATCATAGCTTTTCAAGATCTGTTCTTTCATTTCTAAAAGTTCCAATAACTCTGATAAAGAATTTAAGTCATTGGCAACTTTATCAAGTTTTGAATTTTTTTAACAACTTTAGTAACACAAGTACAAATGTTACTTCTCTTTTCAACAATTTTCGAGAGCTTATCCATATTAACTCAGAATTTGCAAGTTCAAAGAGACCTTACCTTTATTGTGTAGAATACAGAAATTGGTAAAGTAATTAAATTTCTCAGAATTATGTATCCAATTACTTCCAGTATTCCAGTTTGTGGTTTGAATGCACGAATATTGTATCAGATGATTCAGTGTAAGTTATGGTGCAAGAATGTTCCTCCAAATAGCTCAACAAAATTAATTAGCAACAAAAATATGACATTAGTTAAACAATATATTAGACTTCTACATTCTTTTCTGCCTTTTACTTTGTATACATATAACGTCTTGCCTGCTACCATCTGTTGGAGTATAGACATTGCCCTCTAACCAAACAGTGTGGGAATTATTTATAACAGCATCTATAAGTTATGAATCCATTAAAATGTGTATTTTCTGTTAGTTAGATTAGGTTAAGTTATTCGAATATTGTCATTTTGACACATAAAAGGCTCTCTACTAAAGGAACAGATACCTTTGTGGAGGTCTTTTAAGGAAAATTGGCTCGTATTTTCTTGGGGGAAAACACTCATGCGGCCAGCCCATTTGACACAGGTCTGAACCCAGGTTAAATTATGAATATTCAGTGATCTTAACCACTCAGCCATTTGTGTGGCTTTAAGCTTTAAGTAAGGATGTGCTGGTTGTAGGTAATTCTAGTGCTAAAAGTTTTTTTTTTTTTCCTCTCTCTCTAAAGCTAATAAGTTTTTTCCTCCCTTTCAGTTGGTCTTCTTTTGTGCTATGAACCTCCTGTAGAAATGGGAAAAGATGGGCAGCCTATTAAAAGGTCACTAGCTGCTCAGTATCGTTTTTATGAGCAAGTTTTAGTCGTTTTACTCGATGAAGTCAACATTGAAGCAAGTGAATGGCAGCGATGCATTCTGCTTCCAGCCGCCTGGGGTGGATACATGGAGAGAGCATTTTTTGCTTGCGAAGAAGCTCGTAAAGCAGAACTAGAATTGCAAAACAGTCACGGACACCTTAATTTATCACCAGATGAACTGAAAAATCAATGCAAATTAGCTTGGCTTTGGTAAGATATTGTGATCTTCAATTTTAATGAAGTTAGAGTAAAAATGATTATGGCCTAGAGTAAAATTTTTACAGATCAGTGTTCTACATTTCCTTCAATTATAAAACTGTAATATGATAGAATTCCAGTAATCCGTGAATGCCCATAATCTGCATTCATTTTTGGATAGAAATTTTTTCTAATATGTAAAACAAAAGTATGCTATAATATGCATGGATTAAAGAAATATTTTTTCTTTATTCGTTGTATAATTTTTTCTCTGAAACATTATACAATTATATATATTTCTCTGAACATTATACATTTCTTTTTGTAGTAATTGTGCATCATTTTTAATGTAAAAATTAGAAAGGATGAAAGTTAAAAAAAAAACTATAAAAAATAGCATTTCGTAAAATTCACGAATCTACAGAACACTCGGTCCCAAAGTGTATAGATTATTGAAATTCTACTGCAATGTTTAGTTTACCCAGATTTCACAAAAACGCGTAGTGGTACCATGTAATGGAACCATGTAATATACCATGTAATAGAAAATTCAGTAGAATGTAGCTTACTTTGTATGTAATATATGTAGCTTTTAAATTTCTGTTTTTCTATTGCATTCTAAATTATTGCAGTGGATTTTTTCCAACCTGTATTGCTACTGCCATTCAATTTGGAATTTAATCATATTTTATTTTCATTCTCATAGTAATTCCTGTCTTTATGAAAATTTAATAATAATTTACCTGAAGTTTCTGAGTGGAAAATTATATCAGAAGTTGTTGCTATATCTAAGGCTGTTAATTATTTTAGTTAAGTTTGTTTCTATATCTCACTTTCAGTTATCAGCATTCACTATGCATTCATACAGTATTATTAAGAAAAGAGAGAAAGAGACTGCAGAGAATTTCAGAGTTATAATATTGAAAAACAGTAATTAAAATGAAATATTTTATTTTATACTGCATTATTTGATGAGTTTCGTGATCAAATTCGAAATCTGAACATGCTGAATTGTGTATATTTTATTAAGATACCTTGAAAGCCAGTGCAGTTTGTTCATCTACAGTGAAATTTTAATTATGAATGCAGTTTTTCATCTGAAATGTTTGAAAATCGAAACTATTACCCCTATAGAAATTAATGTAAAAAGGAGTAATGCTTAACAACAGTGCACAAGTTTATAATACAAAATTAACTGAAATCCTTAAATTTGAGACAAAAAAAAAAAAAAAAAGTGAAATACAGTAGTAAATATATAAAAGCTTTATTTTACTATATCTGTATGAAGGAGAATTGGTAGCACAAGTAGAAAGGAATGAGGAAGATAAAGTCAAGGGATGTTATTATGTGTGGTGCAGCTCCATCCTACAAAAGCATCAGGTTGTTTTCTGCATTATCTCTCTGTGTCACTTAGTGCCAAACCTGATGCTTCACTGGTATTCTTTCCAATGTACATTTCTTGTCATCAATGTCTTAAAATGTTTCTAAAGAGAGACATGGCATTGTTACTAAAAATGCTTGTATTCTTTCCTGCTACTGCATTATCAGGGTGATATTGCTCCATGAATATTTCACAGATTTTGTGATTTAAAGAACTAGGATTGTCTTCTTTTTCATCCTTTTCTTTTGAAGGCATTTCCTTTCCATTCACTTTTGTTGCTGTTTTTGAAGTTGTTTCAGCCCTGCTGAGTTCATATCTGTGGTTCTCTTGTAAGCTCATATCTTTATTGTTCTACTCAAAGCCCATGATTTTCCCTAGAGACCACAGTATTACAAATAATAGAAAATCCTCAGCTATAGCAACTGCTTCTATTCAATAGCTCTGTCCCCTAACAGAGTCTTTTCACATATTATTGACCAAATGATTAAAACGTTCTCATTTCAACATGTTAGAAAGCACTTTAATTTTAGGATATGAAGAATTCTGTTGTCATTCTTCTCTTTCCATTGATTACCTATAAAATTCCATGTATTTTACAGAAATTCAACTCTTGGGCATTTTCTTTCCTATCAGTAAAGTTTGCCAGTTTCATACTTAAAGACCTGATTCTGGATATTACCAATATGGTTTGATTGATTAACTTTGAGCAAACTAAGAGAACATTAAAATTTCATGCTAAGGAACATAAGCCATATGTTAGGAAAAAAGAAACAAGTAAATCTGCTGTTGCCCAACACTGTTGGTCTAAAGATCACATTTTCCATTTTTCTGCAGCCAAAATTAATCAAAAAACATTTTACATTGGTGAATTAGATTTTTCTAGAAGCATTTCACTTTCCAAAAAAAAATCTTTCAGTTCTAGTTAAGGATCCCAATTCCAACCCATCTTTAACCTCAGCATTTAAAGAAATTATATAGTTTTTTTTTTTTTTTTTTTTTTTTTTTTTTTTTTTTTTTTAAATTGCAGTAGGTAATGGTAGAGAGTAGAGGTAATGCCAATAGCTTGATTTCCTTCCTTTCATTGTTATCACCTGAGCACAGCTTCTCTTTCATCATTTGTACTTCTGCAGCTGAAAAAGAATGTTCTATATTTAAATCTTTGAAACTAGTCCTCCAAATTTATGAATATTACACTGATTCTTGGTGCCTTAACCTTCAGTAATCATTATTTGGCATTTTATTCTAACTCAGATCAAAATATATTTCCAGAAGTCTGCTAATACTGTGTTAAAGTTGCCTCAAAATACATCTGAAAGTAATTTGTTGCCGACTTCAGTGTTCATTATTACGTTATTTCAGGGTTCGTAGCAGTTCTTATAAGTGCTTGTAAGTCCTATATTTGAAAATAAATATAAAGGCCTTATAGGTACTTACTTTTTTTTTAAATCCTTTTTTTTTTTTTTTTTTTTTTTTTTTTTTTTTTGTTTTTTTGGTTTTTTGTTTTTTGTGCTTATTTTTGCTTTTATACTTTTTTTTTTTAATGACGCGCTATTTTTCTCCGTCCCAAAGCCGACACTAATAAAACTTTTCTTCTTAATATGGAAGTCAGATGTGGATCATACTCCCGGAATAGCTTTTCCCCCTTTCTCCATTACATAACCTTTGGTGTGACGAAGTACAGACAGGTGCCTCGTTCTATTGGTCAAAGAATTGCGAAACAGTGAAATTCCGCTACATTCGCATCTTTTCCTCCCACCAAATACTACACACGTTTTAATTTCATCAAGATCTTAAAAATTTCATCCGTTCTGTGGTCAGTTCATATTCAGTTTATTATGATCGTTATGCTATATTATAAGCATATGTATGAATATTTATAAAAGTGCAGTTACTGAAGTATAGTAAACTTCAAAAATGGTTGTTTTTAACACAGATTAGCTTTCTAAAGGAATAATATTCAGAATGGCTTAAATAAAGGGAAAAGTAATCGATAGTCAAAATAATTTCATTTTTTTGGCCAATATATTATCAGTACGAAGGTTTGGGAGGTCTCCGCTTTCTCCGCAAAATCTTGAATATTGAAACTGTTACAGTTCGCTGCAAAACAGCACGGACTTTTTTTTTTTTTTTTGGTTACTTTCCAATCTGGATTGAATAGGACTAAAAGTTCTGTGGTCTACCACCCAAGTGAGAAATGATTCTATTCCAGAAATTTAACGCGTCTGTTTTGAAAATTTAGAAATTAAAACAACCCCGTTATTTAGTTCTTTATTCTCCAATACCAGCAGTTGTTGATTCCGATTGCGTAAGATCACGTAGGTAAAATTAAGGAGCACGTATTGCGCAATAACGCTTGCGATATTTTGCAGAGATATTAATTTTTGATGTTCAGTCCGAATTTGTTTATGAACACTTACTCTACCTGAAAGAGTTTACTATGCTTGCTAAACCGAAGATTTTTAGTTCCGTTAATTTATTTTATTGATGCACATATTTAAAATGTCAAAAGCATTTTTAGCAGAAAAATCTAAAGAGCGGCTACACCCCCTCGGCTCCTTCAAGTTACGCTCACTGTCCGAATATTCGCCAATTCAAGATGCGGGTTAGTTAATCTTTTACTTGATAAGATGGCTGCATGAAACAAATTTCTGGCTTCGATTTCAAAAGTTGCCTCTTTTTTAATTAAATAATTTTGCTTGCAATTTCTGTTAAGAGAAAACTGATATACAATGAAAATTTAGAAAAGTTCAGGAGTTGATTTAAATTTTTAAATAAAATGGAGTGGAAAAAATAATCGTATTTATTATTAGGTTCCAAACGAATACAATAAAATATGCCTTATTATTATTTATTTTCTCTATTTTGAACTGAAATTTATCATTAAATTTGCAATAGTTTAGTTTTCATGTTTTTTTTTTTCTCTCATTGTAAAACTAGTTCTGTAAATTGAAAATTTATTTAAAATTAAAAAAAAAGTAATTATTTTCCATGGTTGAGGGTAATGCTTATTCGCTCTTAATAAGTACTCATTCTCTATTTTAATTACAATTTAATTTTTAAGGTTATGCAGTTGTGTATGATGTAATTAGACAGGTGCTTATTTTTTTTCTTAAAATGTGCTTATAGGTGCTTATTTTTTTAACTAAAATGTGGCTTTGAACCCTGTATTTGCCCGGAAGATATTTTTTGTTCAGAAAATTTGTTCTTGATGAAAGGTGTTCATGATCCAAATTTCTATGTAATATTAGTATAGTGGTTATAAAATAAATTGTAATAGGAAATTTTATTATTTTCAGCTACTCAGTTTTTTTTCCTCAAATTGTTTCAGAATCATAAATTGTAATTTATAATATATTTCATGAATATATGATTTCTTAAAGGCAATCCCCCTCCAAAAAAATTAATGCGATATATATGTGTTTAAAAACATGTTGGGACAAAATGGAACACAAAGTATTTTTAAATATGTGAATTTGAGGAAAAATATCTGTGGATGTTAAAGTCATACATTTGCTTGATTAAATTAATCAAATTTTACATAATAACATACATTACATTACATTTTTACATAATAACTAACATAATTTGATTGTATATTATTCTTCATAAAATATTTTTATAGGGTGCGGGATCGTCTGATTTGTTTAATAAAGACAAGTGCAAAGTTAGTATATATTTTTTGTTTATTTTTAAATATATTTGATTTATACGTACTTGCATGTAATGCCTTATGTTAACTATAAGATAAATGTGTGTTTATAGCTGTATTTTTTCTGGAACTTCCCCATCTCCCTGATCGCTTTTCAACATTTTACAGAAAGCAGTAAAATATTGCACGCACTTTACTGTTACAATTAAGTACAACTTTGTAAATTTTCTATTTCTGTCAGTTTCTATATTATGTCCATTGCATTTTTCTGTATTCAGTAGTTCAAGAGTTTGTAAGCAACAATTATTATTGGTCATAACAACTACAACTACTTCTAGATAATAACTACTACTTTCACTTCACTTTTTGCTTAGGGTCCACAAGCAGCCGAGTGGTAACGTCGCTGAACACAGGTAGTTCAGTCTGAGATTTGAATCCTGCAAACGGGCTGGCTGCATGGGTGTTTTCGTGTTTTCCCCATGTGTATCGTGTATACGAGCCAGTTTCCCTTAAAAAGTCCTCCGCGAAGGCATCCGTCCCTTAAGGCAGATATTCCTCGAGTGCTTTGCTGTAATCTAATAAATCAAACCAAACCTTTTGCTTAGCTTGAAGTGTTGTCATGACTGAAATCAACAAGGAGTTATCGATCGCTACAAAGAATAATAAAGATGTTATAATACCCCCAAAAAATTTATTATTGTTTTTTGTTTTTTGCCATTTAAATTATTATAAAAAAAGAACTTTGCAAGCAACTACAAGTTTAATCTCATATTGTCTTATGGAATGAAATTATGTTGTTTATTTCAGCGTTATGTAGTTTCTATACCAAACATCCTTGAAAATTTAATGATTATGTGAAGCCCATTTATGGCCAAATATGTAAACTCAGTGAAGATTTACTTATTTCGTTCCCGTATAGCCCAGCTGCTGCATGAAGTTCTAAACCAATTCATTCATGAAGATACCCCTTTCCTTACACTGTTTACCTCAAATGCTTTGTAATGATATGGTAATCTAATTCTTCAAGTTACATTTAGAATTTAATTTTAAAATTTTTTCTCTTAATAATATTTTTCAATATTACTTTGTGTAGGAAAGGACCAGCATCTCATGCCAATTCAATGTTTGCTCTCACTGGTTTGATATATGCCACAAATAAATTTTATACAAGCCTCGACGATAGCAGTAAAGTTTTCTGTGATGAAAGTCAGAATTACATTAAGCATCAAGATTTCTTAATTGAATATACAGAAACAGTTCTTTGTGCTATATTACCTGACTTTCAACCAAATGGAAATGTGCATAGCTGGCTGTTAACGGTTAGTAGTTATATACAATTATAATATTCCTTTTACATATATTTATGTATGTATATGTTTTTATCTGTGCACATATATATACAAAAACATATTACATGTATGTACTGTGAATTACTATATTTATGTTCTTTTATGTCAGTTTTGATCTGCTTTAAAGTTTACATTTACACAATATATGTTACAACACTTAAGTATAGAAATGTGTTAACGTGATGTCCCAAAATTAAGACCAAATATAGCAAACAAGAAAGATACAGAAGTAAAATGCTCAGATTTTTCCGTTTTTGTATTTATTGTTGCATTTGTTTGCCATATTTTGCATTTGTTTTTCTAAATATTGTCTGCATATTATATGTCTCATTTTGATGCAATAATAATAGTTGATTTATTATTATGTTTTGTACATCTTGTTTAAAAAAATCATGCACCATGAAAACACAATGGAATGCAGCAACACATGACATGGAAGTTCCTCAAACCTGAGTATGCAAGTATTTTGACATGAACAGTGTCTGAATACACAGATCACATGAATGCCACACTGGAATGAGGCCAGGTTGCATGTACAAAAGGCCAAACAGTGACTGGTTTTGTCCCAATTTTTATAGCATTTCTTCATTAATGCAATGCATTACTGACATTTTCTGTGTCACGTATACCTCATGGAATGTAGGAAACTGAAATTCTATTATTTTTAGTAATCAATCCAATTTATTGCTTGGCCCAGACACATCCTTGTGTGGAGACAGCCTAGCCAATGCTGCACACTCCATGTCATTGTGGAGCAGCTTACTTCTGTCATTCTTAGTGTTATTATGTATGATACTCTATCAGCTGTAATCATTGTACACAGCACCCTAAGCAGCCTGTGTTACATTAATGACATCCTGCAGCCTGTTGTAATATGCATACTGTGAGTCCTGCTAGAAGCCATTTTCCAATATGATAATCCCCATCTGCATACAATGTATGTGATTATGGACTTTTTCCACAACATGGCAACTATTTCATGGCCATTCAGAATGCCAGCCTCTTTCCCCATCGAACACATTTGGAACATTTCCTTTCTGGCTGCCAGCTCCAGAAATCTTAAAATATGCGTGACTTGTCTGCATTAAATCTGGCAAGACTTACCTCAGGGCAGAATTAGATATTTATTTGTATGCATCCATGCTAGACTGCATTTCTGCCTGCATAAACAGCTGAGGGGGGCTGTGCAGCATGTTAATCAGTAATAGTTCTGTACTATTCTTGCTGCAGTAAATATTACTGGTTCTTCCATTAATATTATCCCCTCCCATGTTCTTGACCAGTTTCATCATTTTCCACCACTTTGTCTGGTTGCATGAATTATTATTATTGGCTATAAAGCATATTTTTATACTGCTATTTATTGTATACTTCAGGGAAAACTTAAAACAAAAGAATGTGTATTTACAATTCAAATTCTGAATTTGTTTTTTTATTTTTCAGTCATTTCTGTAATACTAAAATTTCAGTCATTTCTATAATACTAATGATTTAAATAAATCATTAGTAAATTGCATATCTTAAAAAGTATAGTTAAAATTAAAAACTATCTTAAAAAAGTAAAGTTTCCTAGTATGTTGCATATCTTAAAAATTATGAGTTAAATACTTAACAGAAACTATTTTATTTGGAAATATTTTTCCAGAGAATGTTAGCCGTTTCATTTTGCATGCAGTAAAAATGATAATGGCAGCGTAACTATAAATGTATTCACTCGTATTCTATTGTTAATGATAGGTATAATACTGAGGGCCACATTTATTTCCCCCCTCTCTTCTTGAAATCTATAGAACCCTCTACTTGTTCTAGGAAAATCTGCTTGCAAGTTGCACTGACTTGTTAGAAATTTGTATGTATGTTATTCCAAACATTTATAAGAATATCTTTTCATGTCCATCAACTTATCCTTAGTCTGTTGTTTCATGGAATGACTTTGAAATGTTATTTTAAAATGAATTTGTCATGTGATTTGAAATTTCTTGCACCACATAGTGTGATTCAAATGATACCTTGGAAATGAGTCATCCAAGAAATAATTAAAATATAAATAAATGAGATCAAGTTATATTTAAATTTCATTTTAATATTTAAAGTGCTTTTGGTCCTTATTTCCCTTGTTTTCTCTATTTTAATTATATTTTGCCATGCATATTCACATACAGAAAATCTTTTATAATTTTCATTTTGCCTTGTGTACAAATAGAAATTCATTTCAGTTATTTTAATTTTTCACAGACGTATAAAATTATTGCAAAAATAATTTTTAATTTGTGGGGTTCCGCTCTTTTATACAACAGCTAAATGTTCAGCAACCTCATGAACAGATAAGCAGATAACTGATTGAGTTTGAGAACAGAGATGTAAAACTCAATAAGAGTTAATAACCCTTTATTATCAAAAATAAGAATGTACAGTCAGCTCCTTTCTCAAAACGTACAGCAAAGCCTCTACTTGGGCTTGAACTCAAAGTAATAAGAAATCAAACTTAACTAATGCTTAACTATAAAGATGTAGCCAAAAGGCGAATGCGCGCTAGTCAGAAACTCAGGACTCTCTAACAAAGTCAGTGGAACTTCGACTTAAATACTGCTCTTACTCATTTGCATTAAACACGATTCTAAAAGCATGTTCCGGTAGGAAATTGTATGCTGAAATTATGAAGTACAGGAAAGTAGCCTTAATTAAAAATAACTGTTAAAAACTTATAATAAATCTTACAAATTTAATGTTAATGTCATAAAAAATAGCCATTTTATGTTTGTATTTTCCTATTAAATTTAGCAATTTCTCATAAAAATTCTAGGTGTAATTAATTTAGTAATTTAATTAATATCTTTATTAATTGTACAGCTTAGCTTTTCCAAAATGAAACAAAATGTCAAAAACTATTCACATGTATATCAGATTAAACAGTTTCTGTAAATATCTAAGTTAAATCATGTTCTATAAGAAATATCGCTGATCAAGTTTAAAGGTGTAAATAAAATTGTGTAGATCTCCTGTCTAATTCTGTGAAGTACAGTTTTGAAAATATTGTACTAGTATTTATATCTTATCATAATTTCTCATGCTTCATATATTGCATTTAAAATGCTGCATGAAAATTTGACAGTTTAAATTGAATCTATATGTACTTCCTCTCTTTCAGCATTTATCTCGACCAAATTCTAGTGCTAGCTATTTAGTGAAAGGTTGTTCCTGTGCCTCACTTTTCCATTTAATGCCAGTGTTGATAAACAATTATGTTAATGATATACGACGTATACTGGATCATTTGTTGGAAAATCTTTCACATAATTCTCCAGTACTAGGCTGCTATTCTGCTATTGGATTAGGTTTATTTATTCGATCAATGTGTGAAATTGGTTTGGTGGATAATACAGAAAAACAGGTTTGTTTTGTTTCTTTCCTTTATTTAAAAAATGTATGATTTTGTGTCTTAACACAAACAAAAGAATTGTTTTTCATCTTGATGAGAGATGAATTTCTATTTACTCTGTGTACACTATCATTTTATTAAAAAACAGTGTACATATTTTTGTCATTTCAGACTGATTTGCTGTCAAAAACTCTTAATCAGATTGTACGAGATTCAAATTCAGAAGAAAGTCCTCTGTAAGTTTTGATTGCAGAATACATTATAAATATGTTTGATTTGCTTCATAATGCTGTAGCTTTTTCATAATGCTTATGAAAATGTTTTAATGTGCAGGTTTCACTATACAAAAGCACAAAATTTAAATTAAACTTTTATTAACAAACTGCAGAAGCATTGGGCATTTAATTTAAATAAAAAAAAAAAATAGTCCAGTCTCTAAAATTAGTATATGAAATAATACAATATCTAAATGCTAAAATAACACTGACGTACAACAAAAGTAAGAATGACAGAAATAACATATATATATTGTAATTTAACCTTCCAGATCTTGGAAGTGAGTATATATGGAAGGATGAGAAGTAGCAGCTGTGATGATTTATGTCAGACTGAATTGCTCAATATTGTGTGGTGGGAGATGCATATTGGGAGCATAACATTATTTATAAACATCTTATGGATTGAATATGTCAGGTGTCAACATTTAAAATTTCTGCATCGACCTGCTTTAGTGTTGAAGTAAAGATGGTTACATCTGTGGTTGATGTGGGAGACTTGAAAAACTTTGATATGCTTAATGGCTTCAAACTATTCTGTTTTTTCATCATATGGTTCTTTGAAAACTTCCTGCAAAATTGTTCTAAGTCTATTTGCGTTTTCACAATTAATATAATCTTCGCTGCTGTATTTAAGCAAAACAGATACTAATTGTTATTCCCATTTTCCCCTTTTTCATGAAAGGGAAAAGTATTTTTTTGATTCCTCTCCATTAACAAAAGCAGATAATGTAGGTCTTTTGTAAAAACCTGATGATGCTAAATACAAATCACAGACTGGGAGGTATCTACATAATAATGATTTTATGAAATGCAGATTATATAAAAAATCTAAAATTTACATTTAAAATGAATTTTTATGTAAATGACTTTTTTTTACATGTTAAAATTTCTTGGAATAAGATACATATAATTGTGTTTTCTTTGCTTATGCATTTATGTGAATGTAATTACGCTCTAATTTATAGCAAGAAAGAAGCATTGCAAATAGTATTAATTTTTTTTAACTTTTTATAAACACAAATCTTGCAAAATATGCTTAAATACACTCTATAACAAAAAAAAAAAAAAAAAAAAAATCGATACACCAAGAAGGAATCATCCAATTGCTTTGAAATCTCGTGTGCATAAATGTTTTGACCAAATATGCAAATGATTAAAATTTGGTGACCAATGAATTAATAGTGCGATCTCCAGAGCATCCAGCAGATGTATATAAGGAGCTGTTCTTGAACTGTTGTTAAAATTGCATTGTGATTTAGGATACCTTTCAACGACTGAAAATAATTCCTTGCCACAGGATTCAAGCTCAGATTACAAGCAACTGACAGAAATTGAAAGAGGCAGATTGGGCAAATCGGAGAATCGCTCATCATATGAATTGAAGCGATACGGCGATTAGAAGATGGCAATAAGGGTAGACAAGGGCAGATATCAGCGTCATGATGGTAGTGGTCGACCTAGGGCCACAACAGATCAGAAGGACAGAGTGATTGTTAGATCAGCTGTCACAGTTCCTGATTCATCTCTATCAACCATCAGACTTGCAACCCGCACACGTGTCTACCATGACCATTCACAGACGGCTGATAGAGCGAAATCTACGCTCATACTGACTGTTATGCCACCTGCCATTCATGCCTGCTTACTGTCGAGCCCAATTACAGTGGTACTTGGCTCGATCAGGTTGGATGCTGACTGGGGATGTAGAGTCTTTAGCGACGAATCCAGCTTCCAACTGTGTCATGACGATCATCAAAGCCGTGCCTGGAGACACCCAGACCAGCGTGCCGATCCTACTTTCATTATCGCATGCTACACAGGACCTCAACCAGGAGTTATGGTCTGAGGTGCAATTTCCCTTGATAGCTGCACCCCTTTGGTCGTCATTAGAGGCACACTTACAGCACAATGGTACATCGGCAACATTTTGCTACTGTTCTTTTTGCAGTACCCTGGCCTTATTTTTTAGCAAGATAATGCCAGACCACATACGGCACGTGTTGCTATGAATTCTCTTACAGCTTGTCAAAGACTTCCTTGGCCAGCCAGATTTTATCTGCCAAGGAATGTTGATGACCTAGCCAGACGGAGCAAATTTGGGTAGAAATACCACAAGAGATCATCCGGAAGCTTTATCAGTCTGTGCCACGCTGTGTGGCAGCTTGCATCCAGGCTAGAGGTGGGTCAACACCTTACTGAGCTCATTACTTTGTAGCTATGTAACTCTGAAATAAATCATTTAGTAGTTCTGAAATTTTAATCATTTTATATTCTGTACATAATCTTCCTATCGGCCAATTTTTGTCTCCATCGGACAACTCCTTTGAGCGTCAATTTTTTTGTTACAGAGTGTATATTAAATTGAGCATATCTGCGAAAACCTTTTCAAAAGTTATTTTAATGAAGTATGGTGATAGATGGGCATTTACAAAATAATGCAGATTGTTGATGCCAGTGCCTTGAAGAACATTTATTGTTAATGTAAGTTTAAGTTTCATAATTTATACAAGATGTATGAATACTGCATTTAGTTTCCCAAAGCATTTGGCTGGAATCATTCCAAGAATATAATTTTTATGCCGTATATATGATTATGAAATAATTTCTTATTGGAGAAATTTATTAAATTATTTTTTAATCTTTTTTTCATATTTTCTTTCTTTCTGCATAGTCTGGCAAAAATATATAGCTTGTGAATTACAAAGTTGTTCCATTGTTAAAGACATGAATCTTCTTTGTGTTACAAAAGCATATAATAATTACTTATCTTTGAAAAAGAACATCGTAAAATTAAATATCAAACAGAAGGAAGTCAAAATTGTTCTCAGCATTGCTTTAAAATATTTACTAGAATCTGTATGTATTTCAATAATTTGAAATATGGTGTTGATTTTTGGCATTTTGGTTTTTATTTATTTATTTATTTTTTCAGTTCAAATTACCTCATTGCTCTGACAATTTCTGTGGCATCTGTTGCCCAGGCTATGCATGAAGAATTTAAAGCTTTTGTTTCAACTACTTGCAATGTATTTTATGAAAAGCTCATGGAGGAAGATCCTTCTTCAATGAATTTTGAGGTACTGGTATTTATGCTTAAACTTATGAAAGTAGATCTCTTGCAAACAGCCTTGATTAAGAGAATATATTTCAAGAAAACATTGTGTAACTTATAGTTTCCATCAATTTGCTTGTAGAATTCTATCTTATTAAGTTTTAAAGATGACCCATAATATATTAAATTATAGACAGTAAATGCAATAAAGTTGTCACTGAAATGCACTATTTAACAGCTTTTTTAATTACTGGTGTTTAAATTATGAAAAAAACAGCAATAGCAAATTTCTACTAAATAAAAAATTTACTTTTTTTCCCTTTTTAGTTAGAAACGTGTGTGTATTTTTGTTTAACTTAATACTTGGTCTACTATTAAAAATAAGAGCTGTTATTTTCAAAAGCCTTCACATTTAACTGTATGTTCATCAGATCGTTATACATATTCATTAGTACCAGGGGTTAAAAATATATTAGATATGCAAAATACGCTTATGAAAATGCATTATTTTATTTGAAAATATTGTTAAATTTCAGGAAATAAATGTCATAAATTATATAATTTATGAAAAATGTTTTTCTCACCAAGCTTAGTTGCTACTTCATTCTGCATAAAGAGTGTGTGTAATGTGGTATATTTCTTTAATTTACGTGCTTTAGAAGAGATTAAATTGTAAATACAACTTATAAGTTAGTTCTTTTAATGCATATTCAATGTATGTATAATTTCATATAAGAAAATGATGTGACTTCAAAAAGCATAAAACTGCAATATGTATTTAATTTGCCATGCTAGTTGCAAAACTTAAGCAGATACTCATGAAACTGGAGAAAAGGGCCTGTACAGGATAAATATAAAAGCGAAGCTTCACATATCATATGCGAAATCGTAAAAATCCTGCAGAAGACAAATGCTGTGCATGAGAGTAAGCAAAGAGAAGGTGAAAAAGGTTATTAAAGGTGTTCACTGGAAGTTCAAGTGAATTGTATGTGTGATGTGGCTAAAAGAAACTATCTGGTTCACCTATGCATGGAAGAAGGATTGGTAAGCTTGAGGAGGAGTGGACATGATTAGTGTAGCCTGAGATTCATATTTAGATTATTAAATTCTACGGAGAATCTGATAGAGATTGAGGGTACCACATAAGTGAATTGATGCTCCTTCCACACAGTGAATCCACGCTTCCTTGATTTTTATTATACAGAAAATATGCTGTTTTTCAAAACTACATTCTCCACCAAAAAACTAAAACAGTTACTTATCAAAGAATAGGTACTCTCACCTCTTAAGGCTTGTTCATTCATCTGGTATGAAATATAGAGAAACAGTGTCATGCAGCCAATTAAAGGAGATCATAGCCCTTATCAAGCGAATCTGTTTTATTCTTCATCATTTGTATTAATATCAGCCACTCAGCTGGTATGGTGGTTAGTGGCGCTGGCTATCGTATCGACGGGCCTGGATTCGACTTGGTGAAGGCATGGATGTTTGTAAGTGTATGGTGTTTGTGTGCCAAAAGTTCTCTTGAGAGCTAAGTGGTAGGGAAAGAGTGGTGGCAGATCCTTGGGCATCCCCCAAGCCGTCCTTCAAAATTTGGCCAGAAGCTTAACAGTTTGCTAGGTTCAGCAGTACCTCAATCACCTGTGGTAGTACAAAGGTGCTGGCCTAGCTTTTATCTGTTCTTGTGTCAATACCATACCACCTAGTTGGTATAATGTTTAGTGATGCTGTTTGCCATACTACAGATGGACTAAGACTCAAACCCTGGAAAATGCAGGGAAGCATGTAATGTAAGCATATAGTGTCTATGTGGCAAGGGGCCATTCAAAATCTGCATTGAGTTGAAGGTACTCTCAAGAGGATGGTGGTAGAGGAACAGAAATGGGAGACTCTAGGCCAAAACTCATGATCATTCTCTCTCCAAACTGGAATGGAAGCTTAACAGTTGTCAAGGTCCAGGGATACTTAATATACCTATGGAAATGCACAGGTGCTGGCCAGTTACTTGACTCCATAGTACATGCATCATATTTATTTTTGTATTAATCTTTCTGCGTCCTTTAAGTATAAAGTATGTTTGTATTCGGATTTTCATGTCTACCATGTCATTTCTTTCGGAGTTAATACAAAGCAAAAAAAAAAAAAAAAAAACTGTCCATTCTGAAATATTGCATGCTAGTGAATGTTATTTTTATAACACATGTATTAAATCTTGCATTTCAGTTGAAGTAAAAATTTGATCTGTGTAATAATTAACCTGTTTATTTTGCATTTTCTTTGTGTGTTATACATAAACATTTTTTTTTTTTTTTTTTTTTTTTTTTTTTTAGATTTTAAGTATTTGTGTGTCTGCAATGATGGTGAGTGCTTCAGAAGGGAGCTGTTTACCAATAGAAGATGTTGAACATTTAGCATCTTGGTTCAATGATCAACGATTCGATTCACCTCAAGTATGTTTGAAATCAATATTTTTTCTGTTCTCTGATATGCAATTTTAATTCAAAATAAAATTTTCTTGTAATCCTCTCTCTTCTATCGGCATAAGTGAAAAAATATAGCCCCATATATTTTTTTTATTGATAAAAATTTATATTTCTTGATTATTAATTAAGCAACAGTATATATATTTCCTAAATGTTAATAGCAACATTTTGTTTTCTTCTAAACACTAAATTCTTTAGATCTGCTTGTTACATATGTTATCCAAATTTTTGCAACTGTTTTTTAATATAAATCATCCTCCACCCGAACATGGCATCTCGAAGCCTGAATTTTGACTTTGTTTTTAATTTATTTCATATTTTATACAAATTAATTTAATTTTTATTCAACAAACCCGGCGATTTGAAAGCGAGAAATGGTAATACTGTTCAAAATAAAATATTTTTATCTCCGGCGTCAGATTGTTGCTATTTGGCAAAATGCAAGATATTTATCTTTCAAGTTTAATCACTAATTTGGCTATTTGGAAGCAATGTGTTGCCACTGTCTAAATTATAATGCTTATCATCTCCATGCACCAGTGTGTTGCCTTTCAGTAAAGCTTAAGGTATTTACTTTCAAATTTAACCTTTCTGTTACTGAGTAGCAAACCTATTAATTGATTCTTTAAAATATGTTTTCTGCTTTTAAATTTGATTGATTTAAATGAAAATACATTTAAATCATGGCATGTCTAATTAGAAATGTTAAATATTTTTATGAAATGACCCTGGCTAGACTCACTAAAATAATCATATACTCTTTCCCTTTTATGATAACACTTTTAGGCAGCTGGCCATTCGATTTCTAGTTTTCAAAGAAATATTATAGCAAATATAAAAAGTTTTATGCCAACCCTTAACACCAGTGAATTTTAAAGATAGACTATTTTTACGTATATTATTTTTAAGTTTATGTGACATAAGTGAGAATAAAGTGATGCTTAATAATGAAGCTAAAAAGAACAAAATGTTGTGTTAACAGGAGTGAGACCAAAAATAGGTTAATAATCTATGATGCTCTGCGAGAGCATAAAAAATCTTAACAAATCCTCTGGTGTGACATTTAAATCCAAATCCTTTCAGATTTTCTTTCTGTCCCCCCTTTCCCAGTTTATTTTCAGAAACTGTAGCTCATTAAAATGTTTTCACATCATGAATAAAAATAAGGCAACAAAATATTTTTTTTAAAAAAGGAAATCGGAAAAGTTTCAGATTTTAAATTACGTCCAAAGGGGCATTTTTATAACATTCTGTGCATTACCTTTATTTATTAAATATCATGTTCTTCGCCCTTAAACCATAAAATTCAGTTCAAGAGCAATATCACAAAATAATTTTAAATTGAGCATATCTTTAGAATTTCCGATATGCAGTCTTACACCCTGGAGATCAAAATGTTTTTTCTGTACAATGTTGCCATTTCTTTGAAATACTTGAATTCATTAATCAAAAATTCGTTAAAGTTTTAAAAATATGAAATCAATAATAAAACAAATTTCAAATTTGGGCTTTCAGATGCCCATATTTGCAATAGGATTACATCATTCGAAATTTGATGGCTCTAGGTACTGATATTTTATCACAGTGCGAGAAACATACATACATTTATGCAGATTCTTCATTATTTAATTTCTTCAAATGTAATGCAAGGCAATAATATTTGGTGGCAACAGTTTGAAAAATGGTACAGCCATTTATAGTGTTTCGACACAAAATCGCAGAACGAAAACAAGAGTCCCTCAGGGACAAAGCCCCTTTGGACTAAAAATAAGATAATATATGCAAAGGACAACAAATCTTATGACTGGGTAAAGTCTTTCAGAAGGTTAAAAATGGAATCTTAAATAAAACTAAAGATAAGTAACAAGTATTTGAAAACAGTAATTAGTGGCTGAAATGAATGTATTACTGAATTATATGAAATGATATCAGTATTTCAAATGGTATTGGAGATTACCTGGCACCCCATAGTATACTTAGCAGCAATTTATTGGTGCATTTTGGTGATGAAATATATTTTCGACATCAGTAGATGATAATTCAGAAGTCAAACAACAAAAATCAGTGTTATATTTACAAAATTTTCACAGGACTAGTTTCGATGGTTTTACTGAACCACCATCCTCAGCTGCAAAACTGCAAAATGGTGGTTCGGTAAAACCATCGAAACTAGTCCTGTGAAAATTTTGTAAATATAACGCTGATTTTTGTTGTTTGATTTCTGAATTAGTATTTGTTCGGTGTGTTATTGTGTCTTAATCAGTAGATGAATTAAACAGTTTCCCCCCTACACACTTCTGGTGGGTAATATCTGGGAAATGAATCAAACAGTTCTTTTTTTTCCATGGCTTTTCTGTGCTCCCATATAAACTAAGCTAAATAAATAGTCAAGTGATTTCTTTAAAACCGATTCAAAGCTTTTATTGTAACATTTCTTAGCAGTTGATAAAGAGTTAAAGAATCTCAAATGTGGTGAGATAAGTAGACTATACTGGAATGCCAGAAATTTCATGAACTCCGTGTAAAGACTACATGTGTTATGTTCCTTTCCTTGTTGGTTAAATTTTTAACTTTTTACTTTTGTCCCCATGGTCATTTGTTCGGGTTCTTAATTTGAATGTTTGTTCTTTTTTTATTATATATCATTGTTCTTGTGTGATACTTTAGCTGTTTTATAGTATATTTGGATTGATCCTTTTAATATTAATAAAGCTGTTTGTAAAAACAACATAATGAAAGCTAAAAATTTCATCTTTCTAAAAGAATTTTGCACAATTCTAGCATTACCACAATGAAGCACAGGAAAGCCAAGTCATGAATGGTATTTGGGGGGGGGGTTAACTAATACTCAGGTATGTTTGAAACTAGAATGTTAAATCAAATTCCATCTTATTTAATGATATTTTAAGTACAGTCATTCCTAGAAAGTATTAGTAGCTTTATTTATAATAATTTTGATAGAATGGAAGAAGAAAGTATGATTTTAAACATAAGTTTGGCATGACTAAAATGTGAATAAATATATTAATATTTCATTATCTTTGATGTCCTCTTACGATACTAGAGGTAAGAAATTTTTGGCATTTTAAATTTTATATTTTAAAATTAACTGTGAAATAAACTGAAACTCATAATTATGGGCATGTTAACACAACTTAAATATTAACAACTTGATTTTATCTCTGTGGTAAGTATGATTATTAATGATTTCAAAAAGGGATTGCAATAATAGTTGTTTGGTGACACCATTTTGCAGCAAAATTTTTGTTTTTTATGTCTTGATAATACCAGTTTTTAGCTCACCAAAATTAGCCTTGATGAAGTGTGACAGAAAAACGCCTTTTATTTTAAAATGTGGGCTTTGGCCAGGGAAAGGAAATATAGCCAATGTGAAGTTACTTGCTCACCAGGAAAACCAAAAAATTAGCCTAGGTTTTAATCATTAAAATTATGATTAGATTATTATTACTAAAATCTTTCCCTGTGTGTTTCTTTTGCCTAATTTTGACATTATTATGTCATTAACAGATACGACTAAATTAATAAATGTATAATTGTATAGATAATTGAGTCGGAAATCAGAAATATTAATTAGTTCAATTAATTAGCTCTGAATTCAATTAATTAGCTCTGAATTTACATACATCATCTGTTTTGAACAAAGCAGCAAATGAGTTCCTTTACTTTTGATGCATTTATTTATTTGTTTAATTTATAATAATTTTTGTGAATTCAGAGCCGTTCATTGTGACATCGCAACACTCACTAAGTATTCTGAAAAATTAGTTGCTAAACTTAGTTTTAATAATTAAAATTCTGCATTACACTAATGTCATCTGTATCTTTAGAAGAAAATACAATATATTGTGCATGGGGAATTCAATATTTGGTGCATAATTTTCTAATCTTCTTAAGGAAAAAGCTTTGATATCATTCCAGTATGTCCAAATTTGTGTATCTATATGGCTTAGTTCATCACCAATAAGTGATGAACCAGGTAAGCATCTGCATATAAGCCAAATGTGACTGTCATAACTAATGATAAATCTTCAACTAAAATGAATCTTCAGAGATTTTAAAAAACAGTAATATGATAGCTGTAAAAATAGAGTTTTTTTAATAAGGATAAGTTGTATATGCTATGTTTCTCGGAGGATTTAGAGAGAAAGCAATTTCAGGGAGTACATTAATTAAACTATGCATCATTTGAGGTCTTAGTTATGACCGGTTACTCTACAGCTGGTGGGGAAAATGCTCAAGTTTTGCACGCATGAAAACAATGAAAAAAAAATACATCTAATCTGAAATCTGAAAGTTTAAGATTTTATAATATTTTTTTTTTCATTTACATGCACATACACATTTTGAGAGCTATATCAAGGGTATTTGGACTAAAAATGTTTAAAAACAGCCCATTTTTAGAATTTTCTATAAACAATCTCATGTGTTGGAGATGAAAATGTTTTATTCCATACAGTGTTCCCATTGCTCGCTTTGAAATCCTTGAGTGTGTTAATCAAAAATTCATTAAAGTTTTACAAAATATGAAATAGATAATAAAACAAATTTGAAATTAAAAATTCTGGCTCCCAAGTGCCCATGTTCAGGTGGAGGACTACGTTATTCAAACTTTGATTGCTCTAGTTACCCTTGTTTTTCACAGTGCAAGAAACATACATACATTCTTGCAGATTCATCATTGTTTAATTTCTTTAAATCTAATTAAATATAATACAGAGCTATAATATTTGGTGCCAACAATTTGAAAAGTGTTTTGACACAAAATGCAACCTCTTAATATATTTAAAACTGCATACAAACTACAAAAGCTATTTGGGGACTAATAGCACTTCTGAGTGAATGTCTCTTCAAGATAAAGAAAAGAGTAATGAATCCATCAGCAGCAATACAAGGATATTATTTTGTGATTTCTAAATAGAACACGGGGCATTAAAATCATAAAAATTGCTCTAACCTTAAATGAAACAGCAAAGCTGTTGTGGTCAGTGTGGTGGTTAGCAATGCTGTTTGCCACATTATTGGGCCCAGCTAGGTTTGCATGTTTGTAAATATGCAGTGCCTTTCCATCTTTGGGTTGCTTAAAATCCATCATGCCAAAAATCTACTCTAGAAGTCGGTAACAAGGAAAGAGAGGTATGAGATAAAATGCCCAAAGACTTGCGTACTGACAGGCATTCCACTGTTCTTGATCATAATGACTTTACTTGACTTAATGGACTTGACTTAATTTAAGTGAGGTGGATAAATAACAGCAACAGAATATAGAGAGCAGAATATCTAATGACCATGAATTAAAAATTGCTGTCGGCAGTTCTCCGACTACTACTACAGGATTTAGTATTTTATTAATTTTACACTAAAATGGATTATATATTTTTTTTTTTTTTTTTGGAATTGTATCATTTTTTTAATGTTTAAAATTTTTAAGTATTAATTCACATTTCTGAATTTAAAAAAATTATAAGCATCCTTTTTAAAATAAATATGATTTGTTGTACATTTCAAATAGTTAATATTTTTAGGTGTTCATAGCCATGATGTTGTCATCTATTGTTTATCTATCACACTAATGGAATTTTAACTTTAAAATTGAATTACAGTGTTCTGGTATATCTGTATCATGTGGAATTTTAATCGAGGCATTAGAAAGATTTGGACATGGAAAAGGAGCTGAAATGAAGAAAAAGGTTCAAAAGGACTGGTTAAATACCTTGACAAATGAGGTATTTTTTTACTCTATTCTCTTTTGCATAATTTATCCAAAATAGCCCAGGGTGCTGAATACAGAGAGAAGCCAGGCTGAATAATCAAGAAGTTTTTAGAACACCAAAAATATCCCTTGTGAAATGTTCCATCATGTTTTTTAGGGAAGAATGCTAAAACTGTTAGCCAGGGTATCAAATACAGAGGGTATTTAAACTTTTTAGAATGATATGTAGCGTGTTTAATATTCAAAATGTTAGGTTTTTTTTTTTTTTTTTTTTTTTTTTTTTTTTTTTTTTTTAATATTTGCTCTGATAACCTTTTCTTTCTTTGGCCTATAAATCTCTGTCATGATTTCCATGATAGAATGGTTTTCATAAAATTTCTAGGAATATTGATTTCTGCTCCTTTTTCACTACTTTCCAGAGTCCATTAATCAGGGTGGATATGCGCGTAGGAACACCTCTTTTAAAGAGACCATGGCACAATATGGTCCATAGCTGAAACATCAGGGGACTTTGCAGGAATATGTTGAAATGATATGTATGCAATACCTGCATCAGTCTTCATTTTTTCAATGAATGCAGTGGTACATTTTGAAGGTGTGACCTGTTGCTTTGTCTTGATAAAGTTTACTTTTTGAAAGTCATTGGCATTAGGAAATAGAGTAGTTCTGTAAATATCGGATGTAAAACTTTTACTTGATAATAAGTTGATTTTAACATTTTTTTTCACTTTTCTCATTTTTAATTTCGCAATGTAATTGAATCCTGTGACAGTCCTTTTACTGAAAATTTCTCTGCACTGATGGAACCACATTTGCACATTTTTTCATCTTCATTTTTGATAATAAATAAACCTTTTTCTGTTACAGTCATTTAGGTAAACACATGCTTCATCAAGGATCACAACGTATTTCTATTTATCTCCTGCTAAATAGTTTTCACATAGTGTTCTGCTTTGAGCCACACACCTCGGCTAAAGCTGGTGAATATTATGTTTTTAGACTTTTTTTAGTTGTAAATGTGCTTAGGCGTCTGACCGGACATGACTGTTTGCTGCAAGACCACGTCTACAGAATTGGAGTGGTGGATTTCCCAAACTGTATTTGTGTGACTCCAATCAGCCTATGATTTTTGAATATTTAAATAATTGTATTGCACTTTCTCGGTATGAAGAGCTTGTGAGGCTTAAGCATTAATGTTTGGCATTTGTAAAATAAATTTAGTTGTAAATTTTGGTTTATTATTTTATTGTTACAGGAGATATATTTAAAGACTTTGTAATTCATTTCTGTGTCAGTGGATTTTTCTCTTGTTACCAATGATTTATCTGTAGAAATAGATAAACTGTACCTTTTTTAGGTATTCATTTGGGATCTCTGTTCCATGTAGAAGTAATGATTGACAGTTTTTCCTTTTCCGATTGATAATGTTGCTTATTTTGCACTTCGATGTTTGAATACCATGATTCATAATGTTTTTGAATTAAGCAATAGAAATATTTCTCAGTGGAAGGCACAAAAACATATCCTTCAATCTACAGCTAGTTTAAATGCAGCATTTTGAAATCTTAAAGTAGGAGACAATCTCTTATTTCAAATAACAAGCTGTTGCCAGAAGTATTTATTTCAAAACTTTTGATTTATACATTTATCTGTAGAATTAAGAACTGATCAGCATCTAGAATTATTTTTTGCCATTTTGTCAAAGTTTAATGTATGCCTTTTTGCATTGCATGTTAAAAATCAATTTTTTAAATTTCAGTATTGTATTTGCAACATTATATTCTCTCCATATGCCTTATGATAGGTTTCATATTTGGGTATTCATTTCTTTTTATTAGCTCCATGGGTGTATTTTTTTGTTTCCAGTTTAATGTGCCTATAATAGAATTTTAAAAACAGAATATAAACTTATGATAATAATCACCAATTACAAAATTTTGCATACTACCATTTTAATCTATTGTTAAACTTTTATATTAATTTTTATATAAATTTATACATTTATTATTATTTGGTATTAATGATTCTCAAAAAGTTTTTTAAAAAAATTAGCTTTATTATATTTTTTATCATATGCCACTAAAATCAAAATCATGGGATGTTAATATAAGAACTGATTGTGACATTAACAGAATTTCAAGATACAGCAGAATTGATACTATAGAAATTATATATATATGAAGATCACGTTTTTGAAGTCTACAGAAGGGTTGTTGATTGAGCTCACTGTGCTTTTGGTGTTTTGCAGCAATCTGCTCATGGCGAAATCTATGGGCATTCAACAAAAGTATGATGAAAAAATGTGCTTAGAAGCAAATTTTTTTGGGGCCAGAACCTGGGGCTGATTCATGTAAGTGTGAATTCCTTTACCACCATCACAAAAGAGATCCTATATGTTGGCTTAAACAATTTCATCTCTTTCAAACTACAAATATTTTGAGCAGCTCTTGGGACCAGGGCACACCCTTCCACAGCATCATTATATGATATATGGTTGTGATTTGAGTCAAGGTGTTGTGATGGTGGTTGCAAGCCCGATGCATTGATATGTTTGATTGTTGCATCGGTGGGCTCTTGTTGGTTATCTCCCATTTGTGGGCATGACTAGTTGGGCCCATTGAACACTTGTGGAGCAATGTATTGTGGGCATGAGTGATGTAGTTCATCATTTTCTCAGGTGAGCAGGTGTGTGCTCCTGTCGAGGTCTACCACTGCAGCAGCCTGTAAGAGATAGTTGATTGATGCTCGCTGGCTGTGCTTTTGGTATTTTGCAGCAACATGCTCATGGCAACATCTGTGGGTATTGAAGAGAAGTATGATGCAAGGGTAGGAGTCCTATTGTCCTTGGGGAGCAAATTTCCATCAGGGCCAAAACCTGAGGCTGATTTGTTGAATTGAAATGCTTTATCATTGTCACAAAAGAGCTGCTATGTGACAACTTCGAGAATTTCAACTCGAAGTGATATTGTTTTGAGGGGCTCTGAAAACCATCGCACACTCTTTAGAATCACTTCTATTTCTCTTTGATAATTTTCATTTAAAAATCTGTCATTGTTAGCAATATCATGGTTTTATTTAACACCACATATGAATGAGAATATTCTCATTTATAGAATTTATTTGAGTAAATTTATTTATTTGAAATGATATGAATTAAAAAATATGGTATTCATTTGTGATTTATCCTGTGTCTTCATTTATAATTTTGTTAAATTTGGTATGCTGAAAGAATTTTCATGCAAGTTATTTATAAATTTTCAAAATCTAATATTACATTAATATTCTTATGAAGTTTCAAAACTTTAGAATCATAATCTGGTAATCCCACAAATTCAGTAAAGTACAAATATTTTTTACTTCCTTGTATGAAGTAAAAAGGAAGTATTGTAATCGCGAAAAGTTACAGGCAGCATATTTCAACAAAAATATCCATTTTGACCACTATCGAATGCAATTTAACTATGTTTTTGCATGATATCTGTATGTAAGGACAGAATAAAATACTCTTTTCCTCAAAAAAAAATTATAAAACTGCTTTAAAATGAATTCTGAAGATAATTTTTCGTGGCGTCTGTACGAACGTATTTACGTACATACATACGTATCTCGCATAACTCAAAAACGAGTAGCCTCAGAACGTTGAAATTTTGTATATAGGACTGCTATAACATATAGATGTGCACCTCGTATTTTGGTTAAATCGGCCGCACCAAAAGTATATAAATATATTTTATATATATATCCACTCTATTACCTGGCTTAGTGATCTCAGTTTCTTTACTTCTTATCTATTGCTAAATTGTACATTTTGTGGTTTAAAAATGATTCAAATTCTGTTGTTCTTATCTTCTCGGTTAAGGTTTTTATGCCTTTACGTAAATCTGCATGCAATATTTGCAGAATTATCAACAATTTAAAAGCTTGTTTAAGTGCGGGTAATCCTAATAATTTTTTTGATGGTCATCCATATGCTTGTTTACATTGGAAACAGCAGGATAGTGGATTTGTTGCCAATCTAGAGAAACTTAGCTTCGCAACAAAAAAGATAACGCCTTCATTTATTATTGCGAATTAAATCATGCTTATTCCTTTCTGGAATTTTTTTCGAGGAAATAAGTGTTTAAGATTTACTTTTTAATTTTTAATATAGATATTTTGAGTTTTTATGCATTTTTGCCTTGTCGCGAAGTGAGAACTGAATTAATTGAATGAGAAATACTCAATCGTCTGCGAAAAACTGTTTCTTTTTTTGTTTTGTTTGTTTAATTTCTTTTATACATCGTTCTAGCTTTATTATAGTATTTGAATAGAAGTTGTGGCATTGATTAGATAATTCTTTAAATGATATAAATTTTGTGCATTCTGAGTTATAATATGAATGAAATATAATACTGTTAAGTGAACCTAGCGCCAGAGTGTCGCTGTGATAAACAAATAGAGTGAATTTTAAAGAATGCATTTATTCTATTGTGGTTTATGTGCTATCGAAGTAGATTTAATTCAATCCAAAACGTTTAAATGAAATGCAAGAAAAAATGTGTATAATTTAATATTTCATACAAGAAAGTCATGTGGTGTACACACCAGATGTTGTATTTTTAGGTAATGGGTATACTATTAAGAGTTGGCTATTTACCAATACTGAAGCCTGCCAATATTATTTCAAATAGAAATTCTTTAAGAGACTTATTTAATCTCTTAACATCAGAAGCAGTTTGTTAAATTGATGTTTTATTTTTAATTACATACAAATGCAAACATTTTGCTGTTCATTTTATATAGAGCCCTGTATTTAATCTCTGATTTTAATATGAAATATCTTATTCAATTTTTATTGCATGGAAGTCAAACTTTTTGTGTTTTATTTTTTACAACAAGGGAAAAGTTTTCTTAAAATAAATGTAGGGATTGGAGGAACATATAAAAATTTCATTTTCATAATGTTTAAAAAATTGATTTCTTTCAATTTAAAATGCTAAATCATGAATCTTTGCATCATTAAGAACACTTATTTATTTTATTATGACTGACAGTTGTAAAAATAAAGACAGGATAAGGACTTCTGTGGACATGGTATCTATTATTACGGATAAGAAGTCTGTTCACGTAGACTATGTGTACAAAAATAGTTTAGTGCGGTGTGCAAGACTTGTTCTGAAATCTGTCTCAATTAGAAGGCAGTAAAATTAGAGGCCGTGTTAATTGAATATAAATTTTCTCTTTTCCTCTGAACATAAGCAAAGGAAACTTCATCTGTTATGCACTACTTAACTCTCCATGTGCCTTTTTCTTGAAAATATAAAGTCACCAGTAAAATTGTATTTGTGACAGCCATTGAAGTTAGTTATACAAGTCCTTGTTGCATTTTAAAAAATTTGATTAAACAAGCACCTTTCATGCAACTTTTCTACTTGTATCACATAATAACAAATTATTAATCATTGTCAAGCTGCAACATAATATCTAGGTATAGGGAAACTGGTTTTAATTCTTAGATTACCATGGTGACAATGAGTGACTGCATATTGATTAGCTGATTGGTTGAAAAACGAGCTTTCTCAAATAAAAAATAATTCAGCATTTTTCATTAATTGAATAAAAGGGGGGAAGTAATTAATTGTTGTCTTCAATTTATCTAAGTCTGAATATATCTTGTCTTCAGTTTATCTAAGTTAACTAAGTTTATCTGAGATAAAAATTTTGTTTCAAAATAAATAGAAAATATCCCATTTTGAAGCACTTTTTAGTGTAGTTGATGTCTAACTTAAGGACAGAAATGTGAAAGTAAACTTATATAATATTTTAAGAAAAGGAATGGTATGTGGGCAACTGAGAAAAGTTTTTAGGTAATGTTTTAGTAATTCTAAGTGTAACATCTAAAATGTTAATTTAATAAGAAGGGAGAAATCTGAAGTTTTAGAGTTAAATTGTTTTAGAAATAGTTAGGCAATAAGATTAAGACATGATATTTAAATTATGTTGCATTTGATGTAAAGTAACAAACTAAAAAAAAAATAGTCTGTGATGTATTGAAATATTGCATAGTTTCTTTGATTTTCAATTACGTTCCTGAATTAATAACTTTGCTAATAACTGGTGTATCTCTTATATGAAAATGCAAACACTTCTTCTCCCAAACCGCATGTTAGTATATTCAAAGAAGAAAAAGGCCACCAGTAGTTGAATGGTTAAAACACTGAACACTGGTTGTTTTGCCCTTGGTTCAAATGCTACCAGATGGGCTATCTACCTGAGTGTTTTTATAAATAAAGCAAAAGTATGAGAGAATTTCCTTTAGGAAGTTCTTCATGGAGGTATCTCTTCCCTTAAACAGATATTCTGCATGCCATTTGCTTTATTCAAATAGCATAGCCAAACCAAACAAAAGAAGAAAAAAATGTTTCATGGAAAAAACTGAAAATAAAAAATAAGTAAAATAATGCTACTGAAAAAAAATCATTGAAATGAAGAAATTTGTGTCCATTTATTATAAATCTTTCTATAATAAATATCGAAAGAAAAACAAATGTAAGATTTATATTGAATTACAAAGCAGTATAATGATAGGAAAAAATATTAATTACCATATGGAACAACTGTATCCTGAAAAGTATAAGGGTTTTTTTAGCAGCTTCTACAGAATGAAAAATATAACTTTTTAATTTCTTTATTCTTTTTGGAATTTATTACATTACCATGCCAATAAAAATTTGCCATTGTTTATATTGTCACTTATAAGTAGTTATATTTCTTACCCATAGAAAAGGCCAACGCTGCACAGAATTGCTGCTTTAAATGGATTATGTACTTTGTATTCTGGTGGGAGAGGTCTTATGCAGGTAGTAAAAGCATTTTTATCCATAGTCTATAAAATGTAGATTTATTGAAGTGCACCTTATTTTTATTATATAAGGAAAGAATTATTATTTAATATAATCTGCTGTTTTTCAAAAATGCATTAAATTATTCTCTTCATAAATCCTCATAGCTCACTTTTTTAAAATAAAGTTATTTGATATATAAAAAATATAGTTTATTTGAATTTCAGTTTTAATATTCTTTGCTATTATCATAGTACAGCATTTATGTAGTTTATGAAATCAAAATTTAAAGCTGAATATATTTTAGATTTCAAAGTTTGCATATTTTGAAGTTTGTTAAGTCATGAATTGAAACTTTTGTGAAATAAATGTGCATTTTGACCAGTGTATAGAATAAATATACTATCAAATCAAAATATGGCACATATCGGTTAATGAACAGCATTATGAACAGGTGTTTCTCTCAAAATAAGCAGTATCCATCTCTTATGAGTAATTAGGAGAATTCCATAATTCTGGAAGTGGTAAATAGCAGAAAATCCTGTATTTGGCAAGTATGAACAGCAACAAAATGCAAGAAAAAACAAGGGAGCCTTTGAAAAACAATAAAATATAACATATTTTTGATTACTTAATGATTGCAAAGATTTTTTTCATTTCCACATTAGTATATCCATGATTTTAATTTACTTTGTCATATGGAATTTTTCAGTCTACAAAATAGTTACAATGTTTATATCTGTGCTTCAGTACCAGGAATCACTATCCATTAATCATTAAGTGCTCTAAGTGCTGTATACTTTACTCATTGATGTTAATATCCAATTTTGAATTTTAATTAGTTTTCTTGTAATTTTGAGAATAAAAATTTTTAAAATACAAGTAAGTATTTAGTATATTTGGAATAACTAACACAGCAGATAATATAATAATATGCATGAATGTGCATGAAATTATGTTCTAATTTAGTTTGCGTAAAAAAATCCTGCTTCCTTTTTAAATACATATAAAATGCTACTTAGTCTGCTTTAGTCATAAATTGGCATTTTAGTATTCTTGTGAAAAACTTATTAGTGAATTCCTTTGGGCTATGCCATAACTATGCGATTTTGTTACCAAAAATTATTTAACTCCAATAAAGGAATAATTGCTTTTTTTTTTCCCATGTTCATCAAAAGTTGCAATATAAAATGCATACACCAAAAATGTAGAGTAGTTATTCAAGATATATTGCAATATATATTCTGAAAAAAAATGTTCATTAATTTACAATATGGAGTATTTATTGAATGAACCCCTTGCCACTGCAGTATTTTTCAGGAAAGTGCATCAGAAATGGGAAAGTGTTTTTATTTTTTCACTACTGATAAATGTATTTACAACTAATCCTGCCCAACTTCCAAATAAATAGGGGAAAAGTGTTGCCATTTATTGACAAAGTAGTGAATTACGATTGCCCGAACTCGATTTAGGTGATGCTGTTAAGAGGTTAAAAAAGTATGGAAATTTTTAGGATATATTAAATATATTGCATTGAATGAAATATTATGTGCATGGAATGTGTGATGTTTGCATGAAATCCTTATCTTCCAATTTCATTAAGAGTCAGCAGTTAATTTAATCATGTATTTCAATATAATAAAATTTTACATTTTCACTTGTAGATAAAAAGTAAAGCCACTGCAGGAAGTCTCACTGCTTTAAATGATTTGGTGCCACTCATGTTTCAAATTCTGAATGCTCCCAGAGATACTGGATTACAAAATATATGTTCATGGGAAGTTGGACGATTATTTTCAGTAAATTGTTCACAGCAACAAGTTGAATCAACAGGTTAGGAAATTGTATTACTTGAGTGTTTTGCATTGGATGTTACTGGATAATTGATTGTATAAAAGGAATACATGAGAACTGTACCTTACTTTTGCAGTTTCATCCAGTTATTCTCACCTAAGTGAAAAGAGTATTTTGAAGCCCGTGCTGAATATTATTCTTGACGGTCACAAAGATGGCAAGTAAAATTCTAACTACCTGTTATATATATATATGTAAGATAAAAATATGTAATTCTCACTAAAACATGTGTAAATCTCAAAATTATAATTTAAACTGGCAATAGCCTCCTTAAAAATTTAATGAGCTCTTGCTAATTTTAGTTAGTTTTGATTTAAAACATGTTCTTTTTCTTACACAGGCACACATATAATGTACATATCGGCTGCAATATTACAGCTAACATAACATTACAACTTAAATATTTTTATCATATAACCATTTTAAGTGAACTTGAAAAAAAAAATGAATTAAAAATGTAAGGACATGTTTGTCAATTCTAACTGTTTTGTAATTAATGAAAAGTAATTGAAAAGCATGTAGGTTTCATATCTTTACATCATATTCAAATGAGGTCTATTTTATGAAATATATTTTAGTTTACTAATTGATGTGAAGCTAGTATGCAGAAATTCTTTATGCATTTAGTTTTTTATGTTCTTTTTATATCTTATAACTGTATTTATAAATCAAAAGTGCTGTATTTTATAATATCAAAAGTTAGATTAAATCTTTATCTAAATGTATTGTCTATTGAATTGCAGTATGATTGCTTTTGAACTAAAACTTCTGCCTAGTGCTAGATTTATATTTTAAAAGTTTTAGATTAATTTCTATTTTATTTTTTATTTCAATATTATATAAGAAATTTTTCCTATCGTCACATTTGAAAATTCTTTGTCAAATAAAACTTTTTAGAATGTTGCACATATTCATATACTAGATACTTTAAATCAGTATATCCAAATATAATGTTATAATAGAAATATTCTTTAAAATTCCAGATGAATCGGATGTTAAATTTTTTCATGTATTAGCTTGTTTATCAGCTCTGGGTGATCCATTTCCAAGACCATTACCACCATTGAACTGGGTCACTGTTTTAACACCTTATCTGCAGATGAAAAATGGTAAGAATATATTTTTTATCATTAAATGAATCTCTTATAAATAAAGTAGATGTCTATTAATTTATTTTTATCTTTTTCTGGTTTAAACTTTTTTTAAAAATATAGTAGTCAACTATCTGCTGTTCTTTTAGAGGCTGTGCTTGAAGCTGCACTGAAGATTGCAGTCAACCAAGCTAGTGGTTCACCACATGCTTTAAATCTTATTTCTTCATATTGTAATCCTCCTCTAATTCATACATTGCCAGTATGTATATCAATCCACAAATATATTTATTTCTTTTTGATTATAGAAATACTTTTTGATTGTTTAATAAAATTCTGCTACCTGAACATGTTGAAATACAAGACATTTCTTAAAACTTTAATGGAATTATATCTTGAAACACCCATTTTATAAACCAGGGGTGGCCATACTTCAGGGCAGTAAGAGCCACACATTCGGATTCGGGAAATTTCGAGAGCCAGAACTAGATTTCCTAAGAGTCTCAATTCATTAACTAAAAAATCATTTCAAAAGTAACGAAATAGATTTTCATTCCAAGAAACATTTGAAGTAAATTAGTGCAAAATCTGCATTTTTTATGCAATTTATGAAGCTTTGTATAAATATAGATAAAACATTTTCTCTCCCTGTATTATTCAGGGAAATTTGCTTCTACCATATATAGTTTAAAATTAACGTAAGATGTAACTGAACATTCTTTATCAAGGCAGAAAATTCATGTATTTTCTTGTGGCTTCCGCTCCCGGAGATTAAAGGCACTACCACAGCCGATTATGGGAAACAAAACTCCTTGAAATGGTGCAGTTGATTCGTGAACTGAAAGTGGCTTACTGGAAAGGCTTACTACTCTATACGTAGAATACAATATCCAGTCTGGCACTACAGTTGCTTATTCAAGAGAATGTGATTCCTAAAACTATATTCCCAGAGGAAGAAAGTGCACCACCACAACCGATGACGGGAAACAATTGCTCTACTCCCCGGTTTATAAATTATTGAATGTTTTTAGTCATCTATACAGTACAAAGTCTTTAATCCAGACTCGTCAGGACTTTGGCGATTCCGGATTATAGATCATCAGTTTAAATCTGGTAAGATGGCATGCAGAAATTATAAAATTAAAAATATGAAACCGTAATTTATGAAATAAAGAGCAATTATGATCTAAAGGGTATCAAAATTTACAAAAAACAAAACAAAAAAAAAAAAAAAAAAGCTTAATATTTATTTTTTTTTACTTTATTAAACATTTCTTTCAATGTAAATTCTTTAAGTTGCTTCGTTTTATATGTTAATACTTTCTTTTTAATTCTATAAAGAGACATAATTTCTTGTTCAGTTACAAAGTTCTACTGTTCAAGTCCTGTAATTGCTGTGCCAAGAATACCAACTAACTTGTCAATCGAAATTTTTTCATTTTCACTAACCTCTCTGTCACTTTCTTCATGCCTTTATCCATTTTTTGCAGCAATTCCACTTTTTGTTTGATGGACATCGAAACATGCTTTTGCTTTGTAGATCCTTTGGCAGCTCCAGAATCGGAAGCTCTTCTTGACATAATCAAAAGTTCAAGCTTACTTTTTATAAAATTGCTCTAACAGTCTGCAAAAAATAATAAGCCGGATCCAATTAGAAGATTAAGGAACAATGCAATCTGCAACATAAACTGAAATAGATAATTAGATAATTTTAGCCTAGCTTATACCGTCCGGTATATATTAAATGCGCATGCGTAAACGTATTATGCGCATACGTAAAGGTATTATGCACATGCGTAAACGCTGTGTATGCGCAGAAAGTTTGTAGCTTTGAGGTCCGGATCATAGATCATTCTGGATTATGCACGTCCGTGTTAAAGACTTTGTACTGTACTAAAAATCTTTGTATTTTTCTTAATTTAATGATTTTTCATTATTTTTAACTTATGCACACTCCTCTGGAAAGATAGCAGCAGGTAAGTGAAACAGGTACATTGCACACTGTGGAGAAATTGCTATTTGAGACAGGTGTGCTTAAATTTGATAAAAATGAAGGTTTAATTAAGATAAGTTCTACATGCCAAAGAGAAATGGGAGGGAAGTTTTAACAAAAGTTTTTGTAAGGTGAATTGGCTCATATATATGCTCTTCAAGAAATATTATTTTAAAATAAGGTTTTAAATATTTCAAAATTATATATGAAAGTAGTTTAGTTTCCGTCATACAAATAATATGAGGAACAACATTCTAAGATCAATACCTAGCTATTGATTTAATTCTTTAGATATGAATTGTATTATCAGGTACATTTTTTTTTTCTAAAGATGAGACATTCAAATTCTCACTTAATGCTAATTTAAAAAAAAATAGAATTTCCAAAACTTTAATGCTTTTCTTCTTATTATTATTAGTAGTAGCAATAGCAGTATTTATTAGTAATAGTAGTATGCCTTCTCATTATGATCATCTTCCTCCTCCTCGCCCTGTTCTTCCTTCTCGTCATTAATATCACCAGGAGCGTCATCCTACTCATTTTAATCATCATCATCTTCTGGATTACCCTAATCATTCTCTTCATCATCACCTGAATCCAAGAAACCAGTAACCATTTTAACTCGAAATGTGAGGAAAATTAGTTTATTGACTTGCTGTTAAATGAATGTAATTGTTGTGATTTCAATGATATCTAAATCACTGAATTCACTCTGTGATGTCTCTAAAGGTATGGCATCCAAACAAAATCTGCCGAAATTCTCAGTCTGGTAACTGACTCGCTGCACTGTGTCGAAAATTCTCGAAACCAGTTTTCAAATCATCTCGATAATTCTGAACACAGCAACAAATATCTTCTCATTGTTTTATGGCTTGTTTTGAGGCTTCAATGCAAATGTAACCAGTAAAACAGCATGATAACCCTGGATATCAAATGCAGAAGAATGCTGGGCTAAATAATCTAGACCAGGATTTCTGAACTTTTTTGCCCCATGCACTCCTTTCACCTTTGCTAGATCATTCTTCCCCCTCCCTCCATTCTCAAACTTGAAAAATACATATATGCATTTTTTTTTTATTCAGACTATTTTCTATTGTGTTTTGTAAATTAAACAAGAGGTATAAAAAGTGTTGGTTAATACCAAAACTTGAATAAAAGTACTTTTTTTATATTCATAACCCAATTTTGAGGTTATGAATCCTGTATTAGATCTGAATAGTTAATTACTGTAAATAAATTAGTTAGTTCTTTTGCTATACAGTCCACTTATTAGTTTAGAATCACAGTACATGGTCAGCAGAGCCGGAGAAGTGAACAAAATGCTGGCATTAGATAGAAACAAAACTTCGTTAAAAGCGAAACTAACTAGGTTAGAAAATGTAGTGAAGGAATATGATGATAGTTCGAATAAGAATGAAATTCAAATAAAGTATAGATCGCTACAAAGCATTCAAATGGATATTAGAAACTTGAGGATTAGATATTTCGAAAGCGTTGATGAAAAAGATGTCACACAGCCATCGATGAAGAAATCGCCGAAATGGAAGAAAGAACTGAAGTTCTGGAGGTAAGAATTATGGAAATTCTATCATCTATAGCACATTTTGAAAATGAAAATGATTGTAGTAAATTTGATCCTAAAGTACAAATACATTTGCCAGAATTACCAATTCCTAAGTTTTCTGGTAAATATACCGAATGGAATAATTTTAAGCTTCAATTCGAAAACATCATAGCGAATAACACGCAATTAACAGAAGTTCAGAAACTCTACTATTTAAAGGCTGCATTAACTGATGAAGCAAAAAATCTTGAAACTGTTGATGATACTTTTAGTTCTCTATTTAAAGCTCTTCAAGATAGGTACAAAAATAAAAGAATATTAATTGAGACGCATATAAAGTCAATAATGGATTTACGTACTTTAACATTCGAATCGTCTAAAGGAATAAGATATGTAATAGATAATGTTACTAAAAACGTTAGGGCTTTGAATGTTTTAAAATATGAGAAAAATAATTTATCGGATATTCTGTTATTAAATATCATACTTCAGAAACTAGATTTTGAAATGCGCAAACAGTTTAAATTAAGCATTAATGCTACGGAAGTTCCTACGTTTGATGAATTAATTTCGTTTTTAGAGAAAAGATGTCAGTTATTGGATAACATTAACCGTAATGCTAATAAAATGAAATATCCGTTAGAAAAAAATTCAAAATCAAAGGCTCTGATGGTTAAAACCGATAGTGTTTCGATTTGTGTTATATGCAAAAATAATAATCATCCACTGCATAAATGTGATTCATTTTTGAAATTAAATCCAAATCAAAGATATGAAATAGTTAAAAAAACCCATAAATTGTGTCTAAACTGTCTCAGTAACGAGCATTTAATCGCAAAAATGCAATTCTAAGTTCAGATGTTCGGAATGCCATAAAAAAACACCATTCATTAATACATCGCCCTGCTCAGAAAATGGCGCCATTCAACATAGTTAGACAAAACAAAATCGGAAGCAACCAGTGACGAAATTATAAACAAGAATGCAGATGTCTCTAATAAAAATCAATCAAGTTGTCTTTTGACACGCAGAAAAACGTGTTACTGGGACTGCAATAATATATATTTGCAATTCCGAACAGTTCGCAGCATGAGTTGTTTCTTGTGTGAAGGAGTTGCTAACTTGTTAAATATAAAGAAAGAAAGAATTTTTGCATCTGTATCCGGAATTAATGAGAAGGTTATAAATATTAATTATCAACTAGATGTACAGATTTCGAATAAGGATTTAACATATGTAAGATCAGTTAATTGCTTGGTTATTTCTAAAATAACAAATGTAACTCCATCAAGGTGTTTAGATGTGCAGTCATTAAATATTCCCATTGATATTGAATTAGCGGATCCGCAACTTGGAACACCTAACAAAATAGATATGTTACTAGGAACCGAATTGTTCTTTGAGATTTTAAAAGAAGGAAAATTTCAATTAGAAAATCAACCGTTGATATTTCAAGAAACAGTTTTTGGATATATCGCATCTGGTGCATGCAAGAGTGACTCAGAAATAAATTATTGTGGTCTAGTTCTAAATAGTGAAGAAAGAGTTGAAGAAATTTTGCAAAGATTTTGGGAAGTTGAATCCATTGAAAATGTCGAGGATGCTTTGAGTGAAGAAGAAAAATACTGTGAAGAACATTTCAAGCGTACTCACTATAGACAAAATGATGGAAGATACGTAGTTCAGTTACCCATAAGGGAAGGTAGAAATTAGGAATCGAAAACGGCTGAGAAAAGATTGCATCAGTGTGGAATTGACTAGAAAGCGATTCGAAGATGAAACATTATATAAGAATTGTTATCGAGGAATATAAGGATCTAAATCACATGGAAGAAGTTCAAGAAATTGAAACATCGACTTGCAATTATCTTAGTCATCATAGGAGTTCATCGGCCAGAGGAAAGCCTCTACCAAGCTTCTCGTTGTTGTTTAATGCATCAGCGGCTACTAGCAATGGAAAATCACTTAATTCAATATTAATGAAAGAGCGAATACCTCAAGAAAAAGTTTTTTCTATTATTATTCGATTTCGAAAGTACAACTATGCATTAGGAGATGATGTTCAGAAGATGTACAGACAAATACTTATTGAACCATCTCAACGAAACTTGCATTTAATATTGTGGAAAGAATCAGTTGGTAGTCCTGTGCAGACTTATCGTCTAAGGACTGTAAGATACGGAACAGCAAGTTCTCCATTCCTCGCAAGAAGGGTCCTGAAGCAGTTAGCAATGGATGAAGCGAACAGAATTTCCTCATGCCTCAAGAGCCATACTGAAGGACTGTTACGTGGACGACATTATCTACTGGAGCTAATACACTGCAAGAAGCCAAGGAGTTACAGACACAGTTAACCTGTCTTCTAGAACGTGGTAGGAATGCAGTTACACAAATGGTGTTCAAACAATACCAGAACTATTGAAGAATAAAGAAAGTGCTAACTCAGGATTACTCCTTTCAAGTTACGGATAAGCCTCAGATTACAAAAGGCCTTAGGGAATGTCATGGAATACGTCTACAGACTGTTTTTCTTACGATTTAAAGATACCTTGACATTTGAAGAAACAGGAATGAAAAGAGATGTCTTATCAACGATAGGTCGCCTCTTTGATCCGTTAGGTTTAATTGGACCTGTTAATTACGACAAAAGCTAAAATATTTCTACAAAACTTATGGCTTCTAAAATTAAATTGGAATACACCTCTTCCTAAAAGTTACTTTGAATAATAGACAAGAATGGAAGGCATTTCTGCATAGTCTCAAAATAGTCAACGATTATCGCATCCCTAGATTTGTTCTACCAATGGATTACAACAAATAGAAATTATAGGATTCTGTGATACTAGTCAGAAAGCCTATGGTGCTGCAATTTATGTGAAATGTATGTCATCTTCAAATGAATGTTTCATCAAGACTTCTGTGCAGCAAGTCTCGTGTGTCACCTCTGTCAATTACTATTACCATTCCTCGTTTGGAACTTTATGGTGCAGTTCTGTTGGTAAAACTAATGAAAAAGAATATTAGAAGGCCATTCAGCTGCCTATAGTGAAGGTGTATTACTTCACAGATTCGTCAATAGTGTTAGCATGGATTAAGAAGGAACCTTATCATCTAAAGACATTTGTTGCTAATAGAGTATCTGTTATTCGCAAGCATGACTGCTGTTCATGAGTGGTACCATGTTAGCACTCACAATAATCCAGCTGATTTGACATATCACGTGGAGCTGAACCCAAAGATCTTCATAATGATTTATGGTGGTATGGACAATTTTCTTGACTAAGGAGAGGGTTTTTGACTAATCCTTGTGAAGTAATTTCATCTGATATGGATGATGTGGAATACGTCCAAAGAACTCAAAACTTAAGGATAATGACCTTAGTTAATCTAAATGTGAACCCTTAATTCTCTTGTTTTAGGATCATATTCTTAACATTAGTAATAACTATATTTGTTATTATTTGTGTGCTTAAGTTTTGTTTGTAGATTTATAGCCAATTGTAAGGGGAAAAAATTTAATAGGTTCTCTAACTGTTAAAGAATTGGATGATGCTGAGAAAATCATGATCAGGTATGTACAGTTACAACATTTTAGCAAGGATATTCTATCTTTAAAAAATAAGAATTGTGTTTCTTCCAAAAGTAAGTTAAAATTTTTATGTCCATTTCTAGATAATGATTCTCTTCTGAGAGTAGGAGGCAGACTTTGCCAATAGTAATCTTAATTACAAACCAAAAGTTTTCCTTATGTAATGCCAAAAGGTCATGTATTTACTAGATTAATTTTTCAGTATTACCATGTTAAATATTTACATCTTGGTGCTCAAGCACTATTGCATCAGGTTCGTAGTAAATTTTGGGTTATTAATGGTCGAGATGTAGCTCGAAAGGTTGTACATGAATGTGTAACATGTTTTAAGATTAAACCAAGTGTATGTGAACAACTTATGGGAAATTTACCTAGTGAGAGAGTTAATCCAGGGTTTGTATTTAATACGTGTGGACTCGACTTTTCTGGTCCATTCCTCATCAAGTATAAAAATCAGAGAAAGGGTAATTATGCAAAAGTGTACGTTGCTATATTCATTTGTTTAGCTACTAAAGCAATACATTTAGAGGTAGTAACTGATTTAACCACAGATTCATTACTTGCTACTATTAAAAGATTTATTGCTACACGTGGAAAATGTAATACTATAATGTCAGATAACTGGTACTAATATGGTTGGTGCAAAATCAGAACTGAAAAAATTGCATAGTTTAGTCCTTAAATCTAATTCTGATATAGCAGATTTCTTAACATCTGAAGGTATAAATTGCCCACCAGCGGCCGAGCGGTAAAGTCGTTGAACACTGGTAGTTCGGTCCGAGGTTCGAATCCCGCGAACGGGCTGGCTGCATGGGCGTTTCCGTGGTTTTCCCCATGTATAATGTGTATACAAGCCAGTTTCCCTTAGAAAGTCCTCCACGAAAGGCATCCCTCCCTTTAGGCAGATAGCCCTCGAGGCTTTGCCATAATCACACACACTGAAGGTATAAATTGGAAACTAATTCCACCTAGAGCACCAAATTTCGGTGGTTTATGGGAAGCTGGTATTAAGTCATTTAAATATCATCTTCAACGTACAATCGGCAGTTATAAATTAACTTTTAGAAGAATTTTGGACTGTTGTCACACCAGATTGAAGGTATTCTCAATTCTCGTCCAATTTTACCCTTTATCAACAGATGCAAATGACTTTGAAGCCTTAACGCCAGGGTCATTTTTTAATTGGACGTTCCATTACTTCATATCCTGAACCAGATTTGTCTCATCTTACAGATAATAGACTTTCTAAATGGCAAGTTATTACCAAGTTCATTCAAGTTATTTGGAAACGTTGGCAAACTGATTATTTAAATCATCTACAACAACGCACCAAATGGTTTATTAATAAAGAAAATTTAAAGGCAGGTATGTTAGTTGTGTTAAAGGAAGATAATCTTCCTCCATTTAAATGGTCTTTAGCTAGAATTCTAGAAGTTTTACCTGATAAAGATAATAAGGCCAAAGTTGTTAAAGTGAAAACATCAAATGGTGTGTATATTCGATGTATTAGTAAAATTTGTTTATTACCTATCCAGGATAATAATGCTTAGCTTACATTATGTTCTTATTGAAAATTGTGATTTACATAAAAATGGAACTGTTAAAGAATAAGTTCGATTGTAGCATAGTGAATGTTAATGTTCTCAAAATGATTATATTATTTTATATTATATTCATGATGAAATTATCTATTAGCTTTTATATTGTATTGTAGAATTAGTTATTCTTAGAATGTTAAATAGTATGTTTGTAATTTACATGTTGAAATTTGTAATTTCAACGGGCGGTGGCATGTTAAGTTAGAATACAGCGCCACCTATTGGATAAGTAGAGAAACTGGCACTTGGCCATCTGGATTCGACCAAGCAACATGCCAGAGCATGTATTAGATCTGAATAGTTAATTACTGTAAATAAATTAGTTAGTTCTTTTGCTATACAGTCCACTTATTAGTTTAGAATCACAGTACATGTTTTTTTTTTTTTTTTTTTTTTTTTTTTTTTAGCAAAAGAACTAACTAATTTATTTACAGTAATTAACTATTCAGATCTAATACATGCTCTGGCATGTTGCTTGGCCGAATCCAGATGGCCAAGTGCCAGTTTCTCTACTTATCCAATAGGTGGCGCTGTATTCTAACTTAACAAATCCAAATATCTTCATGGCATTGTACAGTACTTAACAGCTGAATAAAAGCTTGACTGCATTTCCCCCTCCCTGAAACTATGAAATTCTTCCTTAGAAGGAATTCTTGCCTGTTGAGAACCCTTAATCTAGACTGTTATAAGAACTCCAAAAAAGATATTTTGTGAAATGTTTTATCATGATTTTTCAATTTCAAGAGAGGTCTCCAAAATGTTATTCACTCAGAGCACTAAGTACTGTAAGGCCAACCCTGCTTCAAATTATGATGTGCCCACCAGCGGCCGAGCGGTAAAGTCACTGAACTCTGATAGTTCGGTCCGAGTTTCAAATCCCGCGAACGGGCTGGCTGCATGGGCGTTTTCGTGGTTTTTCCCATGTGTAAAATATATACGAGCCAATTTCCCTTAGAAAGTCCTCCACAAAGGCATCCCTTCCCTTGGCAGATAGCCCTCGAGGCTTTGCCATAATCGCACACACAAACTATGATGCAATTAATTTTGCTGTGCTAAGGCATTATTTTTCTGATATTGAAAGGGGCTGTTCTGAATTGTTACCAATGTGTAAAACATGCTATTGTTCACCTTAAGTCTGTAATCTATCAACTAAAGGCTTAAGCTCAAATCAGGCTCAGATCGTTACTGCCACTTTATTCTGTTGCTGACACAGCACTAGACGCAAATGAATTTTTGAATAATGTAGAACATTTAGTTAATTTCCATGAATAATATAGTTAATTTCTTGTTTTTTAACCTTACAAGAATATCTCCTAATATCATTTATGATTCATTTATCATTATAGCCAGTTCATATTTAACATATCAATATCTTTTCTTATACAGGAAAGCTGTTTTCTTCTGTTACTAAAGAATCTTCCTGGTTTGGGCCTTGTGTTACCTAGTCCAAAACTTGAAATATTTTTACAGTTTGTTATTTCATCTACAATAAAAGAGGAAAATGGTTTTAAAAAATGGGGATTAATTACTCTTCAGGTAAAGTGAATGTTAATATCAGCATGTTTATCTGTAATTTAACTATTATTAGTAACTATCTACTTAATAATTGGATACATTGTACTTGTACTTTGTCATAATCCAGTGACTTATTTTTAGCAAAAGAATTAAAATCTAATTACAGTAAATATAGTATTTAATTTAGAATCATTTGGGATATTTCTTTTAACTCAGAATTTAAATAATGTAACTTTATTAATATGTTGAGAAAATGTCCATTCATTATGAGCATTATAAGTAACATCAGTGCTACCTAAATATAAATTCAATTCCCCCCTCCAAATGTGAAAAGTGTGTGAACTAAAAGGAAGGAACAGTAAACATTTAAAAGCAACACACATACACCTAAATATGGTTGTACAATTTTAAAAGCCTGTAAGAATTTCTTGCCAGAAGTTTTCAGTTTTTCCACTTCAATTTTTGTAGTTTATCATCATGGATTGAGCTTTCAAACTAAATTAGCCGACCTTAACCTCGTAACTTTGAACCTATTCATCTCTCCATCGAGCTTTGATGAACAAATAGATACTGTACTCAAGGCTAGGGGTTGTAAATTTACCAGCTTTACCAGTAATTTTAGTAAAATTACCTATTAAAGCCAGGTAATAAATAGTAAATAAATACAAAAATAGGCATTTCATTCAAAACCACTACAGAAGATCTATGAAAATAAATAATAGTTTTAACATAAAATATAAAATATGGATGAAAAAATTTTAGTAATTTGTTATATGTTGGCAAATTATTCATATATGCATACGTAAGTCTTTACCTTAACCCTCTGAGCTTTTATGACCAGCTTTATCCAGTCATCAGAAGTTTTGCTTCTTGTCATATATTGGCTTATAATTTAAGATATTTTGCTTTCTTACTTTCTTTAATAATGTCAATATATCATCTTAAAGAATGTAAGTTTATGAAAATATGGGCTAAAATAAATATACAAACTCATTTAATAAATGCTGTTTAAATACCGGTCTTCATGACGGATTTAAAATCCTGTGCCGCTCAGAGGGTTAAAAACATTGAGAAAATTCTTTGCTTATATATGTAATTAGATACACTCATATGCAGAATTAAGAGAATTAGCACATTATGTCAAATTTCTGAAAAACTAATGGGACAAATTTTAATGAAATTTGGTATGAGTATACATTTACAACAGAGAAAGAGATATTACATTCAAAATTCATTTTAGATATCATGATTATCAGTAAAGCTCATACTGCAGGAATGTCCTAAATCCATGTTGTGATACTCATTTTCGGTAATATCTAACTGAAAATGAGTCTAATATGGGGTATTGTTTCCTCTCACAGCTAGAAAGGTTGAACTGTGTAATGGACAGGAGGCAGTTGAGGTGTTCTGTAGCAGTCAGTCCCACTCCTGCAACAAGGCAGTTTTCAACTTTAGGACATTTTTCAGAAGTCAATGGTAAGATGAAAATGCCCTCACAAGAGTGTCCCAGATGTGCTGTATAACGTTAAGGTTAGGAGATGTGGCTGGCCAGTCCATGTGGCAAATATCCTTACTTTCCAGGCAATCATTGACCACCTGAGCTCTATGTGTATGAACATTGTCATCCATTAACAGAAACCTAGGACCAACAATGCCCCTCAAAAGTCAAACTCTGGGCTCTAAGATCTCCTATGTGAGCTCACAGTATTCAGGAAGCTTTCATCAAATTGGTTGTAGGGGTGAGCAGCCATCCAATATAATTGCCTGTGCAAACTACTACACCTCCGCCATCATAATGATCTTTTTCCCTGATGAGGGAGAGATTGTATCATGTTTTAGGCTATTTGAAGGCACAGTACCCTAAGAAGAATTAGTGTCCAACCAGAATCTTGACTCATGGGTAAAAATTGCTGTGCTCCACAAAAATCTGGTCCAAGGCTTGTATTGTCTGCACCATGTTGAACATGCTCTCTTGTTTTCAACAGTGATTGGAACTCAAACGGTGGGTCTTCTGGTATACAGCTTTATCTCATGAGGCTTTTGAACAACTGTATACCATGAAACTCAGGTTCCAGTGGCAGCATACAGCTCATGTAGAGCTGTGAAGCTATACCTGCCCTGAGTTGCCATACTGAAAGTGCCAAATAACGATCCTCATTTGTCATTGTGGATCTTAGAAAACTTTTTCCAGGTCTTCTTGATATGAATCCAGTGTCCTGAAACTGTTTCTACAAATTGCAGATGATACAGGGTGTTACACTGAGCTCTGTAGACAATTGCACTTGTGATTGCTCGCCTCCAATCTGCCGACACTTCTCCATCTCACTTCATTTTCCATACGCTCATGGCTGCACATTTTACTTATTATTTTATAAAATTTACCCAACTCTTTTCAGAAGCACAGCAGATATTGTGAAGGAGTATGAGCACACAAATCTATGAAAACTCCCGTATGCTTATATCCCCTTCACAATCACAGACACGCTCATTTATGCTTATACGTTTGACTCTGAATATTTACATAATTAGTACTTTTAGTTCTATGCATTTCGTGAAACTAGACATAGTGAGTGTTGATATTTTTTTTTTTTTTTTTTTAATTATGTATAAATTCTTTCTGAAAGTTAGGCATATAAGAAACATAATTTCTCCAAACTGTAACCTCCTAACTGAAAGTTTAATTTTTGTGCAAAATAAGTCAACTGTTGAAAGAGCTCTCTTAGCCACTATTTTTGTTGATTTGGTAGTCATTCAGAATATATGTTATTTAAATATTTTCCACTCCTCTTTTCCTGCTGAAATTACTCCAGGTCTTTTTTGAAAATTTGTTTATTTATTTATTTTTTTTAATAGTTGGTTTCTCATAGGCTACAATGGTCTTTATTAAGAACAGAAGGATTGTTTAGGATAATAGGTTTTCATTGATAATATACCCAAAGGTATTGATAGAATTAGGCCTGGAAAATTTTTAGAATTGGTGTCTCAGTTTGTTTTTCAGAATTCTGTAGTGTCTGTTTTGCTTTTATATATGCATTGACTTATTTCCACAACTTTATCATAACTATAGTTTTACTGAATTTATTAATAATTTCATGATTGTCATTCCAATCATGATCAAAAAGGTAGCATTATATCAAGCAAAGTAATTCATCTTTCTTTTGTACAGTGCTTTAAAGCATTCTCAACGTAAATGCTTTGATCTCTTCTTCATCATATTACATGGCAGGCTTTTTGCCACCCAGTTCAAACTCTTTTATTCCTAATTCTGCTGCTCAGATTAGCTGTAGTAGCCCTGATCAAACAGCAAAGTATTTCAGTATTATGTTTTATTGGCCACAATGCTAATATTGTGTCAGAAAGACATGCAAGCTCAGTGACAGTAAAAGTTACATCAAATTTCAAATTGATGAGAGTTTTATTATCACAATGACAATGAAGTTAAAACAATTTATATAGATCATATTGATATATATAATTTACCAAATTGCCAATGAAATAATATTGATTCTATTGGTAACATTTTTAGGCTATATTTTTGTGGATTACTGAAAACGACTTTACCAGTTTACTGGCATTACTATAACACATACTTATTGGCAATGGAATTTCAGAGTAAGGTTTACACTGTAATCCTCAATGACAGTGATGAATACTTAGTAGGGTATTATATGCCCTATTCAAGGCATTGTAAATCTCAAGAGTAAATTTCGAGTTTGTGATACATTAAGTTTATAGTCTCCAACTGAAGTGGTGAACAATTATAGTGGAAAGCGCAAGTCATGTTACCACCAGTTAGTTTTATGAGATATAAATTTGAGTCATTTGGAAAATAAAATTTCAGATAGAATAGATAAAATTACTTGTGGATTTAATTGTGGACTTTTTTTTTTTTTTTTTTTTTTAGCTTCAATAAAGAATTTTGAAATAGATAAGATAAATAAAATTTCAACCAGAGCTTAGTTTTGTTTGAAATCTTTATGAGCCTGATCATTTCTGATGTACTAAGCAATTGTAATTAAGTTTCTAAGAAAATATTTTTAATGCCTGTTATTGTACTTGAGCTCTGCATTCTGTAGCTTAGACAGGGATTGCGTAAGTAAAATTTGGATAAATCATGATCATTTAAGGACTTGTAGCAATCTCAAGAGCTACTCAATGCTCATGAATTTGAAAGAGTCAGAATTCTTGAACCCAGTGAACTCTTTTGCATTAGTGGTAGAGAATTCTTGCATTAAATAGGCCCATGATCAAATCCCAAGGTTTTATCATTTTCAAGGGCATGTGAAACTCATGTGCTGCTGGTCTTTCCTTTGGTACTAACAGATGGTAACGTGAGAAAGCATCTACATACCCAAAGCCACCGAGGTCACTTGCACCATGTGATCTCTACATTGGCGTCCAGGAAAACGCCCTCTGCTTCAACCTAATGGCGACACAAATGCCAACAGAATGGGCTTTTCAACCATGCTCCATAATGCATCAATGGATCCAACTGAACACACCCACACACTGGAACTGCAGCCATCGCCCATCAATGCTGCATTCAATCACATCAATGCACTGGGCTTGCAACCATGCCCACAAATCGATCTTCTCCTCTTATTGCATCAGAAATGCTGGGGGGGAGTGTGTAGCGATCTTAGCCACTTAAATTTGAAAAGAATTGAAATCTTAAATTTGAAAGAGTCAGAATTCTTGAACCTATCGGAGGGGAACTTAGAGCTAGTGCACTGTCTTAAGCATTCAAGTTCAGATTGAGTTTTTCTTCTTTAAGCAGCAAAATTAAAATAAGTGGTATTTGCTTTGTTCTTGATATATTGCTTATGCTTTGAGAAACTTAAATGGTTATCAAATATTATACCGAGATATTTAGTTGAGTTGCACATGTAAAATGCCATCTTTAATGAATGCCTCATTTTTGTGGCTGGTCTTCTGTAGTGAAATCTTCTGAGGTTCTGCCTTTCTTTGGTTCAAATATATTTCCTTTATACATCTCTGGCAGCTGAATGGGCTAGCTATATAAAGTCCCCACTGTTTTCTTCATGTACAGCATAAAAATAGACCACTTTCTTGTAGAAAGCCTTTAGTGTATCATTTCCCATTGTATCCCTTTAGTCTGTTTGCCATAATAAAGCAATGCAGTCCACTTTCGGTCCATTGCCTCTTTTTTGATTTAAGGAGTTTTTAGATAAATACACCAGAAATAAATGCATTTATTCTTTAAAATATAACTGTTCTCAGCATGCATAGGAGTATTAACAAAATAAAGTCTTCACAATAGCATGCACAAGGACTTGTGTAAAAACTTTGTTAAGTAAAAATTTATTGACACATCTGATGAATGGTAGTGTATTAGCCGGCTAACCATTATGGTGCATATTAACATTATCACTGATTAAGGGTAATAAAATCAAAATAACTTACTTATTTATGAATACTACCAGTTAAAGTTACCAAGCATTGCAAAAAATTTTAAAAACTTGCTTTAAAATTCAAAATTTGCCCAGTTATATCAGCATGTGAAAAGGTTATTTGCATGTAACATGAATTCAAGCAAGCAAGTACCACTTGAGGTAGCTTTTGTAATAAATAAACCACTTACTTAGCTGTGAGTTCTAATCTTTAAATTTCATTTGAGTAGAAAATAAATTTAGTACATTTTTCTCTATTTCTTCAGTTCTGGATATATATTCATAGACTCCAACTACTACGTATTCTCCGTAGTTTCTACGGAAATTCATGAAAAACTACGAGCTACGAAAAGTATGGAAAAAACTACGATTTTACAGAAACAAGAGCAGGAGAACCAGTACGCAAAACGGAACCAACTAATTCATCCGATGATTGGCTGAATACTCGTGTTATCATATATCACGTGTTGAGTGCGTTCCTAGTTTTGAAGAATTAGCCAATCGTAGATCAGTAACTCCAACCGTTAACAACTTATCAATAGTTCCACCCAATTGTCTGTCTCCCAGGTTCCTCGCTGATGCGTGTTTAGGCTCATTCGGCTGCATTGTGTAGTTTACGGCGAGAGCTTAGCGTGTGTCTTGTGAACTGTGAATCAGGTGAAAGATTTTTAATCATAATGCTGCCTCGAACGAAGAAGCCAAAATTATCAAAGCAGAAGTTTAAAGATTCATATTCTTCAGAATTTCCATGCATTAAAGCGTCCGAAATTTCTGTGAATCACGCACACTGCAGTGTATGCAACAAAGACTTCTCAGTTGCTCATGGTGGAAAAGATGACTGTAAACGGCATGCGTTTTCTCAAAAGCATATAGAACTTGGCACTGTAAAATCTAAAGAAATAACAAATTTCTTAATAAAAGATGATGAAACAGATCCTATAAAAGCCGAATGCTATTTTGTTCGTTTTTTAATTGAACATAATCTACCGCTTTCTGTTTCGGATCATTCCAAAGAGCTTTTCAAAGCAATGTTTCCGGATTCTGCCATAGCAAAAAAATTTAGCTGCGGTCATACCAAAACTGCTGCTATTGTGAAAAACGCTTGCAGAAAATACTGTTGCTGATATTATAAAATCAGTGTGCAGTACATCATTTTCTCTAAGTACTGATGGAAGTAATGATAACAAACTGTACCCATTGGTTATAACATACTTACAGTAAAGAAAAGGGAGTGATAATTACTTCATTGATTTCTATTTTAGAATGCACGAATAATACCAGGAGAAGGTATTTTTAATTGTATAAATGAAAACATTAAAAACAAAGATTTAGAATGGAAAAATTGCTTATCATTTTCTTTTTTCTTCAGATAATGCTAGTAATATGATTGGAAAGTTTAAAGGTGTAGCATCATTTATCAAAATGCATCAACCAAGTATAATCACCCGAGGTTGTCCGTGCCACCTTTGCATATAGCTGCAAAAAAAGCTACTGAAAAATTAATTGGCTCAGAAATTGAAATGTTGATAATAGATATATATTTTTACTTGGAGAAAAGTTCGAAACGGAAGCATAGCTTCAAAGTTGCTCAACAAATTTTTGGGACAGAATGCAAAATCTCATAAAATTTTGAAATATTGCAGTACGAGATGGTTGTCTCTTTTAGAATCTATAACAAGGATTTTGGAACAGTGGGATGCTGTGATAAATTTTTTTGGAGATAAACCAGATAACTGTGAGAATGAAGGAAAGAGATTGCAAAACATTAAAAAAATTTTACAGTCACCAACCACCAAATTGTACTTGTTATTTTTGAAAAATACTTTGCCTTTGTTTATAACAGTAAATATTAATTTGCAACAACAAGCTCCTTATATACATAAATTGAGAAGAGAACTTTTTGAACTTTTAATGAATTTATTTGTTAGATTCGTAAAACCATCAGTAATTTCTAAAGAAAATGAAGACGTTACTCTAACGTCTATTCCATTTCAGAAGTATAGTAAACAAAAGAAAATGAAAATTTAGTGATTGGTGCGGAAACAAGACTATATTTAAAAAATGCCAAGTTGAATGAAAGTGAAGTGAAATCATTTTTCAATTCTGTGCGAGCTTTTTTTGTAACTGCATGTTCATATATAATTGATAAATTTCCACTGAGTGATCCATTTCTAAAACATGCTGAAGTTGCTGACATCAACTTGAGAACTGAAGTCTCATTTTCATCTGTTCTTTACTTGATGAATACTTTTCCATCCATTATTGATGAAAAATGTCTTAATCAAGTAGAAATTGAATTTTTCCATGTATCAAGTAGATGATTTGAAAGAAATTGTAGATTTGCGTATTGATATAGCATGGGGAGAAATTGCCAAATTAAAAAATATGAATGGGTGTATTAAATACAAAGTATTGCCTTCTGTAATGCTTGCTGTCTTAATAATACCTCATTCAAATGCAGCTTGCGAAAGAATTTTTTCTATTGTTAAAAAAAATCAGACGGAATTTCGACCAAATTTAGGTCTTAAAACTCTTGAAGCAGTTTTGATTGAAAAAATAAATATGCAGGCAAATGAAGAACTGTGTTATAAAAAAACATTCTCAAAATCAGAACTTAAGCTTGCTAAGCATGCTACATATAAATCTTTGAAAAGTATTGAGTATTTGGCTTCAAGATGGCAAATTCTTTTTGGTGGTGATTGCAATTATCTCATTAGGACATTATTTTCTGCTACCACTGTTTTCCATCAGTCATTCATATATGATATTACTTTACTGTCAACTTTTTATACTACAGAGTACAAAATGCAGATGTCCTATATCCAGAATGAGCAAAAGTCCAGACCTTCAAACTGCCAAAAACTCTTTTTTTATTATTATTTTTTTAAATTTTTATTGTGTACTTTACCCCTAGTTTAGTATTTTTTCACAATAAAACAAGGAGAGTTCTGATTCTTAATTTCACTTCATAATTAAATAAAATACCACCATATTGAAGAAATTATTAATTTTTAGCATAAATCTGTGTAATCAATAATTTGGCACCAGAGCCGTCTTTTTGCTTGACATGCATCTTGGACCAAAACACGTTACATTAGAACGTTGATTTTACACCTACTGAATACTTTACAACCCTGATTCCAAGCTAGCAAAATTATTTTTTGCTTTTACCACTGCATAACTAATAACACATGACAGCTTCAAAAATGATTCAGGCAGCACATTAAAGACTCACACATTATTTTAAAAACCATTAACAATTACCAAAGAGCATGGTAACCTTTTATGCTGGCATTATGCTTAGCAATGATTGCAGGATGAGTGCCAGAGCTCGTATGGCTGCACTGGGTTGCAGAATTTAGGGGAGGCAAAATTTTTGATATTTAATAAAACACCAAGTAACAAAAATCAAGGGAAGGAACTGGGATGCAAAGTTTAGAGACAGAAATATTTTTAGAATTTAGGGAGGTGCTTGGCAGCAGAATTTAGGACCTGCAGAGATTGCACCTTGCTCCAAAATATCTAACACAGGCCCTCTATAACCTTAAGCATATATGGGAATTTATTTATTCAGGACTCAGATAAGCTTTAAACAGGCACAGGAAATACTTGTAAGTTTGATAAATAACTGCAGTAATACAATTCAGGCTAAACTTCATCAGCGTGCAATAGAAGCAAAACAAAATTTAACGAAACAACATGCCTTCAGTCACTAACCTCATGATATATCACAACAGTGTATAGCAGATTCTAGCTAAGCTTTATGATGTTAGCTCTGAATTGTAAGATTTTCAGGTATCATAAACAAATGCAAATGAAGGTGATATAACAGAAGATTTGTCCAAATCATCAAACAACTAATGGCTGTTGAAATCTGTAGTACAGTTCTAAAGCCTGAAAATATTACTGCCATTAGTGACAGAGAGGTTGTTGAGAATGAAACTATATCAATTGACGGTTTAGCAGGAATGTTCGACACGACAAGGACTAGGTCAATTGAATTTAATGACTGAATGAGAAATTTACTTCTGTCTTTAAAATTAAAGAGAAAGTATTAGCACAAAAGATGAAGCAACTTGAACAGCTTATATTGAAAGAAATGTTTAGTGAAGAAAACAAATAAATGTTGAGCTACCTCTTTTTTTTTTTTTTTTTTTTTTTTTTTTTTTTTTTTTTTTGTAAATTTTGATTTCCTTAAGGTCATAAATGCTTTATTATATCATAAATTATTTTAAAATCATTTTTTTTTCCAGAATATTCTGACAGCTCTAGAGGAAAAAGGATATAAGCAAAGGTCACTGAGCATTGTGCAAGATGCATTTATTTCTGTTTTTAAATATTTTAGAAATGACTATGCCAAGGTTATAGAGCATCTGTCATGGATTACACAGGGACTTCTTCTCTTGCCTAAAGATGGCATGGATACTGTAATATCAGTTTCTGAAAATGTGAGTGATATTTCAGTTTTGACAATGATTTGGTGCAATTTAGTGAAATGTGGCAAAGTGCAGCTTACGTGTCTCAGACCATGTATTGAAGAAGGAAAGCATGCTTCTCCTGAGTAAGTGTATTATTTTAAAATAACAGAAATATCTGTATACATTTTTACTCTTTCACATTTTTGCTACAGATTTCTGCATGTAAATATATTATTTATATTTTGTAATGAGTATATAGTAAATATGTCAATTCTGCACCTTGCTCATATTCGCACCTGCACATATGTACAGTACAAGTCATATTAGCTATTATATAATATAGAGCAATTTTTGGGGGTATAAATTTATTTATAAGGTCCTTTTTTTAGATATAAATTGGGAAAGTTACTGTTTATTATTTAGAATTATATTAATTTTCTGTAATAGTCGCCAAACTGAATTTAAGTTATATAATTTCATCATCAAAAAGGATATGTATTTATATTTCTACAGCTGTAATATATACTAAATTAAAGATTCTATGGAATGTCTTGCCAGGAGGAAAGCATAATTGAAAAAAAAGGATGTAGCAATTCAGAGGAAGAAGGGAGGGAGTAAAAGCGTTTCAATTCTGAGTGGAAAACATTTTGGTTTACAATTATTTGTTTGGGCAAGTGTTATCTGTATCAAGCGCTATGTAGGATCGCATGATTAATTTCAATGACTCGATTTAGACTTATAGTGCCACTTATAAGATAGAGAGATGAAGTCCCCAAGTTAAATAAAAAATCAAAGATGTTATAGCCAATTCAAATTAGAAGTTTGCATTCATACTTTTTATTTTACACATTCCCTCCTTCAAAAAGAAGAAAGTGGAGCGATAGAGAAGCCTTTTTGAGAGAAAAAGCATTAGAGCAACAAAATATGAAAGAGATAATTTGGAAAATACAAAACATAGTAAAATTACTTTTGAAGAATTAAATAATTTTAAGTGCTATGTTCTTGTAAAATAATTGCACATTTTTAGAGTCCTATTAAGATTTGAGTCCAATCTGTAAAAAGTTCTTGTTTCTGGAACATTCACATCACAATTTTGATATTTCAGCTAAGGATTTCCAGAAATTTTTACACACAATATCACAATTATAAAAATTTTATATACCCATTAATTATTACAAATAATCATAAATCTTAAAATTTTATTCTATTCTAATTTTCACATTTATAAGTACTATTTTATCATTTGAAATTATGGTTTTTACTTTTAATATTACATTTTACAATGTTCTTATTTTACACAAACTGGGAGACCACACAGCTTTCTCGTAGTACACACATATCCAGCTGTTTTGGCATGACCACTTTAATGAACTCATGTACTAAATTTTCATGAACGTTTAAGGGTTGCTTTGGCATTTTATAAAGGCCTATGTTCCTTCTTTAATAAGAAGTAAGATCTAGACTGTAAACTAAGTGAAGGTGTGGTAAAGTTCCATTATCCATGTTGTACTTTTATTTGAGGTGATCTCATAATGGACAATGATTTGATTTTTTGATTACTATTCCCAAATCTTTCACACAGCGACCAGTAAGAAAACATATGTACAGTACAAAGTCTGTAATCCAGACTCGGGACTTCGGCGATTCCAGATTAGGGGTTTTTTCCGGATTATAGATCATCAATTTAAATCTGGTAAGATAGCATGCAGAAATATACAATTAAAAATATGAAACCGTAATTTATGAAATAAAGAGCAATTATGATCTAAAGGGTATCAAATTTTACAAAAAAAAAGCTTAATATTTATTTGTTTACTTTATTAAACATTTCTTTCAACGCGCTCATGCATAAAGCATACATTACGCGCGTGTGTAATGTATGCACATTCTTTACACGCATGCGTAAAGTTTGTGGCATTGAGGTCCAGATTATAGATCATTCCGGATAATGGGCGTCCGGATTACGGACTTTGTACTGTATATCATTTGAGAGTGATGGTGTGATGACTTTCTGGCATTACTGTTAAACATAACCTACCTAATTAAAGAACTTGAAAACCATTATTTTTTCCACCACTGCACCTCAGTTGATTTTTATTGATGCAGATTCATCTGATTTGGTTTAGTTGGTTATGGCAAAGGAGAGCTATCCGCCAAAGAAGAGGGATGTGTGGAGGATTTTCTTAGAGAGACTGGCTCGTATACATGTTGCACAGAAAACACCACAAAAACATCCATACAGTCAACCCGTTTACCTGGAATCGAATCCAGGTCGGAGCTACCAAGTGTTAAACAATTTTACTACTCAACTGCTGGTCGGCCCCGATTCGTCTGGAAATATTCATATGCTAACTATAATTTAATATGCAGCGGATGAGACACTGAAATGTTTATCTTCATGATATCATTTCACAGCCTTCGGTGAAATCCCTCAAGCATTTTCATGTAAAAATCAATGTGTGCCTGCTTTTAACTGTCACCAGTTCATGGGGATACATAATATCCAAACAACCACAATGACCACACAAATCTGTGTATCTTGGGCAATGGTACCAACACTTGTACCATTGCCCAAGATACGCAGGTTTCTGCATAAGTTACTCACTTGTTCCCTTATATAGTGTATTTCATATTTCTTATATAGTGTATTCATTCTCTCATATTTTTGCTTTGTCACAGTCATTAGATGGCCATGACATATCTCATCACCCAGCTTTTGCCATCCATGATAGTACTGAGTAAATTGATTAAAAATAATATTATATGGGAATTCCATTTAAAATGCAATTTACTTTTCAGTCAATCATACTTTTCTTTGATAAGAGAAAAAAAAAATTGCTGTGAAACGCTCTTATACTAGCTCTCTTTTCTGCTTACATAGCAATACCATAGCTGCCAACCTTGAAATTTGAAAAACTGATTAAATTCACTTCACACTCACGATACTGATTTAAATTCACTTTGTAATGTATAATTCAGTTATTGAACTATTTGTAGTGGGATTCTGACATAAAACGTAGTAATAGTTAATAAGCTATTCTGAATTTTATGTTTTTTAACTGATTTTATTTCATTTTGTTTAAACATGGACAAAATCATGAATAGGAAAGAAAAGCTTATTTTTTAGAGTACTTTTAATTATGATAGAAATAAAATTAATAACTAATGCCAAATAATAAAATTTATCACTTAACTGCAAATTCAAAACACTATGTCATGTGAAACAAAAAAGCATAGCAGTCACATTGGTTAGGTTATGATCCTATCACTTCCCTTTAACCTGAGCATGTATGCAGATTCATTCATTTCTGCATTCTTCTTCGCATAACACCTTGCATCAGCCACTCATTTTCATTGTGCAGTTTGATGGATGAAAAGATGAAGATGTCAGTAGCAGCAAAATAAGGGGCTAAAAATTAAAAATGGGAGATTCGATGATCTACTGGGAGACAAAGAGATGTGATAAAAACCCTGAAGAGTTGGCAGCTATAGCCAGTACAATTTACCTTATTCCAGATACAAGACAAACCCACAAATCTAAAAACTTCTAGTTTTATTTTCATATGTAAGAGCAGTAACTGCTATTTATCACAGAATATATTTGTTAATGTATATTTTAGATATCACCATCTTGTGATTTATCAAATTAAGTCCTTTACAAAATACTGAAATGTAGTTGTTCCATATTCAGGTTTTCTTATGATATGTAATGTATGTAATTACTGTAATTATGTATGTAAATTATTTAACTACTCATATTATTATATGACATTCAAGAAAATGTTCAATTTTCTTTTTAGGGATAAAGCTCTCATTTACATTTCTGTTTACAAATGTTTTCTTTCTGGCATTCTAAATAAGGAAAGTGAAGTAAGCCAAGCTACAAAATGTATATCTTGGCTTCTAGAAACTATTGGGTGGATCAAAGTCCTTTGCGATTCAAAATCTAAATACCAGTTGATGACAATGAAAGAAGTAAGTTTTCTTTCAGTAATAATATGCAGGAAATCTCATTTATTAATTTTTATACAGTATGTTTTCACTATCAGGACCAGTTATTTTACTGACAATTCTATTATAACAGACCGATATAAAAATTATCAGGAATTATCTCATTCTCCTATATGTGCTTTTCATAGTGTAAATGGTCACACGTTCAGCTTTAGACTGGAGGATATGTTGTATAAATCCTGGGATAGCATAGATAGTTTTTCTTATCTCCTATTCCAAAAAATGTAGTAGTTTCTACAAAGTTTCCAAATGATGAGAATGTATTAAATCCATTTTAGGATAGTGGTCATTCACTATAACATTCTTGTAGAATGTGAGGAGTTCTTTTAACAAGCATTGATTATATTTTTTAATTTTGAATTGTTACTAACTGTTTATGTATTTTATTTTGTTATAAAATTACACATCTTTGTTTTCATGTAAGAGCATAATTATTGTATTATAATTTTCCATTTGGAAATCTGTGCACACTACGATTTATGTTGCTGTAATAATTGTAATACACCTGAAAATATTAAGCTTCAAATTTTGTGTAATTTATCAAAAAAATTAGAGAATTTGTCTGTGCTTTTATGATAAGAGTGTTCTGGCAGTATCTCAATGATAATGGAGTCTACTTTTCCAGTTTGATTATATCAAAAGTAAATTTCAAAACTTCAGTTGAAGTCCAGAATTTTCATAGCATTAATTAATAATAAACATAAATTCAGCTAAAGTATAACTTTGTGCTTAAATATTTGAGCCCATCTGCAGGTATTTGATAAGTTAGTGGTTGAAACAATTAACATGAAAAATTATTAAATTGTGTTAGTATCTTTCATATGATTGAATATATCATATTATTAATAAATTGCTTATTTAAATAAAGCTTAAAATTGTCTGCTGCTTAGCCAGTGTAGTGGTTAGCAATGCTGACTGCTGTTCCAAAGGGCCCAGGTTCAAATCCCAGAGAAGGCATGGATGTTTGTAAATGTATAATGTCTATGCAGTATGGGAGCTCTCTAAATTAAAGCCGAAAGTCCTCTCGAGAGGTTGCTAGTAGGGAAAGATGGGTGGGAGACCCTTGAAGCCATACCCCTGTGTGCTCTCCATCAAAGCTGGAAACAGAACTGAGCAAAGTTGTACTGTCACCTGTACTGTGCTCAAGGTTCTTGCCAACGACAGATGCAATCTTGCTCTCCTTGTCATGATGTATTTTGTGGGTTTGTTCTGATGTTACTGACAAAGAAGTGAGATAGTCACAACAATAACAATAAAATTTCACGTTTAGAATTTGCTGCTACCTGTTTAAATACTGGTATTTCTGCTTTATTATTATTGTGCATGTGTGAACAAGAAAATTTCTATCTTAATTTTAAAAAGTAGGCATTGAACATGCATGTCAACAAAAACTGAGCATGGATAAAAAATAACTGTTAAACTAGTTAAATTGTAAAATTAATCAGTTTAATGAAAATCTGTCTAAATTTAATGCATAGTCTTATCGAACAGATGAATCAAAGTATATATAAATTATCTCATACAACTGATTTCAAAATAAAAAAATTCTTTAATGTTTAAAAATAAATTGTCAAAAATGTAAAACTAGGATTATAATTTTCATTACCAGTTTTCAATGGTATATATTTAAATTATATTAACAAAGAATCACAAGCAAAATGTTTGGGGAAAACTGCTTGTTAAATTAAACTGCTCATTTAAATTTTTGAAAATCATTCTTTTAGATTTAGCTACATTTTTTTACACTTTTGGAACAGGCGTGTTTCGCATATACATCAGCCTCAAACATTCTCTCATGGCCAGGTGTGTCAAAAATGAATCGCCATTTAAATTGATTCTAAGGGACAGGTACTTTTGAATTTTCACATATGAATTTTTGGACAAAATATTAAACTGGTATTTTTTTATTGCTCTATGCATTGAATAGTAGAATTTATCATGTTTGGAGAATATTGACCTTTATTTTGTTGCAGTATTTTTTAGCCAGAAAGGGACGTTAATCCCGAATGAGTTACTAGTCTTGAAACGGCATTTGTGTTGAAACACTTAAATGCATTATATCACATTTTACATTGTTGCCACCAAATATTATTGCCCTGTATTACATTTAAAGAAATTCATGAAGTATCTGCATGAATGGACACCTGGAAGCTCGAATTTTTAATTTTATTATCTACTTCATATTTTGTAAAACTTTAATGGATTTTTTATTAATAAACACGAGGATTTCAAAGCAAGCAGTGGCAACACTGTAAGAATGAAACATTTTTATCTACAGCAGGGTAGACTGTCTATTGGAAATTCTAAAGGTATGTTGTTTTTAAATTTTTTGTGATTTTGCTGTTGAATTGAATTTTATGTGGCATAAGTGCTAAGAGTGTGTTATTTAAAAAATAAGCACACAAAACATTAATAATAGAAAGACAAAAAAAAAAGTTTTGTAAAGCCATCTTAGAAAGAAAACTGAACATTGATATGATGAACTGAGAAAAGACTTAAAGGGAAGGGGAACAGAAAAATATATGCCAACACTTAACACTGCGTTGGGAATTCTAAACAAATACTGCTATGCTGCTTTTAAAATTTTTGTAATTTTGCTGTTGAATTTTAATGGCATAAGTGTGAAGAAAATGATACTTAATAATAAAGCTGAATAGGCAAAAAGAAAGTAGGTTAGTAAGAGTGAGTGTTACAACAGACTAGTAGACTTAGAGCACAGAGACAGCATAAAAACCTTATATACTCTTTTTGGGCAACTGTAAAATCTGAAACCTTTCAATTTTTATTTTATTTTTGCTTTGGAATGACAGCAGGAGTAGTGGGAATGAGTAATGTAAATAAACAAAACTCTTTAACTGCCTCAGCTGTTATAGTTGGTCTGTTATAGTTGCCTCAGTTGTTATAGTCACTCAGCTGTTGCACCTGTACCTTATCATCAAAAAATAAGGGAACATGTGAATCCAGAACAGGTGCAGTTGCACCTGCAAACTGCACCTGTTTTGGTTGTTCCCTTATTTTTTGCTGATATGGGGATTCTAGGATTTCAGAGCATTTATTCATTTATTCTGGTTAGTATTGAGAGGAATGTTTTGTATATTCTTAAGCAAAATATTTTTTATTCTTCAAATGGCCAAACAAAAATAGTATTTGGCAATACATGTGATGAATCATTTTGTGGCATTAATGACAGTGATGATATTTCTAAAGAATTAGAAAGTGATAGTAAATAATGATTCAGTTACAGGCATATGAAATACAGATGCAGGTGCATGCCTTCTACATCTTAGTGACAGCACCTCTTTTTGACTAGGACATTTCAAGATTTGAAAACTTTTTATTTTGTAGGGAGCACCAAATATTAATATTGGAAGTGCTATCAAAGAAATTGATTTTTTTATGATTATGTTGTAATACAATATATTGTAAAAGAAACAGTTTCACACAATATCATCTTAGTTTACTCCATAAAATTTTTAGGTTGTGCCAGAACAAATGTAAGTGTTTAATTATTTCGGTTAAATTTATCAAAAAGACCTAATCATTTTTTGAAATATTACTTCTTTTTTTTAATTGTTTTCATGCTGGTTTTTTAATAAAGGAGATTTTGAATAATTTTTGTTTTTAATAAAATAAAATCTAATTGTTTGGATAATGTTTTTCAGATATATTTATTTACTTTAGGAAAGTCAAAAATTTTATTATTCTAGAATTTTTATAGAATGCTTATAATTGTTATTAATTTTTATTTTATAGAATTTTTCTAGTTTTATTGAATTTTTAAAGAGAATGTAATGATAAAGTTTTAAAATTATTCTGATAACAACCTGAATGAACTTCTTCTTGCAAAAAATAGAACTAGATCATAGATTTAATTTATGTGAATTAAATTTACAGTCCAAAGTTATGCTTAGCAGTGTGAATTACCCGTCACCAGAAGAAAATGCATCCCATTAGTGCATTATTCAGACAGAGAAGTTTGGTGACTGCGGCACCTATCACAAAAGGGTTAAATATTATTTTCGCGTGTATGCTTTCCTTGAGATATACTGCACAAAACTGTGCATGGAATGTTAAATGCTTTTATTATTAGATTTAATAAAAAAAAACATTTTGATGTCATCTCTTAATGAGAAAAAATGGAAATCTAACAAGTTAACTGCGTTTTCTAAGTAAGTTTAGTGTGGTTTTTTTTTTTTTTTTTTTTTTTTTTTTTTTTTTTTTCAGGTTTTTTTATTTCTGGTTGATGTTTGTTTAGCTACAATTATTGGCTGTTCAGGATTAGAATGCAGTTATAGTTTTTTTCCAATACAAAATATAAGTCACCAACTACTACTTGAAAAGCTCCCAACTGCAGTTAAGAAACTCACTACCACAGAAGAATGGAATAAAATTGCTGATAAAGTATGTTCCTATTTTTAATTTAATTACTTATATTAATGTTTACAAATGTTGACAATTACATGTTGATTAAATATACTACCAAGCAACATCTTGAGAGTGTAGTATTACAATATGAATAGTAAAATCATCACGCATGCTGAAAATACATTAAATCACGTGAAAATTTTATTTAGCAGCATGTTCAACGTTACTGGGAACAGGTTTAGTAAAAACTGGTTTCTTCCATATCTAACATGCTACTATTTGTAAAATTTTCTATATTTGCCTAACATAGAAAAATATCTTGCAGGTAACTGTGTACTAAAGTATTAATTTATGCCTAATTTTTATAGTTTTCTAGCTAGTTAATGCATATAATTTATTTCTGTGAAAATTTTAAAATACACAAATTTTTTACATAATTATCTTTATTTTATTTAGATAATTGACTGGCTACTTTTATTAATAAAAAGTGAATATCTTAGTGAAATAGAAAAGTACCATATCAAGCTGAGTCTATGTTCAATGAAAGGACTTCAAGAATTTCAGAAGACAGAAGTGTGGACTGAAATTATATGTAATATCAAAGATAAATAAATAAATTACATTTTGTTGCAATACATTTTATTCTGTACAAGTTGAAGTTACATTTATACATACATACATTAAATGCATATTTATAAAAATGTTACTTTTTAAATTAAACACATAGCAATATGCTGAGATAGAAAAAATAACTATTGCTAAAATTGACTACTATTATAGAGTCCTATCAAATCCTTTCCATATTTTATCATGGCAGTTGTTATTTAAGTTTATGTGTGCAGTGTAAAATATCTTTACATATTTAAACATTTTTTTTTTTTTTTTTTTTTACAAAACTACTACATTTATAAATAAAGTACAAAATAAGTAGCAGTTATCCTTTTAATAATGATACCTAAACTCCAGCTGATATCTGTTGTTGAATTCTTTGCATCATCCTCTGATCTAGCTGTTTTTGACGAAAAGATACAATTATTGCTCCTATAATTCCAAAGCAGGCCATACAACTTTCAAATATAAAGAAGTTTCTTTCTTCTAGCCACAGAACTTTATCACAGCTAAAACAGATATAATATACATATATTTAATTTGCATTTAAAAAATCATTTATTTTTATCTCGTAATAGATAACATTTAAAAAAGTTATAAAAAAAATTCTCTTAAGAGATGCTTATGTTGTCAGATGTCTACTTAATCCTGCAAAAGTCACAAAATCCTGCAAAAGAACAACACATATTAACCTATTAGCTGGGGATAATGGCATTTTTTGTCACTGAAATTAACCGCATTATGTTGCATGCATTATGCTTTATGTAGTTTTTATATCTTTAAACCTAGTGTGATTATATGGCATTATAATCTTGATGAGTCATGTATATGTACAGTCATGTTTTTACAATCTGGTACTTGAGTGCTATTTGCGAACAACTGGTCGGTGCAAGCACTTGTGCAGTTATACAACGTGAATCGAATTTGCGTAATTTGGCTTGATTTTAGTCTGCATTTAGTATTTTATGTATTAGTGATTTCAATGATTATTTTTTCCAAAATGTGACTAAACACATTTTTTTCTTTAAAAGTATGCCACATTGCTTCAAAGAAGTATTATATCGCAAATTAATTTTTTGAACACCGAAGATACTTGATTTATATATTAAATATCACAAAATTTTTTGTGGAAATAAAAAAAAAGTTGAAAGCAATTTTCTTTTATTACCTGAGGTTTGATGACTTATCACTATGAAAAAAGTCCCAGTGTGAAACGAGTTTCACAAAATTTTATTCCCCGGTTAACAGGTTTATATTGCAGCTTCAATGAAAATTTCAGATAATATATCATCTACAATCTTAAATATTTTAATATAATATTTATCTGAAAGTATTTCATAAGCCATTTTCATTCATATCAAAGATGTCTTTGGGTCATATTTCTGAAATTACTTTCAATGTACTAATTTTTCATTTAATCATTATATCCTTATTCTCATGGCATATTCCTTTTGTCACAACCCAGTGTCTTTTCCTGAATTTATCAAACTCCTGAAATTGACTGTGGTGAAATGATGTTACAAATTTAAAAGCATTTTCCACTTTAAAGAGATATTCAGTACAAAATATACATAAACATACTTATTTATACATTTGGAACAAGCAGAATTTCTAAAATCTTATTAATTTTTTAGGATGTTGTTAACTATTTGGTAAAATACCAAACTTTGATGCAATATGCTTAACTCTTTAAAAGAAATGCAATGGCTGAAAATTTCAGAAGCACACGAAAAATTGCTGATGCAATTTAATTAAAGTTTATATTTTTGGCCATTTTCAAATAAATGATTCTGAATCAGTTTTCTGCATTGTCTCATTGGCTATCCCTTCTAGGATAAAACAGGAAATTTTATGCCTGAAAACCAAAAAAGTCTTGTTGAAAGGAAATGCATTTAATGAAAATTTCCATTATCTATAATTATGCTTTGATATTATTCAAGTTCTAGCAAAGTAAACATCAGTGGTGGTATTTTCTGCCTTTGTTCAGAACCCTTTCTTTTCTCATTTACAAACAAACATGTTTAGCCCTTTGTGTGTAGTAAATGGTTGTAGTTAAACACAGTTTCAGTTATTTATAAGAACAAATCATAAGCAGATATATGCTTGCATTGCTTATCATTGAGCAAATTGCAACATTAAGCTTAAAACATGCATTTCAAAATTGAAAAGTTACAAAGTGCCATGAAAATATATGGCAAGACTTTCAAAAATTTGATTTATATAGTAAATATAAAATTCTTCGTAGAAATAAAAAAAAAATCAATAAGCAAAAAACAATTTTCTTTTATTACTTGAGGTGTGATGAACATTAGTTATTAGTTTGTCCTATGGGGATATTTTTATTTAGAAATTTACATTTTAAACAATGTCTCATCAGAAAAATAAAATATAAAAATTTGTGAAATAGATGTTCATTATAAAAGGTATGACTGTAATTATTTTCATAATATGATGTTTAGGAACATACTGATAGCACTTAAAGTTTTACCATTTTTAGCCCTTATGTCAATTCTGACTCTAGAAGGCGAGTTCTGAAATTACAAATGTAATAGTTTCTCAGTATTCATTAATCAGTGTTATGAAATGGAATTCTTTTGTCACGTTAAAATGTTATGCAGCTTAATCATGCAAAATGTTTAAGCTTAATCTTTTGTTGCGTTAAAATGTTATGATAATTTTTTTAAGGGGAAGACTCCTTAGTCTCGAAATGGCAGTTTGCATCAAATCAGTATAAACAGTGTATTACATTTCAAAATGTTGCCACAAATATTATCACCCAGTATTATATTTAAAGAAATTAAATAATGAAGAATCTGCATGAATGTATGTATGTTTCTCGCATTGTGATAAAACAGTGGTACCTAGAGACATCAAATTCTGAATAATGTAGTCTTCCACCTAAACATGGGCATGTCGAAGCTAGAATTTGGAATTTGTTTTATTGTCTCTTTCATGTGTTGTAAAACGTTACAAATTTTGGATTAAAAAACTCAATAACAAATTTTGGATTAAAAAATGTCAAAAACACTTTTACTGCAGAGACTGTCTATCATAAATTCCAAAGATATGCTGTTTTTAAATATTTTGTGATTTTGCTGTTGAATTGAACTTTATGTGGCATAAGTGCCAAGAATGTGATTAATAAGTAAACACACAAATGTTAGTAATAAAAAGACAAAAGTTTTGTAAAGCCAGCTTAGTAAGAAAACTGAACTGAAAAAAGATAGGGAAAAAAATATATGCCAACACTTAATGCTGCATCAGGAATTTTTCGTGTATACTGCTAAGATGCTTTTAAAATTTTTGTGATTTTGCTGTTGATTTGTATACAGTGTAAGTGTGAAGAAAATGGTGCTTAATAATAAAGCTAAAAAGGAAAAAAAAAAAAAAACAGTTTAGTAGGAGTGAGTCTAATAGCAGACTGCAAGCTCAGCAAAAGCATAAAAAATCTTAGCAAAGTCCTTTGGGCAAATTTAAAAATCTAAAACCTTTCAGATTTTTTCTTTTTGTATTTGTCTGTGAAAATTTTTAAAAACTGCATATTGTTGTAATAAATTAAAGTGAAAGAAATTAAGAACTAATCGCTTGTACAAAACAAATTTGAAAATGAATTGACAAAAAATTATCATAAAGCTGTATAACGTTTTAATGTAACAATAGAAATATACTTCCTAACAATGTTTAATAAATGCTAAGCTATTTCCTAGAATATAGTCATGACAGATAACAGTATACCAATTCATGTTGTTTACTGAAAAATACAGTCGGAAGGTGCTGGTTTTATACATATACATATTTGTATTTGAAATTTTAGCTTTAATATTGTTGATAATTTAGTAATTTTCAAGTTCTTTTACAGTACAAAAAGGCTTTTAATTAACTTACATGTTAAATACTCAAAAGTCAGATTCTGAAGATCAATAATTTTTCACAAATACTTATACATAGTGAGGTCATTCTGCATTATAAAATATGTATTTTATTTCTGAAGAATGAAGCAGAAAAAAATTTATTTTAAGAAGCAGATTGGTTTTAGGATTTTCATTCTCTATCACTCTAGGTCAAGAGGATTTATCAATTAGTTTAATAAATGCTAACTTCAGTTAAACAGAATTTTACTGCATTTTAAATTACATAAAGATATTTAAATACAACAGTCTCTTCGACAATAAATATAAAATTGTATACCTTCTATATACATCACCCGATATCTTGCACGAAACCATTTCCTTAAAGCCTGTTGGAACACAAGCAGGGAGATGTCTGCTTACCTGCAGAAAAAGCATGTAAATTATAAAGTGAAAGAAAATCGCTTCCCAAATAGAGAATTTATTTACAAAAACTAAAAGAAATCTAAAATATTTCAAAAGAATTATTTGGCAATAATTTACCATTTTAAAATTAAACTGTCATTTCACATAAATCAAAATACTGTCTTCTTTTAAAATTGTGTATGTAAACAAATTTTAAATGAAATACAATGATTTTTCACTTTTCAAGAAAAAATATTGGATTGAATAACATTTTTAAATACAAAATATTTTAAATCATAAATATTTTAAATACAAAATATATAAATTAATATACTTTTCTGTTTCGCAGGCATAAATCTCGCCAAGCAGACTTTATTGGCAACAATACACATAAAAAATTTTAGTTCTAAGAAATTTTTATTTAGAAGGCATAAACATTTTAATATCGCTTAAAATTTTGTAAAAAGACAATAAGTAAAGATGATAAATTTGTAAAAAGACATTAAGAATTTACTATGCTTTCATGGTACAACATCCTGATTTGCGGTTTCATATCACGTGACCCAAGTGATCTCATCTCACGTAAACTACGCTACAAAAATCTAATTCTCTCAGTAATTATCTACATTCATTTAGAGTTAAATCTTAATTTGGAATACAAGTTTAAATGCAAGAATTATTTCAATTTGTACAAATAGCTTACTCAGAAATTATATAAATCCGCAGTGCTTTATTTCACTAGTGCATTCTCATTAGAATTGATGAATTTAATCCTTGACTTTGCCTTTTCTATATTTTTGCCATCAGGTGAGCAGTGTGATTGCATCCTAATTGACTTAGGACATAAAATTGAACTATCTGGTAAAAATTCTGTGTAATTGCATGCCAGTATTGAAAGAAACAATCAATCTGATAAGAAATGGCTGCAACGTGTTTTGAAAATGAGGCATAAAAGGTTACGAGCGAGGATAATACGTTTGGCATCGATTGTACCATTTTTGGTGACTTCATCGCTTGTGCCGGCAAAATGGAAAAGTACCTATAATTAATATATTCAAGGCTGATTAAAATAATATATGGGCTCCTACCCAGGTCTCCTTTAAAAGTGCATTTTCTATACCATGCTTAGATTATTACATAATTCATTACCACTAATAATTTTATTTCAAAATTACACACTTACATAAAATATTTTATATATTAAAAATTTTCAAATTATGTAGTCTTTCATAAAAAAAACAAAACATAAATGTAGTAAAAAAAAACTGTAAAACCTGCTTTCTCTAAATTGTGCTCAATCCTGCAACAAAAGAAAACTCTTTTTTTAAAAAAAAATTTCTATAGTTTACATCGCTGAACTGAACTACATACCTTATAGATGTAACCAAATCATTTGCTTATTTCTTAGCTTTTTCAAATCCATTTATAAGTAACGCTTAACACTGTATTTATAAGTTTTATTGTAGCATGTAACTGCATGTCTTCCTGTTGAATTACTTTATTAACTTTACCGAGATCAATAAGAATATTGTACTAATCCCTAACCCTCTCCATTTATTCCATAGAAAACAAATTAAGGATTAACATGTACCAGACCAAAAGAATGAATGAAAACAGTTACCATTACACAATAAACTGCTACAGCCAAGCTATCATAGTGCTAAGGATTGAAATTTTGATCTAAAAAATTTTAAATATCGAAATACTGTTTCAGTGAGAAATTTGACATAACTTCATTAATATTTACATATGCTTACAATGTCCTCTACTGATGTTATATACATTCATTTCTTTTCACTGAAATTGTTAATCAGTACTATGCAGATTTATAGTAAAAGTATGATTATGTGGGGTGTCTAAAGCAGTCATTTATATTAAAGCTAAAAAAACCATCAAACACTACTTTTACATGAAGAAAAAGCAAGAAAAGAACACCTGAAGGAAATGCATACTTTTATGATTGTTTCTAAAGAAAATTCACAGCCTTATTTAAAAAAACAATGCTTTTAAATAGCTCCCGTGTCAGAAATGAACAAATTACCAATGAAAACATTAAAAAATCGGCTAATCTTTGGAATATGGCAACAGGTAGTTTAGCGACATTTTGGTAAGGCGATAAAGGTTCCTAGCTAGGACTTTAGCAGTGCACATGGATAAAGTCAAGAGTCTGCGCAATGTCATTTTTGTGCAATTCAGGGATGTTTTTTTAAGTGAAAATAGGTCGACGTGTACATGGATACCATGTATATGCAATTCTTAAAAATGCGGCAAGCAGTGGGCGATTCTGCACTTTCTCCCAATTTCACACCTGATCTTCGTCATGATTAAGCACTTTTGTTCCATAAAAGTTCTAGCATAAGCATAATTTGGCTAGCAGATTGTTGAAAAAAAATGTTGAGTTAAAAAAAAAAAAAAAAACATGCCTTTACTTCATGAAAACAAAATGGCGTCCAAAAAAAACAGTACTTACATATTAACGCAACCAGGCCAAAATTCGCATAAATCGCCAAATTTGGCGACCCTACTTACGGCAACCCTACATGTTATACGTAGTTTTGTAAAAAGAATAAATAACACTGGGCGTGTACTACCACAGCAATGGGTTTTCGGCGGAATTTGCCAAGAAAAGAAAGAGACTTTTTTTGGTTACTGTACCTAACAGAAGCGCCGTTACCCTCATGGAAAAAATTTGCGAAAATATCAAGGAAGGAAGCATCATTTATTCGGATTGCTGGAAAGGATACAATACAAATGAGTTCAAAAATGCTGGATTTCTGTATGGAACTGTTAATCACAAATATAACTTTGTGGATCCCAACACGGGCGTTCACACACAACATGTAGAGCGCATGTGGGGCTCAGCCAAATGGCGCAACAAAAAACAGAGAGGAACAACCCGTCATCATCTTGACTCATACCGTATCGAATTTATATGGCGCCAAGCTCAAGCTGTTAATGGCGAAGACAGTTTTCAATCAGTGCTAAAAGCAATAGCCAAAAGATTTCCGCCGAAAAAATAATTCTGCAACTTATTCAAATTCGAAACCGGAAGGGTTTAATTGCTATTTTATATTTTAAAACAAAATAATATAAAAAACTGTATTAAAAATTATCTGTAATTAATTAATGTACATTTTCTTTCTATTCATACTTTTTTACTCAAACTTACAAATCGCGCCAACCTGGTTGCGATAATACGTAAGTACCAAAAAAACTAGCAGGTTGCTGTAGCAGGGTTGGTCGCCAAAAAATCGCCAAGTTACCATAATCCAAAGATTAACAAAAAAATCTTTAAAATTCTTCACTACCTACATGTATGGATGAATCCTAAACAATAACAAAATCATTTAGCTGGAGACAAATAGATATGCTTTGTTATTGTTGATGAACCAAAGCTTTATTAAAATGACTGCAATAAAAAATATGATTAATTCTTCATTTGTAAATTTGGCCGCCTTAGACTGCTGATGTTAGCGAGGGCCAACTCTCAATCTAAAACCAAGGACATTAAACCAATGAAAATCTCCATTCATTCACAAAGGTGTATATTTATATACACAGATTAACTACATAACAAGTTTAAATTATACAAATTAAAGTTCAGAATGAATTGCAGTCTCAAGCTTTTCCTTAAGTTACACCCGGGTAAAATACGTTTTCACTGAAATTGTCAGACGTATTTCTGTTTTGCATATTATATGTACGTAGTATGGATTTATATATGTTACAGGATTTTTAACAATGAAGGGACAATGAATGGATTCTCAGTGCCAGTTTCAAACTCCTTCCTTGCTCTAATCGTAAAGTAAAATTCTAGTTATTAATATGAACATATCTTAAATGGGTATACAATTACTTCGTATACGGTGTATAATGTATATATCGGTAACAAATACAGTGTCATAGAAAAAAAAAACAAAAAGATGGCACTACTAGGTTTCCCCTCTCATCCAGTAGGGGGGAATTTGTGACTGAATGAGTCAGTCCCTCTCTGGCCCTATCGGTGAAAGATTGAAGTGACCTCGCTCACATCAAGCAATATCGGCCGACTTTTAAACTAACATACTTGCTACCGCTGTAGAATTCCGCTTACTTTTCTTCTTTGATTATGTTGAATGACTTACATGTGATGTTTATTTTTACATATGTGCTAATCTAATCTAATTAAAGTAGTAATTTATTTTCATTAATTTCCAATAATATTTTTTTAAGATAGAAAAATATGAAATCTTATGGGAAGATTTTCAATATACATTACTAAACAGAGAATGAAATTATCTATTTGAATGATAATTTTTGTAAATAAAAATTAATAGTTTGGCTAGTGTTCCACCAAAAATTTTTTAAATAAACACCTGCCATATAGAAATCCAATTATATTTAGATATATTTTACTATGAAAGAAAATTAATGTAAATCAGTATCTAGTACATGCTTAATTACAGAGGAAAAATTTTGAAAAAAGTATATAATATTCACAGGGAACTATTAAGCAGTGAAAAATGATCATTCGTAGAAAATGTAATCCTAAAAGTATATCACCTTTTCAAATTCAGAACACGGAGCACAGTGCTGTTTGATAAAATAGTCCTCATTCTGCCAACATGGTGCACTGGATTTGTTTTCTTCTCGACTTCCAGGATGGTGCAGGTATTTTCCATTGGAAGGGGTGAGAAAACTTTCTATTGTAAGCACAATAAGTGAAGTTCTGGAATATATGAATTGTATTAAATTTTTGTCATTTACTTTTAATAACATATTAAAACAAAAGTAAAAATCTTAAATACACATGTAATTATTTTTTTTAATTTGCTTTGAGCTGTATATTGAAACAACAGTCTGTGTATCTATGTGCATATGTAAAGATAAAAAGTTAACAAATTTAGAACCAATCATATATATATCATAAATAAAAGTTTATAGCATAGATGTTAATCCATATGAAGAGCAAACTTACAATTAAGGCAGATTTAAATATAAATTTTTATTTTTATTTAACATTTGTGGTGACAATTAACTGAGCAAACTACTCATGCCTGTCCCAGAACATAACATATACACTTTTAAGACATAAATTTAAAAAAATAATAATTAAGATACAATGAAAAATTTAAAAACTTCATGTTAAGGGAACCGATTTATGTTCCGATTTTAGAAACAATATTTATTCTTACACATTAAAAAATATAACGGCATAATATGTATACATATTTCATAAGAATTTACATTTACAACTGACAAATAAAGTTATAATAATAGTATTTAATTATTCATGTAACATTTCAAAATCAGAATCGCTTAAAAATACTCCAACGTACATTATCAAACCAATAATAAAGATGACCATGCGACGAAAGGTACAAAATTCAATCATCTTGGAATAAAACTGAAACCAATTAGCAAATCTTTACTGAATATTATTTTCATTTTCACTGTTCATAACATGCATCAACAGTCATATGTCCAATCAACACACTGCTTGTTGATGGCCCTGACGACATCATTTGCAATACAGAAACGCCGTCTGTCAAAACTTCGCATTGCAAGCGATTTTCTTCATACATTTGTCCTTAAAGCTTGAACCCATAATATTTTTATTCTTTCTGTAGTATATTTTAAAATTACTTGCTATTGTATTGGCGGATTTTTTTTCCTTTTGTTTTCAGAAACAACAGTATTTTCTGTTGCTGAAGGAATAAATAACTCGTCTGATAAATTGATATGAAATTAGATTTTAATATATTGGCCGACTTCAAATGAAGTGAAGACATATCCAGAATAAAATATACAATTGATTGTTTACGTTTAGTTTCTTATAATATAGAAAAATGGGTAAAGGTTATAATAATTACATGTGCAAGAAACCGTTTCATCCAGGATCCAAAGCTAATATCAAACGGGTAAGGTTAGAATTTTTATGTACAGTAATTCAGAATTATTGTTTAAAGCAAAATTTTAAACAGCGAAGTTATGTACAACAGAATTTTTGTGATAAGTAATAATATTTTGCATTTAAACTTCTTTGAACTATGTTATAATTACAAGTGAGTTATATTTGTTCAGTATTCTAAAAGTAAAATAGCTAAACGACATTTTAATAAGGCAACTTATTAAAGTATTTGTATTTGAGCTAATATTTTATTTATGAGGTATTATAAAATCAATTTATTTTATCATTTATTCAATTCTTACTATTACTAATTTTGATTAAATTGAAATTTTTTATCCAATTTTTTATTATTATTTATTTTTATATTAAAAAAAGCTGCAATTTCGAAAGTCAGCCCTAAAGAATTTTTAAATCGTTAAAACTGCTCTCTCCTTCAAAATTAATGCTTTCCGTTATAACCCGCAGAACTTGACTCCTCTTTTTCTATTCTGAAAGAATTAAACGTGTGAAACTATTGGAGATACTGAAAACGAGAGTGAAGTAACAGTAGTAAACGCAGATATTTGTAGAAGTGGAAATGAAATAAGAATGCAGTCAATTTTAGGGCGTATTCTGATTTATTTTCACAGTTTATTTAATTATCAAAGGGGAAAGTCAACTTTTTTTTTTAATGAAACATGTTTTTATAATTTGTATTTTTTTGTTAAATGAAAGTTAAAGTTTCATGAAGCACTTCTTTTTACAGATTATAAAATGCACTGGTCTCATTATTGTGATAAAATTAGTATTTAACTATTTTAATACATCATTAAATGCTGCTAATTTTGTACTAAAGGTTTTGGTGTACAACTGAATCTTTTTGTAAACACGACTTTTTTAAGGGGGAGAGTAAATTTTCTCTTAACCATTTATTCCATTGATTTATTATTATTATTATACTTGGCATTTCTTTCAAAGAAATATCAAGCTCTGCCATTAGTAATATGTAGCTAGGGCTTTGGAGTCTGAGTCGAGCAGATTTTGGGGTAAAAGGATTCGAAGCTGGAGTCTTTTAAAACATTTCGACTGATCAATATCTGACCATTATGCATGGCATTTTCTGCTTAGTGGAAGAGACGATATTGTGTTTTCTCTATTTGGGCTTTGATGTCTAGAGGGAGAGTATGTGCAAGTACTTGTAACACGGCTGTAGAAGTTCTTGAGTAGACTATGGTTATTTTGAGTAGAACAGTAGGCTGAATTTGTTGTGTAATTTCTGCCAAACTCTGACAGAGTTAGTCACCCAAACCAGACAACCATAAAGTATCATGCACTCAATATCTCACAGGTAAAGCTCTTTTAACAGTTTACCTTTCAGGCCCCATTTACTTTCAGCTATTCAATTTAGCTTAGCTTATTGACTATGCTATTGGTTCTTTCCCGGACATTGGCTAAGTGGAGGACCCACATTAGCTTTTTCTCCAAGGTGAAGCCTAAGTATTTCAGCATATCCTGTCTCCTAAGGTAGACTTCTTACCATTTGATGCAGGGAGGGTTTGCTTTGATCTTATGCCCTTTGGGAAACATAAGGTAGTTCTGCCTTTTTTTTTTTTTTTTTTTTAATCTTGAATTTTAATTTGTAATTGTCACTCCATGTTAGTTTTTCTAGTGCTTTGGCCGCCTTTTTTCTGTAATAGTGTGGTTGCCACTATTTATTTTTAGCATAAAGTCATCGGCATAAGCCTGACTTTCAGCTACGTACCACACATGTGGTTGAGTACATGTGAATTTATATAGTAGCCTTTAAGATAGATTTCAGAGTCTATCTTAAGGGCATTGTCAGCTATAACATTCCAGAGAACTGTTTGTCATCAAGCAGAAATTTTTCTCCATATGCAAAAAAGAGATTTTTGTAAATAATACATGTAGGCCAAAAGATAGCATTTAATACTATATGTATTGAGAATAGGTAATTTATTATTCAGTTAACCCCAGGACTGATACCAAAGCTACTGTAGCTGCACTAGGCTGCAGAATTTAGGGAAGGCAAAATTTTTCAAATTTGGAAAAATTACTGGAACACAAAAAAATTTTAGAATTTAGGGAGACACTTGACAGTAGAATTTTGGACCTACTGATACTGCACCAGGCCACAAAAGTCAAACACCAGCCCTGGATAATCCTTAACTATATGTGGGAAACAGTCATAAATATAATAAATAACTAAAGTGATATAATTGAGACTTAACTTCATCAGCATGCAATACAAGCAAGACAAAATTTAGCGGAACAACATGTCTTTAGTCAGTCTCATGAGACATCGCCAGTAGTGTATAGCAGATGCTAACTAAGCTTTGTGATGATAGCCACGAATGTGAAGGTTTTCAGATATTGCTAACAGAAAGAAAAATTTTCCAGCTAATGTAATTTGTGAGAAGTAGTAATAAATGAAGATATGACAGAAGTTTTTCATTGCAATGACAGTGCCCTAATCACCAATCAACAGGCAGCAAGATCTTTGGTATGGTTCTAAATCCAGAAGATATCAACTACTGATAATGAAGAAAGTGGCAGAAAAGTTATTGAGAACAAAAAAATTTTGATCCACAGTTTGGTGAGAATTCACGATGCAGCAATTACAGAACTTGAACAATAGAAATTATGTCTATCTATAGCATTAAAGAGAAATTATTAGCACAAAAAATAAAGCAAATTAAACAACTTAAATTGAAAAAAATATTTAATAAAGCAAATAAATATTAAGCTTTATTTAGCCCAAAGGGGCATTAGACCCAAAGGGCTATTAATCTCAAAGCAGCATTTTGTGTTGGTTCACTTTTCAAACTGTTGCCACCATATATTATATTTAAAGAAACTAAATAATGAAGAATCTGCATGAATGTTTCTTGTATCTAGAGACATTCAGTTTTGAATAACATAGTCCTCCACCCAAATATGGGCACTTGGGAAGCCCGAATTTTGAATTTCAAATTTTGTAAATGTTTAACAAATTTTTTATCAAGAAACTCGATGATTTCAAAACGGGCAATGGCAACACTGTACGGAAAAAAGAATTTTTATCTCCAATGCTTCTTGAGACTGTATCAGAAATTCTAAAGATATGCTGTTTTTAAATATTTTGTAATATTGCTGTTGAATTGGCTTTTATGTTGTTTAAATGCGAAAAACATGATATTTAATAAATAAAGGTAACACACAAAATGTTAAAAAAAGCCCTTTTTGGCATAATATAAAATCTGAAAGCATTCAGATTTTTTTTGTCTGTTTTGATTTCCTTAAGGTCATAAATTACCATTTCATATTTTTCATTTTATAATTACATGTCATCTTATTAGATTTAAACTAATGATCTAATATGTGGAAAAATCCCAAATCCAGAATCGCCGATTATCCTGACGAGTACAGATCCTGGGTTTTGTTCTGTATATATAAGTACCAAATTAAATTGTAAAGAATTTAGAAAAATGAGTCATTTATCTCTTTATATTAATAATGATAATCAAAGAATATTTTACTTAAACATGCAAAGAACTAAATATTCAATATCTGACAATTTTTAGTGAATGTAATGAAGTATTGAATGAGGGATAAAATAGCTTGGTGCATTCATAGGCTCCAAAAGAATTTTTATTTCAGTAGTTCATAGTTATTTCTGAGCCTGTTTGTCTTGAAGAAGATAAACAAGTTTATAACATATAAATCATAATTATTTATTTAACTATGATTTTAAAAAGTGTATTGTTAAAAACTTTTGATATAAAGTAGTCTGTAAAAATTTAATTTCTTTCTTTTAAAAGAACTGCACAAATTATTTTTTGTTACTATCTGGTTATCCCTGCTTTCAACATTGTATACCACACGTGCATTTCAGTACACTAAGACCCCGCTTAACGCGGGGGATACGTTCCATCAAAGTAGAGCGTAATGCGAAACCGCTAAACGAGGCTATCTTAACATGTAAATAATGGGGTTAGGAGAAGATAAGTAGAAAATTGGTTAATTATTAAATTTAATAATGTTTTTTAATAAAAATAAAACCAAACATTCATTTCTTACAAAAATAAAACAATATAAATGAATATACTTATAAAAACAAATAAAATTCTAAGTCAGTCAGATCATTCAGTCTATTCTGTGTTTCCAATTTTCTGATTTTTTGTCAAGAAGGCATTATGATAGTTTGGCTTAGTGGCATATTGCCCTCAATTTCGTCGTCAATCCATACAGACAGTCGTTTTCCCATTTCCTCTATAATGTTATTTCTAGAACAGGGTAATTCTAGTTGCAGAGCTTGACGTAGCTGCAGTTGCCGATGACAGTATTTTTTCTTTATTCTTAAGAATTGTCCTTATTATTGAAAGTTGCCAAATTCAATGCAGCACTAATTTAAGATTGACGTTCACCAGAATCTAATCTTCTAATCACTGCATTTTAGTTTCCAGTGAAATGCTTTTTCTGGTTGCTTTCTTTTCTTGTTTTTTATTATAACCCATGATAAAAACTAAAGATCATAATATTTGTCACTGTATTAATCGTTATAGTATTATATAAATTTATGCTTACAATATGGTCAACAAATGTTTCAAATGATAAAAATGTGTCCGTAATGCACCGTACCAAGCAAGAAACGCAACTACACTGTTTCGGATATGTTATTTGGAAACCTAGCGCTGCGCACAATTTTGGGGAATCCCCGTAGTGCTGCGAGCAATTTCGAGGAATCCCCGGGTTGAAAAAAAAAGAGCGCTAAACTGAAACAGCGCTAAACGAAACAGCGTTAAACGGGGTCTTACTGTACATGTGAATTTACATAGTGCACATGAATTTACATGCTTTATTTAACCAAAAGATGCCTACCAGCTGGGAAAATGTCAATATCAGCTCTATAGATCTTTTATTCATAAAATTTTGTTTATCTTATAAAATGCTTCATTTGTTACTATTTGTAAACAGTAAAATATCTGTGAGCCATAAAGCTAGCAAATTGCCAGATGTTTTTCAGCAAATTGCCAATGAGTTAGCCAGTTGTTTTTCAGCAAATTGCAAATGAGTTAGCAACTTTTTGAGGGCTGTAGATAATCAGGAAATACCTATTTTGTTATGCATTATTATTTAAATTGGAATTCTGAGAATAAATTTTTTAATGTTTTTGTTCAAGGCATGGATGGCTGAACAGAAAACAGAAAATGAAAAGAAAAAACAAGAAGAGCTGAAAGTGCAATATGAAAAGGAGCAGAATTTGTACAATAATAGGTAAATTTTCTTAAAACTGAATTAATCGAAGAATGAGAAATACTAAATCGTCTGTGAAAAACTGTTTTTTTTTTTTTTCCCTTTTGTTATTGTTTTTTTTTTTTTTTTTTTTTTTTTTTTTTTTTTGTTGTTGTTGTTGTTGTTCTTTGCTTAATTTCTTTAATACATCCTTTTAGATTTATTATAGTATTTGAATAGAACATGTGGCAATGATTAGATAGTTCTTAAGATGATATAAATTTTGTGCCTTCTGAGTTAAAAAATGATTGAAATGTAGTGCTGTTAAGTGAACCTAGGGCCAAAGTGTCTCTATGGTAAACAAATATACTGAATTTTAAAGAGTGCATTTATTCTATTGTGGTTTATGTGCTGTCGACGAAGTAGATTTAATGGTAAGCAAATATAGTAAATTGTAAAGATTGCATTTATTCTATTGTGGTTTATGCGCTGTCAACGAAGTAGATTTAATTCAATCCAATAAGTTTAAATGAAATGCAAGAAAAAATGCATGTAGTTTAATATTCCATACAAGGAAGTCATGTGGTGCAACATCAGAATTTTTACCTTTTGGAATTGAGTAACTTAATATTATAGTGGTGATTGTTCGGCAGTTATGTATTATTTAATAGGAACTGCTCTCCCGTTGCCGTTTTGTAAACAATGACTTCTGTATTTTTAATATTTTTAAAACAATAAAGCTGTCAATCTTTAAATACTAAATCTATCGTATTTAATGGTGGAAAAATCTGGTGTTTAAAAGTTTATACATAGCACTGAAAAATAAATTTCATTTCTGATTTTGCTTGGATGGAAGAGATCGTATGCATTTAGTTTCTTTTGTAAATGTGTGTTTTTATGCATGTGAAATTTTTAAGCTATGCTTTTAAATTATACTAATTTATATGTGTTGACATTTTATTATAAATATATTTCAGTGTCAGTGACTGCAAATATTTCAGATGTACTAACAATCACTTCTGGTATTATATATTCTTTTCATGTAATTAAAAAGTCAATATAATTGGACTTCACTAATTTTATGATACAACTTATTGCTGAAGAGAATCTTGGTTTAGTATGTAAATAATGTATGGCAAGTTTTCTTAATTTGGGAATAAGTTAATTTGAAAGTTACTGAGGGAGACAACTCCTGTTATAATTATAATAGTAAAGCTGTGAGGCTTCAAAAGGGCAATTTTTTTTAAATCCAAGTCATGTGTAATTGGCAAATTTTTGTGTTTTCAAGTGGTTCTGTAAATAATTTACTCTCAACACAGCCAATGCATACCATGCAGCCAGACTGGAATTGTCATAAAACATACCTGGAAAGGTCACGGAATTTCATTCTTGTGTTTGATTGGTAACCCTAATATAAGTCCAGGATCCAAAATTTTTGAAAATCTGCTAATTTCAGATTTTGTTAATTTCTGAGTTTCACATTATTTTTAAGTCTAGTAAGGTACCACAGAGAAATTATAAAAGAAAAAATATGAAATGGCAGTTTGCGAAATGATTAATCTAGAAAGTATCACTGATTGATTGTATAGAAAGTAATAAAAGAGATTATTGTAAAGGAAAAGATACAATTTGCAAGACTTGTATGGAATTCAGTAACTTTGTAACTGAACAAGAAATTATATCTCTATAAAATTAAGGAGAAAAGTATTAACATGCACACACAAAAAATAAATAAATAAAATAAAAAGAGAAAAAATCTGAAAGCTTTCAGATTTCACATTACGCCTAAAGGGATTTTTTTTAACGTTTTGTGTGTTACCTTTATTTATTAAATATCATGTTCTTCACATTTAAACCATAAAACTCGATTCAACAGCAATATCACAAAATAATTTTAAAATGAGCATATTTTTAGAATTTCTGGTACACTTTTGCATACTGGAGATTAAAATGTTTGTTTTTCCAGTACAGTGTTGCCGTTGCTCGCTTTGAAAACATTGAGTTTGTTAATCAAAAATTCATCAGAGTTTTACAAAATATGAAATACATAATAAAACAAATTCAAAATTTGATGCTATAGGTACCGTTGTCTCTTTTCTCCTGTCAGAGCCATACCACTAGGTGATTTTCTGGTTTGGTGTAGTTCCTTGGTGCCATTCATCACCAGTTTTATTTGGCTTCTTTCCTGACATAACCACGTTCTTCATCTAATCATAAGTATTTTATAACTAAAAAATTTTTTTTTGATTTGGAATATGCCAAGAGAGGAAGAAATGGCTGTATATTATTTTTTTTAGAAATAGGTATTCTGCACAAAGAAAGACTGCATTTAAAAAACTACCACTGAAATTCATGATTTAAACCTGAATGACAGTATTTTCTGCCATTTTGACTTACTGCAGATTTTGTTGTCTGTTGATTGATTGATGACTGCAGCATTGTCGTGCAGTGGCAGACTAGTTATATCATCATCTTTATTCAGCATTTCTTCACATTGTTCCATTAATTAGAAGACTTTAGTCGCATTTTAATTGTGGATATTATCAAAAAATATTCAGATTTGCAGTTGTCATCATGAAATATGGTAGCCAACTATATATAATATATATATATATATCTTTTTTTTTTTTTTTTTTTTTCCCTACACCTGCATGAACTCCCTCCACACAGCAAACCTTTATATTATAACATTTCAAGAATTCTTGGATGGTCTTACTGCTTCAATGATTCCAAAAAGACTGCTTTATATTTGCATTTTTAAAGCATGCAGAGTTTCGGTATCTGTTGGCCGATGTATGGACAAACACTGGAAAGAGTAAAACTGGAATGTTACTTTATACAAAAACTTTAATTTTGATAACAGTAATAATAATAGACTGAATAAAATAATAAGTCAAATCAAACCAGAAAGTTAAGGAAGAGCACAATTTGCATTGCTGTCTGAACTTAACAGGAATCTTAATTCTTTCTCTCATCTTCTCTGTTATGTAAAACAGGACTACTTTATATTAATAGTTTTCAAATGTAATTTACAATAATTGAATTAATACATTTTGAATGATAAGGTAAATATTCAGTATTTAAATATTATGTCTAATGTAACATAGGTTAAGGTTTAAAGATTGTATGGTAAAATTATGCAGAATGTGATAAAACTATTTGTATACTTTTTATTTTTCTTGTGCCGCCTGTAAACAAATCTGAAGTCAGTTAGCTAAATGTATATAAAAAAAAGGACAAATCACTTAGCCTCTTTGAGGTAATGTTACGAAATGAAGGAACCAAAATGTGTGATGAAATGTATGTTACCTTTTCTCTAATACTGATAACAATATGTTATTAATAGTATAAAAGAAAAACATAATTCAAAATGCAGTCTTCATTTTTAAAATTCAAAATTTTATTCTTTTACTTTCTTTATTTTTTAACAGAGCATTATTAAGTACAGAAAGTAAAGACAAGCTAGAATTAAATTTTATGTATGAAGCTCCACCTGGTGCCAAAAGAGGTAGGTTTGTAATTTTAGAATATTATTGCACTTTTATAGTAAACTTTTTGTTGTTGTGTATATGTGTTCAAAACATATTTGCATCAATATGTATCTATCTATATATATATATTTCTAAAATGCATTGGTTTCTAAATTAATTTTTCTGAAAAATTAATTTTTTAATAATTTAATACTTTACATTGCTTATTTCCCAAAAAACTTCCTTTTTGACCTTTAATTTTTAATTGCTAATTTCTAAAGATACCACTTTATTGGTATTTCTTTTTGGACATTCTTCACTATTTACTTTTGGTTTTGACTTTTACCCTTGACTGCATGAATGACGAAACACGAATTGAATGATTGAAAAGTTAGGTTTGGAGGCAACTTCCCCTTGATAAGTCTGTCTCCTGCCTGCTCAACAGTCATTCACTTATGCATTTTAAAAAAATTTTTTAGATTAATTTTAATTTGCTAAATTGGTAAATTTATTTTCATGGTTTGGTTTTGCACTTTACTTATGCTATCTGAATTTAAATGATATTGTAGATTAGTTCGAAAATTAAGTCTTTTATATGTTTGCACATTTTTTTTAATTAACTTTAAATTTCCTTTTTTACGTATATGCATGTTTGTTAAAATATATATATATATATATGTATATATTTGAATTTAACAAATATTCTATGTTCGTATAAAGCAAATATAATTAAAATTTAATTAAGAAATTTAAATTGCAAAGAAATAAAAATAAAATAATTATTATTGCTGCGAACTAATTTACAATATGATTTAAATTCTAAGATCATATGTTAATTAATTGCACGTATCTAAAACCATGAAAAAAAAATTATTTCAAAAAATTGCATAAGTGAATCATTGTTCAGCAAGCAGGAGACAGACTTATCAAGGGGAAGTTGCTCCCTAACCTAACTCTTCAATTGCTCAATTCGTGTTTCATCATCCATATAGACAATGTTAAAACTCAAAACCAAAAGTAACCTAATGTTGTGAATTACTAAAAAAGAAATTTAAACAGTGGAATTTTGATAAAATAGCAATTAAATGACTAGAGTTAAATTAATTAAAAGACGATTAAAAGTAGAAAACCAAAGTACTTGTCTACCAGAAACTTTTCCAACACGAATTATGCATGTAAACCTAAAATAAACTATATACAACTATCAAAATATAAAAATAAAAATAATAATAAAAAGGCTAGTAAATAGCAAGTTTTAACTTACCTAGATATACATATTTGAATTTCTGAGTTGTGCAATTAATTTACATATGCTCTTAGAATTTAAATGATACAGTCAAAAGTCGTTAATTCGGACACCCATAATCCGGACCTCAAAGCTACAAACTTTCTGCGCATGCGTCGCGTTGACGCATGTGCGTAAGACTTTTATGTTGGAAAATATGACCTATTGTAACCCTATTTCTGCATCATCTCTCCTCCTTGAAATATTTCTAACTTTTACATAAGGCTTAGTTCTTATTTTAAAGGGATTCAGTAGTTACTTCTACTTCGTTTTTCACTGCCACTGTTTGTATTAAGAACAGACTGTTCCAGTCTAATTAAGATGCAAAAGCGAAACCTTGCTGTTACATCATCTGGAAAGCTGAGTCGTGCCGATAGCTGATTGGTTGCCGTGAGATGACGTCATATTCTACTTCAGGTATAAGTATCTTGCGTCGTTCTGGCTCATTCCTTCTGGTTCCTGTTTCTTTGCTCCATGGTGTGCCGTTCCAGCATCCATTGGAAGACGATATTGAGATGTGTGCCGTCCAGTGATAAGTGCCGTGGTTCCAGTCCGCAAGATGACTTTTCCTGGATTCTCAAAAGAGGCTACGATGTGAGCGACTGCCGTGGGCGGCATCCTGTTTCTACGGTTTGGCGGCAATAGATTCCAACCTGTGATTTCCGGTGAGCAATGCCATGGAGAAATCCTGTTTCATGAAGGCATCTTCAACACAAGTGTTTTTGCAGAGTAAGCGGCGATGATTTTCCAAGCTGTGATTTCTCATGTGTAGCTACAGTGAGCGGCGTTTTGCCGGTTTAAGTGCTCTCAAGGATTTAATTTAATTTTCCAAGTGCCTTTTTGACCACTAAGCATGGACTTATTTGATAATGAAGCAAATTTCATTAAAACCGCGTAGTTTCTGTTTATTGATATGTTTTTCGCATATTGAATGCCAGTATTTGGAGGTCAGATAAAATATTTACTGTGTCTTTAATAGTGTAACATTCTTTAAAGGAAAAACCCTTGGGATTAATGGATTATCAACTAAGTGTAATTTTTGATAATGATTATGTTATACTCTTTAAGTTTCTGATATTGATTAAATTTATTCATTGTGTTTTTATTTTCATATATTGGTAATAAATTGGTTAAGTTTAAAATTTTTGTCTTCAATGTCTGCACAGTACATAACCTTAGGGAGCTTCTATTGCTACTTTTCTATTCGAAGATTAAGGAACAATGCAGATTGCATTGTTCCTTAATCTTCGAATTGGATCCGGCTTATTATTTTTTGTAGACTGTTAGAGCAATTTTATAAAAGTAAGCTTGAACTTTCGATTATGTCAAATAGAATTTACGATATATATTTACTAATATGTAAAGGATCTACAAAGCGAAAGTATGTTTTGAAGTCCATTAAACAAAAGTAGAATTGCTGCAAAAAATGACCTAACCATTCCGAAATCTGTTTATCAATTTCACACTGCTCTGCGGCGGTGGGGGGGGGACGCCGCAGCGCGTAATGAATTGGAAGTTGATCTGTCAGCACTATCCTTATCTTCAGGGCAGATGTTTTCATATTATTTGGCTTATATTTCCTTACTAAATGTAGTATTTCATCTCGATGTATTCCGTCTTTGATATGATTTAAATCAAATTCCTCGTCATTATAATTTGCTTCCGATAGTGAAGAAAGTGACACAGAGGTTATTGAAAATGAAAAAATTTCGTTTGACAAATTAGTTGGTATTCTCGACACAACATTTCTAGGACTTGAAAAGCTGAACTTTGTAACTGAACAAGAAATTGTGTCTGTTTATAGAATTAAAGAGAAAGTATTATCACATAAAACAAAGCAACTTAACAACTTACATTGAAAGAATGTTTAATAAAGTAAACAAATAAATATTAAGCTTTTTCTTTTTGTAAATTTTGATACCCTTTAGATCATAATTGTTCTTTATTTTATAAATTATGGTTTCATATTTTTAATTTTATAATTTCTGCATGCCATCCTACCAGATTTAAACTGATGATATATAATTCGGAAAAATCGATAATCCGGAATCGCTGTCCCGAAAAGTCCGGATTAACGACTTTTGACTGTATTGTAAATTAGTTCACAGCAAAATAATTATTTTCATTTTTTACAGTTTAAATTTCTTAGTTAAATTTTAATTATATTTGCTTTGTACGAACAGAGAATATGTGTTAAATTCAAATTTCATTCCTTGCAGCAATGTCACAAGAGAATTATTTAAATTTAATTTAACTTTACTATTTTATTCTGAAGCAATATATATATATTGAAGAATCAGTTGAAAGCCTTTTATATTTGAAATTAAGATAACACTGAAGAAGTTAAGTTTTTTAAATTAAACAAATTTATTGCTGGATCTTGTGTCTGCCAGAAAATTGCTACCTTGTTTTGTTAAATTTTATTTGGCTAAAATTTTTTGTTGCTGGATCTTGTATCTGCCAATAAATCGCTACCTTATTTTGTTAAATTTTGTTTGACTCAAATTTTTTAAAAACGTATATTATGCAGAGGACCTTCAAAAATCTTGATATATATTTTTTTAAAAAACATTGATGAATTTGTTATCCTTGCGTACAAGGTAACAGATATGCAATTAATACTTTCTTTGCAAGTAGGGTACTTTTCCATTATGTACCTGTCTTATATTTTGGCTGTACAATTGTAATAATGCATGTCTGTTTAATTATTCTACTTTACATACACATATAATTCCGAAATGGTATTATGGTTGGGTCTCTTCTTGTGTTTGCTCTATTTTTTATATGTACCAAAATGTGTAGTAGGTGCATAACAGAAAAGTACCGCAAATAAAAAACACATGATGTACTGTTGATCTTTGTCAAGGCAAAATTGCTCCTAACCATCATGTTCAAGTGGTCACATACCAGTTTAAGATATTGTCATATATTATGAGAATTCTTTTTCAGTGTGACTGTATCATTTCATTTTGAAAGCTGACAGCATCTGAATGCTTGCTTTCACTTTGTTCACTCTGAAAGCCAATAATTCATAATAATTTTCCACACAGGTTTTGCTTGTTTTTCCTTTATGTCACTATAATTTCTTCCTCGGTGGTGCCCATAAGTTTTTAACTGGTCATAAGCTTGAAAGTTCACATTAAGATATACTAAAATCCATCTCAGATTGCAGTGTATTGAATCTTTTATTCCTGTTTTGGTATTTATGTGTTTTCCAGGTACAAAATTATTTCATGCTATTTTTAAGAACTAGTAATAAGATAAATTAATAAATTCTTTTTTTTTTCATATATTTATTATTTGTGTAGAGAGTTTAATAATTTCCTTTCATTGTGAAAGTTTATTCCTTCTTTTTTTTTTTTTTTTTTTTTTTTTTTTCCCCTTTTTTTTAAAAAAAAGTCCCAAACATTTGAGCCTAAGGATTTAAATTAAAAGCTTTATATAAAGCAATGCTTTTTCATAACATATGATAAATTTAATCTTTTTTAATAATTTAACTTCAGTGGGATTCCTTTGGTGACGTTTCATTCACCATTAATGCCAATGTTTTTCAGTTAATACGATCTACCAAATTAACATTTACACATGTCTAAAGGTAGTTTAGTTTTTTTTTTATTAGAGAAATTTTGTGCCTGAATCTTGTAATGCCATAAAATTGCTACCTCATTTTGTTAGATTTTGTTTGGCTCAAATTTTCTATGAGTATGTATTATGCAGAGTACTTAAGTCTTGGTCTGTTTCATTAAAAACATTGATGAATCTGTTATTCTTGCATATAAGATGAATCATGCTGACAACTAAAGAAACGATTGCTGTTGTTTGTGTAGGACTGGGGAGTATTAAACTAGGTTGAGTAGACTATGTATTTTAGTAAAAATTCCATGAACCAGGTCCAGCAAAAAGTCAATGTTAGATTATCCTTCGATGAACAGTATTTTGGAAAATAGGACAAATGTTAGATGAACATTGTTCACAGAGGTATTCAGCATAAATTGTTTCAGAGGGTTGAATAGGCTGTTGAAAAAAAGCTTTAAATCCTTTCTCTATATATGAATCAGTCTGAAATTTTTTAGATACACATAGGTTTTTAAAATTAACTTACAAAATTTTAGGAGTGTTCAAAGCAGTCCTCTCCAGCATCAATGCAGTTCTTTAGATGAATTTTCCAAAGATTAAAGGCCTCAAGCCATTAATTTCTTGGAATCAATGAACAAAATATATTTGTAGCCACATCAGTTCTCATCTTCGGAACAAAAAAAATCCATGTAAGTTCTTTTTTTAAATAAAAAATTCATCTCCTAGACTAAAATAGTTCATATTTTTAAATCTAACCATTATTTTTTTTTTCCCTGCCGTTTATCATCTGTGTGTATCTAAAAAATTTCAGAGTAATCTGTGAATACATTTTTCTTATGCAATTTCTTTTAAGAAATATGCACATTCAGGTATTCTGTGCACTTTATTCTTCATAAAGTCCTGCTGAATGCATAGTGGCTTTTGCTAATTAAAACTTCATGTAACTAATTTTATGTACTGCAGAAGTTACATTTCACACTTGTGGAGTGTTAAGTCACCATAACAGCGATATATAAGCTGATCAGCATCCTCATACAGTATTTCAGTAGGGTAAATAAAGTAACGGCTAATTTTAGATGGCATGGTATTTATGACGTGACTGTGCTTCAATAAAATTATAGCATCATTGCATTTTGTTAATATCATGTGTAATTATGAGTGCATATCTTCAATCATTGATTGGAAGGGGCTAATAAAAAGCATATGGTCTCTGGCAAGTTCTTATTCCTCCCTCCCTCCTTAGGGTTTTATAGTCAGAAATGTACTGGGTTACAAGGATGGGCCAGCTGAAATTTGGCATTTTAAATGTAAATAAAATGACACCTTCTGTACTGCATAAGATTTTCAGGTCATGACAGATATATATGTAAAATTGACAGAATGTATTGAAAGATATTAAAATTATTTTATATCTACGCAGCCTGTACTTTTAAGCTGATATTTCTGATGATAAATGCTGTTCTATATAAAATGGGTTGAGTCTTTTGGAATACCTTGTATTACCCTAAGTGTACTATAGAATTCCATAGTAGCTGCTTTGTTTAACTCTTTCAATCACACTGCCACTTTACTGCTATTACCCAGAAATGATATATAATTCCAGTTTATGTTTATTACATTGTTCTGTAAAATAATTTATTCTATTTTACATAAGGTTTTGTGAATCATTCTATGATCTGTGGATTATAAAATATAAATATACAAAACTGTTTAAAAAATATATTAGTATACAAGCTATTATGCTAATATAGCTGCAAGGTGTGCTGTTGCTTTCAAAGTAAATAAGCTTTTAATCTCATTTTGTTAGTTATGATTTGTTTAACATCATATATTTTAAATTGTTTCTAAATTATTTTTTTCTCTTTTCTTTCCCTATAATGATATATTGGCATTTGCAGAACGCCAGGTGAGTTTTATTTTTGTAACATTTTTGCAGTTGTTTTAATTTATATTTTTAGCTTCATAGTCCATTTTGGTTGTAATTTATATGAAAATATAATTATATGTACAGACATAAATAGTTTTAAAATTAATTTTCTGTTCATATTTTTTTAATTTTGTCTTGTATTTTAAGATCATGATTTTTTGGTGTTCATTTGATATTTCTTGGAAATATTGAAGTGCTAGGGGCACTCAATAAGTCAGAGCTGCCAACTCGCATGTTAAAGATAAAAATGCCCCCCCCCATACAGTGTTGCCATTGCTCGCTTTAAAATCATTTATTTAATCGAAAATTCGTTAAAGATTTACAAAATATGAAATATATAATAAAACAAATTCCACATGCCTACATTCGAGTGGAAACATACTTTATTCAAAATTGGATGGCTCTAGATACCATTGTTTTATCACAATTTGTGAAACATACATACATTTGTGCAAATTCTTTATTATTTAATTTCTTTAAATATAATGCAGGGCTCTATTTGGTAGCAAGAATTTGAAAAGTAAACCAACATTTATCATGAACCAACGCAAAACGCCAAAGTAAATTAATAGTTCTTCTGGGCAAATTGCCCCTTCAGACCAAAAAAAGGGGGGACTGTGATTTTTGTCTCCTCATAATGAAACGTAAACTGTAAATTCTATCCTTTTTCCATGTAATTTTTCTGATTAGTTTTTATTAAATCTTATCTGTTTTAATCTAGGATTACAGAGCATTAACCTTTTCTTGAGAGTATGAATAGATATATGTCACATTATAGCATTGAAGCATTATACAACATTAAAGAAGGCTAAAAAAAGTTTAGTGTACTATGGAATTTTAAAACTTTTGCTATTAATGTGAAGCAGAAAATGCCAGACCCTGTCAATTTGTTCTGTGTTCTTTCCTGGCTTAATAGCTGACTAAGTGGATTCAGTGCATATTAATGTCTGTTATTAAATTAGCTCCATGGGAAAAGTTTGACCAAAGGCTTGCAGAGCATTTTATGGAAACTTAATCTTATATTGAATTGCTAAATACTTATATTTTAACTAAGCTTTAAATCTACAAATTGTACCTTGCTATGTTTGCAAACATAATTTTATCATATCTAATATGAGTTTTATTTTTATACCCTTTGATAAACAAAAGCTTGTCTTCAGTATTTGCAGTTTCATTGGTGCATATACATTAGTTAGTGAAATTTGTCATTTTTTCACAAAGGAAAATGAATAACGACTTATAACTGGGAACATTATTTATTTCATTCATACGTATTATTACATACATATTTTACTGTTTATTTGAGTATTTATTAAAAAATTAATAAACTTACTCATGAGTGGATTTTGTTTCTCTTGTTCTGTTGAAAAATTTGGAATGATCTCTTGAAAAATAGATTCAAAGTAATTGTTTCCTTTAATCATTTTATGCAAAATACTGTATTCCTGCAGAAATTTTACTGCAGTTTCTTTTACTGTTAGCAAATCCCAGAAACGTATATCTTAAAATTGAATTTAAGATAAAAAATGTCGCTACTTTATTTAAAAATTATTCAAATACAACAAAAAGAATGCATACGAAAGTTGTGGTGTTTTTTTTTTTTTTTTTTTTTTTTTTTTAAGTGAAGAAATAAGCATAGCAACCTGTAGGAACTTACTTATTTCTTTACCAGAGTCAAGCATATTCTCAAAATTTGGTGATTGCACACCATTATGTAAGTATACATTCATCAATATAAATTTTAAGAAAATTATAAAATCAAAATGAAATTGGTCAAAAAACATGCAATAAAAATCAAAATCATGCTACAACATTTAATAATCTAATTATGCATGGTAAACTGATTTCAAATATAAGTCTTTGTGTAGAGTAAAACTTTGTTTTTTTCCGCTTTTACATTTTAAAGTTGGCAGCAATGAGTAAGTTTTAACCGTAACATATTTTTTAGAAATAAATACGTAAAACTACTTCATCAGTTTTGAAGTTCCTGTGGTTTCAGTGTCAGCACAGCATGATTCTATCACAGGGGAGGGAAAGTGTTTTGTCTCCTCACTTGTGCAAACCATTCCTAATTTATTTATTTATTATTTATTTTAATTTTTTAAAAAAAGTCAGGTCTGTATTGAAATCTGCATTGTTGCATAACAGTCTGGGAGATCTGAGCTTTGTATGTCGCAGTATTATGATGATGAGCACTATTTTTTCTGAGTTTTCTGTGTCACTTAACCTTTATAATGGGTTAGCATAATGAATATTTGTTATTGTGGTATTATTTGGGTTATAATCAATAAGCAGTAGTCCCTTTTCATAAAAAAAAAAAATTGTTTCAAAATCTTTCTGGCTTTCTATGTTTTTATCTTGTGCAGTCAGGAAAATCTGCGATATTTCCATTTTTTGCTTTATTGTTCCTATCTTCCACATTGGTAAAGCCATGTTTCATGTTTTGTCACTAGCCATAAATAAAATTTTATGTTGGTGAGAGTAGTTCTAAGAAAACATCTGATGTAGTATTTATTCATTTCTGCATAAATATTTTTAGTACTCATTTGGCATAGATTTTTGACATCCTCAGTTCTCATTCATTAAACAATAATTTTGTATTATGTTTTTCATAGTTATGTACTAACAAATAAAAATTAATTTAGCTGATGTTATCCTTTTTCGTAACATTAGTTTTGATTTGTTTAATTGACACTTCTAACCATTTATTATGTAACATGCAGAGCTGGCTTAAGCATTACACAAAATAAGCATGGGTTTGGGACATAAGCAAAAGGGGCACCACCAAAAGATACTTGCAAACTCCTGAAAAGGACACCATAAAGATTTCCATTTCCAGTTTTACCATAAAATATATGGTACAGCTAAACAAAGACCGAGAGAGGGAAAACAAAGAGAAAGCTTTTATAAGTGTATTTGGGAGTACCAAAGTGCTTATGGCCTTTAAAAGTTTTAATCCACCCCTAATTTAAGAAAAAAAAGAGAGAGGTGCACATGACAACTTGTTACTGTTAAAAATTATCTTTTCTGATTTTGAATAAACATTGGGAAACTTGTACATTTATGGCAGATAATCAGAATGTCTTGCATTTGTAATATACGAGTGTATAAATATTAATTTCAACTTTGATACTTTATAATTATCTGCACCCCTGGTTTCAAGTTAAGGTATCCACCGGTTGGCTCAATCTGGAATTAAAAGATATATGACATACATGAAAGTAACTATGTTGTTATAAAAATGATGTGCTTGAAAAGGTATTGGTCTGAAAATATTCTATTTTACTGTTGAATTGATACAAAATACAGATATTAATGCTAATAGTTTAATTTCTTTTATTATGTTAGAATATGTTTATTTTTATCAATGATTTTTTTTTTCCTTTATTTATTTATTTTTGAGTTCCTTTAATATAACTGTAGAAAGAAGATGATGAACCTGAATATAAATTTGAATGGCAAAGAAAGTACAATGCCCCAAGAGAAGAGTAAGTGGTTATTTGTATTTTTATGAACATTTGAATAATATTCTATTAATTAAAGTTTTTTTTTTTTTTTTTTGTATAACTGTTTTATGAAAAATTTGCTTTCCATCTCTGTTTCACTGAAAAGTAGCTGATAAATTCATATTCATGTGATGTATTTTTATATGTTTTATTGTGATCCTTTTGGCTTCTGTATTTTATTTGCTTCCCCCCTTTCTTTTTAAAGAAAAAGAATTTTTAATAATTCTTGAAATTTTTATGTATGTATCTCAAAATATGGTGTATTAAATTTTCTGGATGCTGCATTGGTGATATATTTTAACAATATACGAGTATATATATACAAGGTGCGTCAGAAAAATGTATACACACTTTATACTCTCGTGGGAAATTTATTTTCAACTTAAAAGGTTAAATTTATTGGAATCGTAAGGTTATACTCCAGTTTGAAAAATAAACATACTTTCTGGTCAAACTGAATGCTCGAAATGGTGTTTAAAATAAATGTTCAAACGGTAATCTTCAACATCGTTACATTTCTGCATCGACACATTCAGGACTGATTCCGTAACTTTGCATCAAAATATCCAATGGGATTTCTGTGCATATTGCTTGAATCTCATCCCAAAGTGTGTCAAGGTTACATGGTTTACGACACATTGTGATGGCATTCGGGTCTAATTTTGTGAATGGGTTCAGGAGATGGTTATATGTGAACCAGGATTTATGGGTAACATTGTTTCACTGGATGAAGTGCAATTTAAACTTAATGGAATTGTCAATAGGCATAATTGTATGTACTGAAGATAATCCTCACATTACTGTTAATAAGGCTATGAATTTGCCTGGTGTAAAAGTGTGGTGTGGTTTTGTTTTGTAATGTAATCATTGGACCTTTCTGTTTTGAAGGTTATGTAATTTTAGCAAAGTACCTAACAATGCTTGCTAATTCCATTTTCCCTCATATTCTGTAATGTCATATTTTATTACCAATAAGATGGTTTTTCTTTGCACTATTATAAGGATGTGCGAGAATATTTGGATCAGAATGTACCAGGCCAGTGGTTAGGATGTAGAGGACCAATCGAGTTTCCTGTACGCTCTCCAGATCTTAACGCTGCTCGATTATTTTATGTGACATAGACAAAGATGAAGTGTACCATCATAGACCACGTAACCATGGCACACTTTGGAATGAGATTCAGGCAGAAGTATGGAATCAAACGTGACTCGTACTTGTAATATTTAATAATTTGTAAATGGTAACATTTAATATTTAGTAACTTGTAATTGGCAACACTTTGGATAGAGATTGAAAAATAGAACTATGCTGGTATTGCAGTTCTCTGTGATTATACATTCTAAGATTGTAAATAAATAGTTTCTAAAAATTAAAAGTGTACCCTCATAATTTTATATGGTGTCAGGAGTGTTTTGCTTTCAAAATGGAAAGTTTAAAACCACCAGAGCCGATGAAATTTGATGGAAATCTGGCTTTCGAATTGGCAGAGAGATGGCTGCAATCATTTGAAATATATGAAGTAGCTAGTGGATTACATAATAAAGAAGAGAAGGTAAGAGTTAATACTTTTCTTCATGTAATAGGAATTCGTGGTCTTGAAATATATAATACATTTCCTATAGAAGAGGGTAAAGAAATTAAATTAAGTGAAATTAAAACAAAATTTACAGAATATTGTATTCCTAAGAAAAATATTACGTATGAAAGACATTTATTCTTTACTAGAAATCAAACCGCGTCAGAAACCATAGATGAATACGTAACTGATCTTCGAAATAAAGCTAGAACATGCGAGTTTGCACAATTAACGGATAGTTTAATAAAGGATAAAATTGTTTGTGGTATTAAAGATGATATAGTGAGAGCAAGATTGTTACATGAAACAGAATTAACATTAGAAAAAGCTCTTGATATATGCAGATCTGCTGAAATAAGTGCACATCAAATGAAAATCATAAAGGATGAGGAAACTGCTGTAAACTTAGTGAAAAAGAAACTAAGTAAATATAATAAGAATACCTACAAAGAGGTAAATACCAATAAACAAAAGACCAAAAGTTTGTTCTAAATGTGGAACATCTCATGAGTATCGAATGTGTCCAGCATATGGAAAAATCTGTCATAAATGTAAAAAGGCAAATCATTTCGCGAGTCAGTGTAAAAGCTATATAATAAAAAATGAAGCAGTCAAGGTAAACAAAAAAGATAGACAAATTAAATTAATAATCATGACTCTGAGAAAGAGTTAGAATTTTATGTTGGCACATTAAACCTTAATTCAGATAACAAGGAAGAGAAATGGACTGTTGACGTTAATGTAAATAAAAGTAAACTAAATTTGCAGTTAGATACTGGAGCAATGTGCAATGTTATTTCTAAAAGCAAACTGAAATTGCTAAATGTTTTCCGATACAGAAGTCTGAAATTAAAAGATTAGTTACATTCTCTGGGAATAAAATGGATACTTTAGGAAAAGTAGTACTTAAACTGCCAATATGGAAAAATAATTATGTTGTGGAATTCCAAGTTATTGACAAAGAAGTACCTTCTATATTAGGATTAAAATCATGTTTGCAACTAGGTTTGATTCAGAAAGTAATGTCTGTTTACACTGAAGACTTACTGGAGGAATACAAAGATGTATTTGAAGGCTTAGGTTGTTTGAATGGAGAATATAAAATCCAGTTAAAACAAGATGTAACGCCAGTCATTCATCCTCCAAGAAAAATACCCATAGCTATACGTGATAAAGTTAAAAAAGAATTACAAAGAATGGAAAATTTAAATGTTATTGAGAAAGTAAGAGAAACCAACTGAATGGGTAAATTCAATGGTTACAGTTGTCAAACCGAACAAATAAGAATATGTTTAGATCCTAGAGATTTAAATAAAGCTATAAAACGAGAACATTATCCGATGTTAACCATTGACGAAGTTGTCACTAGAATGCCTAATGCAAAAATATTTTCTGTTTTAGATGCTAATAGTGCTTTTTGGCAAATCCAGCTTGACGAAGAAAGTAGTAATTTGTGTACATTCAATACACCTTTTGGCAGATACAAATTTAAAAGATTACCTTTTGGCATATGCTCAGCTCCAGAAATTTTGCCAAAGAAAATTAAGCCAAATAATAGAAGGTCTAGATGGTGTTGAATGTATTATAGATGATATCTTAATATGGGGATCTAATGAAAAGGAACATGAGCTACGACTTAAAAAAGTACTCCAGAGAGCACGAGAAAATAATTTGAAGTTCAATAAGGCTAAATGTAAAAATAAAGTTAATCGTGTGATTATATAGGACACGAGTTAAGTGAAAATGGACTAAACCTGATTTTTCTAAAGTGGAAGCAATTGTTTAAAATGCCAGAACCTACAGATGTGCCTTCGCTACAAAGATTTTTGGGAATGATTAATTATTTAGCCAAATTTATTCCTAACTTAACTACTATTACTGCACCATTAAGACAGTTACTTGAGAAAAATGTCCTCTGGCACTGGACTGAAAAGCATCAAAAAGCTTTCGAAACACTTAAAGAACTGATTGCAAAAGCACCCGTATTAAAATTCTATGATGTTAATAAGATTGTAACTCTTTCAGTAGATGCAAGTTCTGAAGGATTAGGTGCTGTTTTACTACAAGAAAACCAACCAATTGCTTATGCTTCCAGAGCTCTAACAAAAAATCAGAAAAATTATGCTCAGATAGAAAAAGAGCTTTTAGCTATTACTTTTGGATGTTCTAAATTTCATCAATATATATATGGCAAACGTATTACAGTTGAAACTGATCATCGACCATTAGAAAGCATAACTAAGAAACCTCTTTTTAAAGCACCACAGCGATTGCAAAGAATGCTGTTAAATTTACAGAAATATGATCTAGATGTACGATACAAAAAGGGGAAACACTTATTAATAGCAGACACTTTGAGTAGAGCATATTTGAATACAACAGAAGAAGATAATGATGAAGATACAGAAATTTGTACACTGATTCCAGCATCTGATGACAAAATTTATGAATTAAAGAAAGAAAGTGAATGTGATGCTACACTACAGTGCTTAAAGAAATATATTCTGAGAGGCTGGCCAGAAAGGAAACATCAAGTAAAACCTCAAGTCAAAGTATTTTGGGACTACAGAGATGAGTTGACAATGGAAAATGATTTATTTTTCAAAGGAGGAAGGGTAATTATTCCTTTATCTATGCAAAAGGAAATGTTAAATTTAATTCATGAGGGTCATTTTGGTATAGAAAAAATGTAAGAAAAGAGCTAGAGATGTTTTTGTTTTGGCCATTTATGAACAAGCAGATAGAAGATAAAATTTCAAATGTTCTATATGTAATGAATACCAGAACAAAAACATAAGAGAGCCTATGATACCACATGAAATTCCCAATTTACCTTGGTATAAAGTTGCGACAGATTTATTTGAGATTAACAAAGATGTATATTTATTAATTGTAGATTACTATTCCAACTTTTTTGAAATCTGCAAACTACCAGATACTCGAAGTCAGACAGTGATCAGTTACATGAAATCTCATTTTGCAAGATACGGTATACCATTGATAGTGATATCTGATAATGGACCTCAGTTTGCAAGTAAAGAATTTTCAGAATTTGAAAAGAAATACCAATTTAAACATATAACAAGCAGTCCATACCATCCACAGTCGAACGGATTAGCAGAGCGTTCAGTACAAACGGCGAAGAAATTGTTAAAGAAAGCTCAAACAGATCATGCTGATCCTTATTTAGCATTGTTAGCTCATAGGAACACTCCAACTAATGAGATGCTAGGATCACCAGCTCAACGACTTATGAGTAGAAGAAGAAAGAACGATTCTTCCTACATCTGAAGAATTACTTAAACCTCAAGTTGTGAGAAATGTAAAGAAAAAATCAACCAAGAAAGAACTAAACAGAAGTCATATTATGATCGTCATACAAAAACATTACCATTGCTAAATAAAGGAGATTGTGTTCGGGTATATCAAGATAATCGCTGGAAACCAGCAGTTGTAGAAGAAGTGCATAAGACGCCTAGATCATATATACTTAGATCAGGTGGATCAGTATTGAGAAGAAATAGAAAAGATATTAGAGGAAACAGTTTAGCTGTTGATGAGAATATCAGAGGAACAGAACAAGGAGTTAATACACAGAAAACAGATGTAAAAGGATATGATTCCAGATATTCTCAAGGGCAAAGTTTAGAAGACTACTAACCAAACTCTGCTAACTCAGAAACAAGGAACGGTGAGCTAAGAACCTAGAAGTGGGAGACTGATTAGAAAGCCGGCCAGGTATTTGGACTGATTTTAGACTGTTAAAACTTTTGAACTTTTTAAAAAAACGGAAGATGTAATATTTAATAATTTGTAAATGGTAACATTTAATATTTAGTAACTTGTAATTGGCAACACTTTGGATAGAGATTGAAAAATAGAACTATGCTGGTATTGCAGTTCTCTGTGATTATACATTCTAAGATTGTAAATAAATAGTTTCTAAAAATTAAAAGTGTACCCTCATAATTTTATAGTACTGAGAAATGTAGGGATGCTGAAGAGGACCAGAAAGTATACTTATTTTTCATACTGGACTGTAGCTCTACTTTACCAGAAAACCTTGTCGGTTGGAAACTAAATTTTTTATTGCAGTTCAAACTGTGCATACATTTTTCTGATGCACCATATCATATATATTACCATATCATATATTGTGAATGAAAATATCTTTTGACTGGTGATTAATATTTTTAATATATCATACTATACAGCCAAGTATTTTTCAAAAAAAATAAGGAAATTCTTTAATATTTCTTAGGCTTTTAAGGAGAAGATTAATGAAACTGATTTCTTTTCTGTAAATGTTATATTGCATTAAAATCCTGAAATAATAATGAGTCGGAATACTTGCTTACTGTTATTTCACTAAACAGGAATTCGTAAATTGCATGCGAAAAATATGTGCAATACACAAGTGGCCTTTTGTACAAAAGAAATAAAACTTGAGCATAAAAATATCATGAAAAGTCTTTCAAATGCAGTTGTTCTTGTTCAGTATTGATGAAAATTTGCTACAAAAAAATTTTAATGATAAAATCTTTAAAAAAACATGCATTATCATCATGTAATGAAACTTAAATTAATCGGATTATATTTCCCCATCAACATAATTTTCATTTCAGCTGAACTTGTTAAACTACTAAGACCGCTAAAGAGTTAAGATCACTAAAGAGATCTGCAGAGCTTTTTATGCAAGTGTAACTATGTTCAGTGGGATAATTTTGATTTAAATCTGCAAATAGTACATTGCTAAGTTTATCCACACAATTATGTGTGTGCATAATAATCATTAATGTTTTTTTTTTTTTTTTTTCTTTAAAACAGTTAGTCTTTTACAGTTAATTTGATTTTTTATGTTTTTACCAAATACTTTAATTTACCTTAATTAATGCCTATTAGTATGCTCTTGCATGTAATTTAAATATTTTCCCTCAATAGTATTAAAGATAATGATTTTTCTTACTATTCCTTTTTATATTATATATATTTATAGATATTTTTGTTTCTATAAATAAATTTTATTTCTTACTTTGCAATTTAAGCACTTGTATTAGGCCTTTTTAGTACTTTAAAACTTTGTTTTTATTGTTCTGTGAAATATTATATATATTCAGTGTTTTATTTCAACATTTATTCATTATCTTTCAGTTATGCTAAAGGAAATGCAGATATTAAAGATCAACCATTTGGTATACCAGTAAGTTTCATTATTCATATGATATTTGACATGCAGATTAATAGAATTTGTTTAATTATTTGGGACAGTATGGTTACTAGACTGAAAATTTTTTGTAGTGTGGTAGTATTTAATATATAATACTTTGCTTGGATATGTAGTCTCAGTTGTCAGCATAAATAAGATTTTTATTCACTCTCAACTAATTTTGGTTTTAATATTCTATTGATTAAAAGATGTAGTGAATAAGTATAAGAATCTGATTATAAATTTGCATTAAATGTTACATAGTTAGTTACTAAGAAGCTTATTGTAGTCATCCAAAAACAATCGTATTTTTATGCAAATATTCAAATTTTTAGTAATGTTAAGTTTCCTATCAGTCCATTTGTAATTATGTAGCAGTATTTTGTCATTTCTATTATGCTACGTTAATTAGGATATAGTATTTTAAATATATAGTTGATACATTATGTATAACTTCCAGAAATACAATTTGCATAAAAAAAACTGTACACATAGAAAAATTGTTTAATCAGGATGAAACTTGACATCAGCTATTGTTGGACAAGAAACACATTTATTGTATACATGTGAGAATCATTCTATATTATTGTGATAGATAGTTACATGTCTCAGAAGTGTATATAAATTTCCATTCGGGCATGCACTGCATTCATGGATATGTTAACAGCTATTGTAAAGTTTCCTTAAATATCCCATAATCGCTCATCAAGCTTATGCAAATAGGTGAAACCTGTATCCTAACATGTTTATATGTTAGGAAAAAGTTCTGGATATCTTAAAAGTTCAAGAGAAAATTGTGATACTGTAGAGATTTCTCTGGAGATGATCTGCATAGTATCACATAAACTGTATATAGATGTTAATTATCTTGCTTAAGTTTCGTAGACATTAACTCTGAAAATGATTTTGGAAGTTATATATTTATCAATAAGTTAGAAGACAAAGTTACAAGAACTTTCTTAATAATCTTGTTCTGTTTAATGTTAAATGTAGGCCGTCTGTGTAAGCATCCCTAAAGATATATTTTTAACTGTAATCCAATACCTAATTTAATCTGTTTCAAAAAAATTTATTAAAAGTTATGTTTAAACTAAAAATATTTTAAATGTTATATAGGTGCGGAATGTCCGTTGTATTAAATGCCATAAGTGGGGCCATATTAACACAGATAAAGAATGCCCATTATTTAGTCAAGCCAGCACATCATCAATGCCCACAAGTAAGTAATGTATGTTAATAATGTATACCATGAAATTTCCAGTTCTTGTGTATAAGCTGATATCCACTGATGCATGACCAAAAATACCATCCACAACTCTGATTCTTGCAAACATTTAGCAACCCAAGGTGCTGTTTTGGTTTTTCTAGAAAGTGGAGTTCTGCCCCTCTGTCTAAGGAAAACCTTGGAAGGCTTCTCTCCCCCCCCCAATTTGAACTTTAAACCAATGAGAGCAAGAACATATCTATTTGTATCATTTTCTTGGCCAAAATATCTGTTTGTCTCAGGTTAATTTTTACTGCCTTTTGCATTATCTGTTTACCACATTTGCTGAAAACTGAAACAAAAGCAGTCCATTATTTTCAAGCATATAGTATTTTGCTCTTCTTCCCCCAAAAAAGGCTAATATTTTAACTTCTGGGCAGTGAAATGTTATGTCATGTAAGATATATGATAGAAATGTAATGTTAATAACTGCTGATCGATTGCTAGAAAAAGAACTGTGAATTTATTTGAAAGAAGTCAGATGCCTTCTTATTTATCAGAGTTCATATCTGTGGAAAAACAAGCCAGGCAAAATAATAATCTGATGCAGTATTCTATACTTTGCCAGACTGCACATCCTGGAAATCAAAAAACCTATTTCATCAATCAGCAAATGTTGAAAATGTGTTTCACACCCAATGACATTAATAGATTGTTACACACACTGGCCAATGAATTAAAAGAAACCTTTGAGATTTTCATTTGAATATGTACTATAGATGAAGTATGCAATTTTTATATATATATACATGCATTACATGTGGTTAGTGTTTAGAATTCTAGTAAAGTAAGGTGTAAGAGTGCTTTTCATGATCACTGAATTAAAATGGGAAAAATGGCAGATCTTTCACCATTTGAAAAAGAGCTTATTGTTGATGCCCGTTTAGCAAGGGCCTTTCAAAGACAACAAATCTCACTGGGCTCTCGAATATCAAAGGTTTTCAAAAGTGGGAATCATAATCCACAGTCCTTTAGAAGATGTAACTGGGGTTCAAGCACAATTTTCCAGGATCGTCGGCATCTCCGATGAATTCTATGGTAGAACAGGGATTCTACCGTTCTTCAACTGACACAGATCGTCAACAAAGGCTCTTCCCAACAGATTTCAGCTTATGCAAGGATTTGTTTGCAGTGGTGTCAGGAAAGAAGGTACTGGACATCTGAAGATTGGAAATGAATAATGTGGTTGGACGAATCACGCTACACCTTATTTTGCACTGATGGAAGACATCGAATTTGACAAGAACCCCATGAATCCATCTTGCCTTGCTCACACTATGCAAGGGTCTGCTGGGAGTATCATGATATGGAGCATGTTCTGCTGTCATGGAAGTGGTGCCTTGGTGTTCCTCGAGGGTAAACAAACAGTCATGAGATACCTAGATATACTGGCAGATCAAGTGCATCATGCAATGTTGCATTTTTATTCTGGTGGCAACAGATATTTCATGGACAATAATGCAACTATACATCGTGCCAGAAGTGTTCAAAGTTGGTTTCCTGAACATTAGTCTGACTTCCAACACCTTTCCTAGCCATGGCATAGCCTAAAAACTGTGTGGGATATGGTGAAAATACGCATCTGACAGCACTCGCCTGGGAGGAATTATCCGTGCAAAAGTGGGCCAATAAAATATTGATCTTGGGTTTTAATTCATTGGCAAGTGTGTATAACACAAATAATATTTATTCATAATAATCAAATTTCCATTATAAAAAAAAGTTTATTTTGATATCTAGTAAAAATATCTAATGAAATAATATCATGTTTAGTTGATAAGTGTTAATTATATTTAATGTCTTTCAAATTTTTTCAAAATGTCTGAAATTTATGGTCCATTGCTGCATTAGACCAAAAAGTTGTTGCACATCATTGAAATAATATGCTAGGTGTCTCACTGTGCAATATAGATTATTTCATTTTGATAGTCATTAGTGCAAGCAGTGCTGATTTTCTGACTAATATTTTCATGGTTTTCTTAATATATAATGTGAATATGAGTCATGTTCCCATAATTATTTACAAAGCCAACTAACTATGTAAGCTTTTTGGAGTGTCAGGAAAGAAAGTGTTTTAAAAGCTGGTGATTTATATCTTAAACAAAATTACTTATCGGAAAAGTATTGAAGATGGTCTTTAAATCAACTGCAGGTTTTCAACAAAAAAATTCTAATGAAGTATTTAATTATGATAGAATAAGAACTGAAAGCAGCATATAAACTGTAAAGTACTTTAAAGAGACTTTAAAAGCGCAAAAAATGTTTACTAAGATCGTGGATTTAGAATTTTCTATGTGCAAATTTCTTTTAAAAAATCAAAGTAAACAGTTAAGTTTTCTTTTATTACTATTATTATTTTATGTATTAATTATATAAATTGACATAAAATACATAATGCACATATGCATTTGAGTAAGTATTTATAAAGCTGTATTTGAAATTAAAACATTTGAATAAATATGTCAAGGAAATAGTTAACTTTTTTCTAGTGACATGAAATAAATCAAAAATTTTTTAATGCTTTTATATACATATGTCTTTGCAAAGAGCAGCAGAAAAATATTGAAACATTCTTTCAGCCATGGAAGCCTTGGAAAATTCAGCTGATGCAGGTTTTGCAGCAGAATTTTCATTAGTTTGAATTTTTACAAAATTTTATGTACAATGGGCATTTTTACTAAGTACCATATTTTGCAGTATCATATTTTACATAATATTATGTAATATTCAGAGCCCATTGTGTGATATTTTCCAGTGGAGGGATAGAGTAATATTTAAAAATTAAAAACCTATTATTTTGCATTTAGTATCTAGAACAGAAAATTTTAATAACATTCCACAAGGTAAACATTTTTTTTCTGATATTTGCTTTTTTAGTTAGTGTGGTAATTATCCTACTTCTGTATCTTCTAAATAATAAAAATAATTTTGGAAATTTAAAAAACATGAACTTCTACCTGTATATAATATTAAATTTTTAATGAATTATATGAAGCAGTACACAAATAGTAACATGAAAAGGCTAAATGTGACACCTTTTGAGATTCACGCTGGTTCCATTATGCTCTGTGGAATTCTGTCTTCATAATATTATGAAACCGTTCATGTTGACCTCTGAAAATAATTACACACACACAAGTTATTTTGTAAGGACAAATTTTGCCTTATTTTTTATAACAAATGGCAAAAAATGTTCCAAGCATTAAAGACCAAAATTTTGACTTTTTTTCAAAGCTGCAAACTTGACAGGTCTTTTATGATTTCTCCAGCACTTTTCCTATTCAGGAGTTGGAAAGATTTTAGGAGGAAAAAAAAAAAGGTTACTCTGTTATTGGAGTAGGTTGCCATAGGAGACAAATAAGTTGAAATTAAGGGAAGGGAAAAGTAGAAATTTTTGTATTAGTTTGTTCTTAATGTGGATGTTGGAAATTCACGCATCATTTGTTGTGTCGATTGGAGTGTGGTAGTTTTCACCCTTTATGAAAAAAAGAGATTTTCAACTGAGTTTGACTGCTAAAAGAATCTACACCCATTTCAGCAGAGCACACTTGAATGAGAAGCATCTCCATCTCAGGAACAGGCCGGCACCTTGATTCCAACTTGTCTTCAAATCAAGATCAGGGATTCTGCTGGCACAAGATTTGCTGTCTTCTAATAAAAAAATAAATAAATAAATAAAAACTAGGCAGGCAAAACTCTTAAACTCTTTCTTTGAAAAACATTGACAGAGCCATACTGTTTTTTTTTTGGGGGGGGAGGAGCTATGGTGATTTGAAATTGTAGTCCATTCACTATCTCAAGCTAGGTACTGCTTTTTAGTATTTTATTTTTTTTCCCTTGCTAAGCTATCAAATCCCAGAAATGTTAGGAAGCACATAAGTCAGAAATTAAATAAATATATAAAGGTTCATCAGTTAGGACCAACTGATTGTAGTGTAGAAGAAAGAGAAATGTTAGTATTCACATTAAGGTTTAAGATTATGATTTTAAAAAGGGAGGAATCCATTAATCTTTTTCGTGTAGTTAATGTATTACAAATTTTTAATCAAAATCTACCTCTCAGGAGGTTTCATATCAGTTTCATTGTAAAGCAGTCAAAGTTAATTAATTTAGCTATGGTTAAATGAAATGTTTTCTTTTTTTGAAGCCACCAACTCTTGATAAACAGGATTGCTGAATATCAGTTTTCAAATTTTTTTATACAACACAGTTACGTGGTGTTTCATATTGAATGGCACAAAAAAAATACCTGTGGACACTGCAATTACCTTATTTTGATAAATCAAATTTACAGTGAAACTATAGTTATCCAAGTTTCTATAGATGTTCTAATACTCCTCTGTTATCAGGATTGGATTCAGAAGTGTATGTATGTGCGTATATAAGTTTGTACACACAGAGATACATATATATATGTACATTCATGCATACATACATACATACATCTCTGGACCCAGTCAGATAACAGAACAGTACTATTGTTTTATGCAGTACTGCATAAAACAATGTTCCTGCAGTACCTGCAGAGATATTTAGAATACTGCCCTTCCGGTAGTATTGCAAATATCCCTGCAGTTCTCCTGTTCTTGTCATGATTCAAGTACTTCAGTTTCGGTTGTTCCAAAGTCCTGGGAAATGGGGTCACGAACACTTCGTCTTTAGCAAAACCCCATAGGAAAAAATCACAAGGGGGTTTGATCTAGAGATCTCAGTGGCCAACAAAACAATGGCTTATCGTTTGACCCAGCACGGCCAATCCAGCGCTAGGGTTCAGGTGCTGGCATACATTTTTATGCCAGTGTGGTGAAGCACCATCTTTCTGGAGAATGAAGCGGGGAACCTCTTACCCCAACTGAGGGAACAACTCTGATGGTATATCTTGGTAAATGCACCCGTTAATCAGTTTTTCCATAAACTAAAGAGGACCAAAAGCACAACTGTTGGAAATAGTGCAG